GCAGGGTGCGTAGGGATTTCATATAACTTGTTGGTTTCATCAGAGGTAAACACCAAATTGTTCAAATGTGGATTTGTTGCTACCTTGGTCGCCAGGATAAAGTCCATGCCAATCAATGTTGGAGTCATAGGGTTCTGACTTACACAAAATGAATGGTGAATCGTAACTTCAGCTGAAAATTGTAACTTCAACTTAACCACACCAACCGGAATGTCAATTTCCCCACCAGCGAATCTCAAAACTTTGTCCGTTGGTAACACCGCTAATTCCTTCCCCAATTGCTTGACCGTATCCCAATGGATAATAGATACTACAGCACCACCGTCAATCAGAAACTCACAATTGCGTTGGTCTTCTACAATAGCCAGCACTTATTGTAGAATAGTGCGATCTGGAACCAAGCTCGTCGTATCCAAATTAATCATGTCCACTGCTGGTAGTTCATCCTTGTCAATCTCCATGGACTCAGCCATACCTTTGACCATCGATTTTGTTCTATTCGTTGAAGGCTGACCACCTAGTAGATTCAGATATTGATACCACAGTTCAGGTGCGTAATACAATAGTTGAGGTAATGCGACGGGTATTTGTGTATCCCACAATTGTTTCTTAAGATCCAGGTGTTTTACTTTCTTCTCATCGTCCAACATGATCGGGAACTCCCGCTCTAGCTTTCTCGCGATCGATGGTGGTATTTCACCCCGCTGCTTAGCTTCGACATCAAGTTTCTTGTATTCCGCCTTGGCCTTTCTTGCCTTCTCCAAGTTCTGTAACCTCACCGCTTTCAACTCTTCTGGAGTCTTCTTCGTGGTACCAGTCGCATATACCTTGTGTTCTTCCCCTTTGGCTCCGTGTGTAATCACGTGTATCGATGAACTAGTTGCTTTAGGATTATTTTTAATGGAAGGTCCCTCTACTCCTAAGCCTGTAGGGGACCGTTCTGAAAATCCTTCTGTTCTTGAGTGGAATTACTTGTTTGACCTTCACCGCTGTTCTCATGATTACGCTTGCGACAGTTAAAAGATGAGTGGTTCGCCCGTTCACAAGTATTACACATCGAGTTACAATTCCTAGCAAAATGTCCTACACCATCACAGTTGTAACACCTTAATTTGCTTCCACCCGTACCATGGTTACCAGTGTGACCTGAGTAAGAGGACTGACCCGCTTGAATAGTGTTATTTTTCTCCATCATGTCAACACGATCCTTAACCACGGCTAATTCATTTTCAATGATATCGAGCTTTTCTAACTTGGCTAATACGAGTCTTTCAAAATCCGTCATATTCGACTTGTTATTGGCTGTACCACTTGAATGGTCTGTGCGACCCGAATTACGCTCAAATCTGCGTACAGCATTTACTGAGGTACTACCCACGAGATTTTCATCATCCGATGTAACATTCAAAACCTTACGATCTTCGTACAGGCAACTCTCTGCCCAGCGCAGCAACTTCTCTAAACCATCCAGACCATCGAGAGTCTTCTTAGCTTCCTTATTGAAAGGATCCTTGAGCTTCTTTTCACAAAAAATACGAACTTGGGGTAATAGGCCTTTCATGATATCTCTGACCTTTTGCTTTTCAGTACGATCAATACAATCCGGTCCAGCACGTTGCATCAGATAACGTTTGATCTCCATAAATTCCAAAGGTGTCTCTTCATTGGATTGAGTACGTTCCTCATAATGCTTGGTATATAACTCATACCATTCCTCCGTGATGTAGTTTTCTTTAAACTTGGCCAAGATACAATCCTCGGTACCATCATCATACAGTAGTCTTTCGAAGGTCTTCATATCATTCATCAAATGGTTCTTCATCCATCTTTCAGCATGACCAGTCAGACATAAAAGAAAAGTCTCTTTCTTTCTCTCGTCCGTTCGCCAGTTGTTCCACTTGGAAACTTTCTCAAAGTCTTCGAGAAAGCGTAAAGGATCCTGGGTTCTACCCGTACCAGAAAACATAGGTGGGGACCGAGTATTGGTTTCTCCAGTGGCCACCGTGATTTGTTTGTTTGTTTCCTTATCAATGATTAATACGGACATGTTACGGTCTATTTCTTAGCGGTATGATTCTTGACTACGATATTATTTGCAATTAGGACCCAGTGGTAGACAGACTTCACTGTTGTAACTACCTATAATATTTTTAAACTGTTGTTTTTCAGTATTCGTTCGACTTGCTTCTTTCTATTAAGTAACGCCCAGCTACTCCACCAAATGTTGTATCGGGATCTGATTTACCTGTTGACTTAATAAAACTTTCTATCCGCAGACTTTCTTGACTATAATACAACACTCCACGCACGTTAGGATGATGTACTGGTTCGTAAGATTAGGGATGTAAAAGGACTTCGATTTTATTAAATTAGAAAAAACTACGACTTTATAATATCGCTGAGTAGTACATAGTACTACTCAAGCTACCACAAGGTATAATCTCTTCGTATCATCTCACAGGATTATCATCAAAACACCGTCACGGAGGGCTATTGAGGCGCTAGAGTGATTTGTTCCCTAAAATTTCGCCTTACCACAGGGGTGTTGTAACGGGATTCTAATTACCTATTGGCTTAATAAATCAAACTATTTGAGCACCTTCTTGACTATAATCTACTCTCCAACTAACAAGGAAAGTATTGATAAACGTAGAAATTGGGGTGTAAGAGGACTTATATTTTATTTATTTTGAACTTGGTTAATTTATATTTGATTTTCTGAAACTATTTGTATGATTATATTTTAATATGGGGATGGTGTGGTTTGATTGGCAGAGGCTCTTCTACGCTTTGTTACTGGCTGTGGTACCCATTGGAGGGCTTGAGTTACACATATCAGTCACCGTGACCTCACCACAGGGGCAAACAATTGGGGTGTTGTATACACAAATTTCCCGTAGTGTTATTTTTTATGTCGATTGACAAAAATGACATCAAAAAGACATCAAAATACCATTATACGACATATCGGACATAATTTTTTTTGCTGTGATAAGTTAATTCTAAAGATATTTATTTTTATCAATATACAAACTTTGTAACTTATATTAAAGGAATAAAGCGTCTCGTTAATTTACACTTTTCAACCTTTTGTTTCTTCCCCGATCCCCTTAATAACAATGAGTGGACCTGGTGACCTTTATACACCCTCACATCTTTCTTGCTGTCTAAGGTGGTTTGAAGTTTAACCTAATAACCATAGATACATAATAAACGTACCACAGCCGCAGACTCGGTAGCGGAGACCCGCAACATGTTGCGTAATTCCACGACATGTTGCAGAAAGACGCAACATGGTGGATAAAATACACAACCATCGGCATATAATTTTTTACTTGAATTTATTTTTATTTTTCCCTCCCTTCCTATTTATAATTTTTTTTCTTTTACAAGCACTGCCATTAGATGAATCGTTGAAAATGATTTAATTATTAGAGTGCATCTGCTTTTCAGTAGTTCCTAACGTGTTTTGTGACATTTTTGAGCATTTATCTCCGACTAGTACAAGTGATATAAAAGGAAATTTATTCATAGCCAGATTTTTTTTATGTGGGGGGATTTTTTTTTTTTTTTTAAGAAAATTTTTCAGTGGAAGTAATATTGGGCCTCCGGCTGCGATTTCATAGGCCGGCTCTAAACAGCTTCAGATCAATATTTCAAGCCTTTCAATAAATATATTAATTTTAAAAAGGGTCACGTATCTTAAGAATAAAGTTCATAATATGTATTCTAAATTACAAGTGCTTCTACTTAGTACATAAAAAATGTTTAAACTTTTTTACCCTTTTTCAGGGTTGGTGATATTGAGCCTCCGGCTGTGATTTCATAGGCTGTCTCTAAACAATTTCAAATCAATATTTCCAGCCTTTCAATAGATAAATTATTTTTAAAAAGGGTTACGCATCTTAAGAATATTTGTTTTAATGTATATTTTAAAATTCAAGTAGTTCTACTAAGTACACAAAAATGGTTGAAGTTATTTCATGCCATTGCTAACGATTATATAGTCTGTGCGCGGTTTTTTAAATCCGTGAGCACAAACAGTGGGTTATTTCAGAATCCGACCACGGCTAATGATATTAGCGGCATGTTATTATTGGCTCAAAAACCTTTTTGTACAGGTTGTGACATTTTTTCCCCGCCCCCACCTAAAAAAAAAATGTTGAATCCAGAATCTGTTATGTTTTTTAAATTGATATATGTAGATTCTCATTTTAATCAATATAAAAAACAATCCTAACCTTTCAGATGGGATATTAATTATAAGGAAAATGTGTTTTACCCATCTAAATATTTGTCTCTGCTTAAATTTTTTTTAGGTACCACCTAAAAGCAGATGCACTCTATAAAACTTGTCTACGCATTACAAAGAAAGATACAAATCAGCTAAAGGACCTGCAGGATAATGATTAATCTTTTGAGTATAGTTAATTTAAGGCAAACAAGATTTAAAAGAAGAATATAACTCTTCTTTTACCAATTAGGAGCAAATCCGTAAAAAAATGGATGATGTGCTATTACAAAAAAGTGTTACAATCAGTCATTGTAGAAGATGTTTTAGCGTAATTCGCACTTTAAATAATTTGCTATAGATTAATAAATTTGTTCACTTAGTTTTTCTCCCTTTCTTTCTCTTATTACACTTCGAGCTATCGGATCTTTGTTGTTATCATTCTTTTATTGGTTAATTCGAACTTATACTACTATATATATAAAAAAAATAAACTAATTTGATAACTCCATCTTCTTTTTGTTCGAATTTTTTACTACGCTCCTGGATTTACACCGCCGTAGCCGAAATTATGTCTAATGAAGAACCTCCTGCTTGGGCTATTGCTTTACTCGACCGTCTGTCCAATTTGGAACAACGAGTACAAGCATCTCCTCTCGTCAACTCTGATCCTAACGTTACTCTTCGAGCTCCGGGAGCTGATTTTACTCCAACCGAAGCGATGTTGGAAGAATTTAACTATATTAAAGAGGATTTCTTTAATCGTCCGTTACCAGAAAGCGAACGTCGACGTTTCTTATTCGATTGTCCTAAGAATTCATTACGGGAGTATGACCCACCAAAACTTAATAAGGTCAATCTTCAATCACCTTATAAGCACATTGACAGTACCTATTACAACTTACAGTATCGCATTTCCGGCCTCACCCGTCCTTTGGATTGGTTTACGTATCAAATGTTATATGGTAACTGGGATCATGCTGATCTTAGACAACAAGCACAGGATTTTACCTTTGCTATGCATGAACTTTTGTCAGATTTGGCTTCGCACATCACCACTCTGCGTACAGAAAATATGTTTAAAGGTCTTCCCAATAATATCGAACCCCCAGCACCATCTTCAGATAAATTTCTTGTTGATACTCAAGCTATGTTGGAACATATTAAATTGCAAAAATCTGTTCAAAATGCCACTCAAAAACAACGCAGAAACAATGGGCCCCGACCCAAAGCTTTCAATCGCACTATTAACGAGCCTAATAATTCTAGCGTCAACCATAAACCTCAGACTAGCTACACTAATTCAACTAGTAACTCTGGGAATCAAAACAATCACGCTAACGGCTCTTCAACTCAAGGTTCAGCCAATCAACAACGGGGTTTTCGCAAAGGCTCCAACCAACAGCACCGACCTTAGGTCAGGTGGGTGGAAGACTAGCTTCATTTGCATTAGAATGGTCCAATATACTAGGTTTCACCATTCCTCCGTGGGTATCAAATGTCTTATCCTATGGCTACCGTCTTCCACTTATCTCCAACCCACCTCTCCGCCCCTCTCAACCATCTTTATGTCGTCCTTCAACAGTCAACAGCACTCAACAAGTGATAGACACCGAAATACACAAGCTTCTTCAGAAACAAGCAATCGAGTTAGTACAGCATCAACATCCAACAAACGGCTTCCTTTCCAACCTTTTCGTGATTCCAAAAAAGGGTGGGGGTCTACGACCTGTACTCAACCTCAAGCCTCTCAATCAATACCTGCCAGTCCAGCATTTCAAGATGGAAACCATGCAAACTATCACCCATCTACTACAACCCGGCGATTTTTTGACATCCATCGACTTACAAGACGCATTTCATCACGTATTGATTCACCCACAACATCGTCATCTCCTGCGATTTCAATGGAAAACCAACACGTATCAATACCGCGTTTTACCTTTCGGTCTCAGCCTGTCTCCTTTGGTGTTCACCAAAGTCCTCAAACCAGTACTGAAATGGGCTCGTCGACAAGGGATTCGAATTACCGCATACCTAGACGACCTTCTGATCATGGGAACCTCAATGGAACAAGCTCGGATTTTTACTCACAAGGTATGCAAAAAAATGACCAGCTTGGGATGGTTGATCAATATGTCCAAATCATCACTGACACCTTCACAATCTATCAATTACTTAGGGATGAATATCAACTCAAAAGATATGACCATTTCTGTTCCCGGGAAGAAAGTCAGAGCAATCCGCAGAATGGCGTACTCCCTACTCAAACAATCAACAGTCAGTTGGACAACCTTAGCCCGGTTCATAGGCTCGGCCATGGCCACTCAGTTGGGCAATTATCAAGCACGATTTCGGACTCGACACCTTTTAGCTCAACTGAACCGGTCTCGTTATCTCAATTATTCTCTTATCAATGCACAGATGCAGAAGGAACTAGTATGGTGGATAACACAAATGACGAAATGGAATGGGAATCACCTCTTGTCAACGCTTCCAGTAACACAAATTTTTACGGATGCCTCCGACCAAGGATTTGGAATTGTTTGGGATCAACAATCTATCCAGGGAAAATGGACCAAGCAAGAGCAATCTCTCCACATCAATCAAAAAGAGTTGCTGGTGATCGACAAGGTGTTCAAATTTATTCCTTTTCACAGACATCACCATCTCCAATTATGCATGGACAACACATCCGCAATTGCGTACATCAAGCACTTTGGAGGGACCAAATCCTCAACTCTCAACTCGATAGCCCTCGATATATGGACTTACTGCTTTCGGAACTCCATTCAGCTGTCAACTCTATACGTCCCGTCCAAGTTGAATCCGGCGGACGCACCATCAAGAGCACTACAAGACCAAATCGAGTGGTCACTGCCAACGAAGACCTTCAATCAACTAAATCGTCTATGGGGCCCACATCAGGTAGATCTCTTTGCGTCTCCGACACGACATCATCTCCCACTATTTGTCACTTGGAATTACCATCCTCAAGCCATGTGGACGAACGCATTCAGCAAGTCATGGAGCCACCTACTAGGTCGCTTATACTTAGCACCGCCTTGGAACCTAATACTGAAAACACTACAACGTTTATTACAGGAACCTCGACCAGCGACACTGATCACACCAAACTGGCCGTCAGCCCCATGGTACCCTCTAGCGTTACAACTGGCACGATCCACACCTCTACCGTTGGAAGTTCCCATACACGACACAAGCGATCAAGAATCAGCACTCCTTACGAAGAATCGGAAATGGACTCTTCTGGCCTGGAACCTTCAGTAAAACGACTCCGTCTTTCCGAATCCGCGTTAGCTATCATCAATGCGCACTCTTCCAAGAGACCCACTCCTTATATACAAAGTACGTTTCTTAACTGGTGTAGTGTACGAGACATAACCCATCAAGAACAGCCAATATCTTCAGTTATCAATTTTTTGGCGGAATCTCACTCTCTAAAAAAATGGAAAACATCATCTACACTTACTTATGCATCACAACTGATTCAACTCTTTCCACTTCAGGTGCAAAACACTATTCGAATGTCGGACGAGTACACACAATTCTGCAAAGCACTCAAAGCAAACACCATTAACCCTCTTAGAACCTGGGACTACAACATCACTCCAGCATTGGAATACTTGATCTCACTCGGCCCTACTTCTTCATTGTCCAAGGATCGGTTAACAACTAAAACTGCTTGGTTATTAGCTATGGTGGGGTTTCTAAGACCTTCAGACTTGGAACGCGTAGACTTAACACAATGCTCAATATCCCAAGATATGATCCTCAAATTGGTCATCGTGGCTCCCAAGGAAAAACGAGCTGGTGCTCGCATAACCAAAGCAATTACTATTCATCCTCATGATAATCCGTTGCTCTGCCCGGTCTTAGCTTATCAAACTTATTGTACCAAGATTGCTCACCTCGAGGCCATGACCCCTCACCCAGTTTTTCCAGACGTTACAATCAACGCACTCTTTAGAAGTCAAAAAGACAATACTGTTGCTATTGGTAGCGAACGAATCTCCAAGCATGTCCAGTCGATTATGACTTATGTTACTCGCCCTTCGGATACTCCTCCCCCAAAAGCACGCGCCTTAGCTTCCACATTGGCAGCACAGTCGGGAATATCTGTTGATGATATTGTTGTCCATGGTAACTGGTCTTCCAAGGAACTATTTGAACAATTTTACCGTATATCGGTGACCACTTCTACTGATTTCACAAGACTTACTCTGGATACACAACAAAGATCCGATAGCTCGAAGTGTAATATAATGTAGATACGAATTTATGAAGTATTGAAATTATTACACGAGAGCAAGGATCTTTGTTGTTCCCGCCCTCCTCTTCCCATATTTAGTTCACTTTATTTATATATTATCTCACAAAGAAGATGGAGTTATCAAATTAGTTTATTTTTTTTTATATATATAGTAGTATAAGTTCGAATTAACCAATAAAAGAATGATAACAACAAAGATCCTTGCTCTCGTGTAATAATTTCAATACTTCATAAATTCGTATCTACATTATATAACTTTTTTTAAGCCAGCCCGAAATTCTGCTTCGTGTTTTAAGTGCTGCTATTTAAGTAATAGATACCGTAGATTATACAAACTAGGTAAATATGACATATGAAATACAAATTATTATTATTGTGGTATTTGACAAAATATTACATAGAAAAGTAATGAGATAAAAGTATATTTTTATTATGGGTAAAAATAGACTAAAAGAACTCTGCTGCTATGAAATAATTGATCCTTTTTATATTGCACAACTCTCCTGAGTTTTAATGATGAGTCAACCTTTCTGGTTTTGGAATAGATCTATACTTTGTTTCCCGCCTTGGGTTAAATGGATACTACTCGTTAGAATTGTTTCCAGATAACGTTGTCCCATATCAGTGGATCGGGAGCATGAGTATGCTAATAAATCTTTAGTATTACGAGACACCTATTTATCAGATCATGCAACGGTTACTGTAAAAGATGCATACTTGTTTGTCAAGTGTAATTGGCAATAGAACATAATAGTTGATCATTAATTCATTATCTTTGTAATGAATAAATTACGATCCCACATATAAAATATCTTATCGATATTTGTATATTTGGTTGTAGAAGCTAGGTATCCATTAATTCATACACTATTTCTTTATACTCTTTATCGGCAGTATAATTATATCAATATATAAGTAAATGAACCATTTATATTAATAGCTGTTCTATTCTCTCTCTGGGTAGCTAATCCATTGAGAGAACTATTAATATTAAGTTTCTCTTTCTTATAATTCTTGATTGATCTGAGAAGTTTCTCTTCTCGATCGGTGATATCGTAACTCAGTGGTATAGCATTCTGTATCCAACTGTCATTCGTATATCGTATTTAGGCCAATCATGCAATCTTTTATATAGAAGTATGTACTCGAAGTAGGAGAAGTTGTATAGCAGTATACAAGCGTATGCTGATATGCAACATCAAAGGTTGTTTTAATTTCATAGTTTATTTATTTAGACGATTTGCTTAATTATTCTTTAAGTGGATCGTACCCAAATACGACAATTATGTCATTACACTTTAAAGTACCAAGAATTTGTGTGTATACATTGTCATATGCTGAAGGTAATTATCATTTTAATTTCTAATACGGTTTTTCTGAAGAGTTGTATAGATGTCGAGCCGTCTTTGGACTTGAACAGCAGGAACAACAGGTTTAGGCTGTGAAAATTTTTCTATTAGGCTACATTTTTTTCTTTAGGCTGTAAATTTTTTCTTTTAGGCTGATAAAAAAATTTGGTCTATATACTGCTACATCTCGCGGGACTCTCGAATTTTACCTGTATACATAGGCGGGTGTTTGGCTAGTATGGTGTTAATTGGGCCCGTTAATAGAAAGTGCAAGAAGTATTACGGAGGTTAGTGTACCTTTTCGATTTGGAGATGATATGTACATACCTTATAATAAATGAAGTAGAATACGAAATAAAAATTGAATAAAATAAAAAATGTGTTCATTTAAACCCTGCTTTTTTATTATATAATGTATTTCTTGATTGCACAACAGTATAAAGATCCATCAGCATCAATAATAATATAGTTAAAGTGATGTAATAACGTACGTACTACGTTTTGAGTGAAAGGACGCTATATTGTGGTAAAAAGACGCATAAAGTGGAATTTAGTAGCTACTAAAAGTGGTATAAGAACGCAACATGCGGAAAAAACACGCAACATGTAGCAACACCCCGCAACATTAAGTGGTATAATTTTGGAGTTTTACCACCTGAGGTGGAAATTTTACTACAATTCCGCAACATTAAGTGGTATAAAATGGACGTTTTTACCACCAAATGTTGCGGGTTTTTACCACATGTTGCGGGTTTTTACCACATGTTGCGGGTTTTTACCACATGTTGCGGGTTTTTACCACATGTTGCGGGTTTTTACCACACAGTTTGCCACTGTGCGTTACATGTTAAAGTAAAAGATAGTTATGCAGAACATCCAATTATTCCTGGTATATTACAAATTTGAATTACCCAGTTTATTTCTGTTTGGTGAGTCAAAAGGTGGAGACGGAAACGAATACACACATGCACTATTATTCGAATTGATAAAAATTGTTTGTTTTGGCAAGAAAGCATCGTTCAAAGATATTCTGGGGATACATGTTGTATGTAACACCGTCAGATAAAATAAGCGATTTATTGATCCAGCGCATATTGAACAGGGTTTCAATTTATCTTTATTATTTTACCACGTTGATTACAGATAATAGATAGACCAAGTTTAACGTAGCCTCAGTATCTCTTCTCTTATCTTCAGGCTCTTTGTTACGAATATTTCAGATATACTTAGTAAAGTTGTCTGCAAACAATGCATGACAAGGAATGATGAATTTGACGATTAAAAATAAAAATAAAAAACAGACATTGAACGTTCGTAGTGAACCGCTGACGCAATGCTTATTGGTTTAGCAAAACGTTACACATGTTTCTATTACAGCCCTCACAGTAGCATAATCAATATTTCTGTAATCAATTAAATCTGTTTATAAAAGTTCAATTCAAGATTAATATGTCTCTAACTACCTTTTGGGTGCTGACCCATCTATTCTTTAACAAATTTACAACTAAAAAGAAATAAGAAATAAACCCCCATGATTTTTAACTGAACTGTCAACGATTACTTTTGTACCAAAAAATAATTCAACTGTCACATTTTTAGTCTTTAAAAAAGAAACGGCGGATCCGTAATACGTTTTTTTTCTGTAAAAACTTTAATAATGAGCAATAGGAAAAAATCTACTACCAGTACAAGGGGTTCCATTCAAACCGAAAAGGAGGAAACACAGCATGGACCGGAATCAAGTATTTTTTTTTTAAAAAAAATAACAATATTGACATTAACACTTAGTTTTTTTTCTAACTTGATATTTAAATAAAAAGTCCACCTTCCACCACCCTCGTTTGCAGAATCTGAATTCCATCAAATACAAAAAATTCAAATGAAGAGTAAAAGAGGAAACTTGTTGAAATGGTCCAATGTACCTTCTCGTTATCCAAACCTAAGTAACGCTTGGGAATTTGCTGGGTAAATAAGATAGTCCTCTTTTTCATTGTGATATCAACGCCCACTCACTCACCCACAACTCACTTTCAACAATTATCTCTCTAGGTGGGGTAGTACTTATTATGTGGAGCTAGAAAATTCAGATATCGACCATTACACAGAAGAGTTAAAGAAAAAGCCATTAATAGGACAATGGCGGGCCACCTCAATTGCAGGTAACGATTTGATTGCTTCTGTGTTATATTCCATCGGACCGTGTGTAGCCCAAGCAGGAAAATATGCTCCTATTAGTATGTTACTCGTAGCACTCTTAATGTATCCGATGAAGCGTATCATCACCGAGGTAGCTACTGCTATGCCATTGAATGGCGGTACTTACAATGCCATGTTGAACTCCACTACCAAATCCACCGCTGCCATTGCTGCCTGTTTGTCAATTTTGGATTATTTGGCCACCTGTGTCGTATCGGCCTCTACAGCATCTGCCTATTTAGCGGCCGAAGTGGATTTACCCGACAGATTAACCCCCTTTATTCTGACCATCGTGATTTTGGTGACATTTTCATTGATTTGTATTTTGGGCTTACGAGAATCTTCTACGCTGACCCTGTCAATATTTACGTTGCATTTAATTACAATGCTTGCAGTGATGCTGACGAGTTTTGTGATGTGGGGAAAAGGCGGAAGTCAAACATTGATTGATAATTGGACAAAATATCCAGACCCACCGGGATCTAATCCTTTAATGATGATTGCTAAAGGTGTCTGTATAGGATTATTAGGTGTTACTGGATTTGAGGTAATCATTTCTTTTAAAAATTGGCATACTGCCAACATACTAAACTTTTATTTTTATACGATATATTGTAGTCTGCAGAGAATTACATTGAAGATCTTAAACCAAATACATTTCCTAAAGTCATGAACAATATGTTTGGTTTTTTGTTTGCGATCAATGCCCCTATGACTTTAATGGTGACTGTACTAGTGCCTGTGCCTGTCATCATTGCAAATTCAGCCAATGCGGTTTCTTTTTTGGGTGAATATGCCGCAGGAGGTGCCTCATGGTTACGTCTCTGGATTATGATTGATGCTGTCATTGTCTTGTGTGCAGGTGTCTTGACAGGTTTGATTGGGGCTATTGGGCTTGTCCAAAGGATGGCTTCTGATGGTATATTGCCCAAGTTCTTTTTGATCCGTAACAGGATTACAGGTTCGTATCAATATATTGTACTGGTCTTTTTGATCCTGAGCATCACGTTGTATGCTATTGTGGGCGGAGATACCACTTCTCTCTCAGGCGTATTTGCTGTAGCTTTCCTAGGAAGTTTATCGACCTTTGCTGTAGCCAATGTCATGATCAAATACAAGCGAGGAAGATTACCGCGATTGAGTAAAGTATCTCTATTGACAGCCATGTGTACATTTGGTGTATTGATGGCCTCCTTAATCGGTAATATCATTATTGATCCCGAGATTGCCGAATACTTTGTGATTTATTTCGCGGTGGTACTGCTCGTGGTTTTAGCCATGTTAAAACGATGCTGGTTATGGAAACTATGTTATTGGTTATATGATCAAATGGATTTATTACACAAGTTTCCTCATTTCTCAGAGAAAGTCGAGATGTTTATCCAGAATAATATTAAAAAGATTCGAAAGAGTCCAATTGTATTCTTTTTAAAGACGGATGAACCCCATGTGATGAACAAGGCGATCCAATATATCAAGAAGAATGAAGATGCAGGATGTGTCAAGCTCATCCATTTCTACCAAAACTCTGAGGATATCCCAGAGGATCTCGAGACAAATCATCGCATACTAGATGAGATTTATCCCAAGATCCAGATTGATTTAGTAAGGATTCCTTTGATAACCATTAGCGCCCCTATAAAAATTAATGTTTGTTTTGTTACTTTTAGGTGTTTGTTATGGGAGAATTCACACCAGCAACAGTGGATGCAGTCTCCAGACAATTAGAAATTGCCAAGGCTCAAATGTTCATGGCCTGTCCAGGTCCCAATTTTGAGTATTCCTTTGGAGATTTTGGCGGTGTGCGTATCATTATGCTTTAGCACGGCATCTATACCTTTTGTACATATAAGAACAATAATAATAAAAAAAAAAGTTTTTTTGTTTTTTATTCAAAAAAATAATTAGTTGATCTTGAGGAGTTCAACTTCAAAGATCAAAGTAGCTCTGGGAGGAATGAGACCAGGATAACCGCGTTCACCGTAAGCATAATCATGAGTACAGGTCAACTTGGCCTTTTGTCCGACAGACAATTGGGGGACACCTATTATAAATAAAGGTCAACACCTTTTGTTCTTTTTTATTTATTTTTCCTTTACACCCTGTATTTTACCTTCATCCCAACCCTTGATAACTTGACCAACACCAATGGTACAGTTGAAAGGACTTCCACGGTCACGAGAAGAATCAAACTTGTCACCGTTCTCGAGAGTACCAACATAGTGCATGCTGACTCTGTCACCCTTCTTGGGGAAGTTCTTTCCGTCTCCGGGAGCAATAGTTTCGACACTGCGTCAATGGTAAGTAAAATAAGAGAAGCCTGCTAATAATTATATTGAACTTACGTAACACCCATGTTTATAATAAGTTTTTTTGTTTGAAAAAGAAGAAGAAAAAAAACAAGAAAAAGTAAAAATATTTCGTGGTTTGATCTAAACGATATAACGTTCAGCTCCGCTCATGATGTCACCAAACAAAAAGGTCAAATCAAAATACCATAAAGGGTTTAGTTGGCGCAGAAACCATGATATTTATTTTATATCATCAGGAAAGAGTCAAAGGTCCTTATATCACAGATATTTATCTCATCACGCTGACTTGATAATATCACCCATAATTTAGTGATATACTTGACAGTCTCTATTCAATTCATTTTTTTCATTCCTGATCTTTATTGTTTTAACGCATCTGCATACATGTACGTTAAACGCGTAATTACTCCAGTAAGTCTGATGCTAGAGATAACTGACAGATTTATGTGACAAATGGTATTGAACAAGATATTTCAGTAAAAAAAAAGACCTTTATATTCACGGATTGGCGACTAAGTGCATTTAACTTTTAGACAGGATGTGCAAACATCAAATTCCCAGTGTTGATATACGACTAGAATTTTTTTGTTTGTTTGTTTCTGTATTCTTTGGTTAGACTAGCTCCAGGAACTTATTATGTATAAACTTTAAGAGGGCATGGCCAAAGGTGAGACCATCAAGATACCCCGCATTTTTATCACTGTCTTATTGGTTGCTGACTCTAAATAAAAGACAACCCCCCTCTGTGTAAAGATCGAGCGTTTTCATATCTAAGTAGAGTGTGTGTATGTGTATTTATACACAAGAAAAAAGAGGATGGAAGGCGCGATGCTAATTTATAGCAGAGAAAAAGAGTGGGATAAAGGGAAATGTGTAAATTAAGAGAGTTATGGTAAAGAGTATATTTTTCACATGCGATTTTTCAAACAGAGCCAATTTGTTCCGAGTTTTTGTTGAGCCCTTCCTTTTTTTTTTTTTTTTTTTTTTTTTTTTTACTTTTTCACTCTCTCTTTCAATAATGTCACAATATCCTTCACAGCAACAGCAGCAGCAACAGCAGCAGCAGCAACAACAACAACAACAACAACAGCAACAGCAACAAGACGCTTCTTTCTTGGATGCTTTAATGATACCCGATGAAGAGAGTAAGAACTATGAAACTCCCTCCTCCTCTAATCGCAAAAGAAGCTACGGACAAGAGTCTTTGGATGACGAAGAAGAAGAAGAAGACAATAAGAAAGAACGCAAAGGTCGTAAAGCGCCTCATGAATTATTAACGGATGCCGAGAAAAAGGCCAACCACATTGCTTCTGAAAAGAAACGAAGACAAAATATTCGACTGGGTTTTGATCAGTTAATTGAAATTGTACCTTCTTTGACACAAGGCAATCGATCGGAAGCCTTTATTTTACAGAAATGTAAGTCTTGTTTTCGGCCTCCACTTAAAAAAAACTAAGGCACTCTATTGAATTTTGTAGCTGTGGATCATATTCGACACTTGATTAATGTAAAGAATGATTTGAAAAGTCAAATAAGAGACCTGCAAGGTGTTTTGGGTGAACCGTAAGTCATTTATTTAATAACTTTTTAATTTATGTCATCCACAAATTAATTTCTTTTTCTTTTTTTGATAGTAACTATGATGAAGATGTAAGCTATATTTTTTTAAATTTTTTTCTTGCAACTAATCATTTTTTTTTAACTAGTCATCTGAGGACGATTTAACATATTCTTCATATTAAAAAAAAAAGAAAGAGAGAAAGAGAGAGTCCAATGATTAAATAAACACAGTTTATGGAGGGGAAAGTTCAGAAAAGGAGGTGGTGGTGATGGTGATGGAGGGGGTAATTTAAACATCTAGAATGATGATTAATAATCCCATATTTATTTATCTTATACATGTACAGGCAAAAAAAAAAAGAAAAAAAAAAAAGAAAAAATATATATATATATTGGAAAAACTAGAGTAATAAATTACCTGTGGATGTTATAGTATGTTCAGGATGAGATGGCGATGATGAAGATGATGGTTGTTGTGGTGGTGAAGGGGTTGTATTTGTGTTTGTGGCAGTCGAAGAAGTAGTAGCAGTAGCAGTAGCAGTAAGTGCAGAAGGGTCACTATGTTGTTGTTGTTGTTGTTGTTGTTGCTGTTGTTGTTGTTGTTGTTGTTGCTGTTGTTGTTGCTGTTGTTGTTGCTGTTGTTGTTGTTGTTGTTGTTGCTGTTGTTGTTGTTGTTGCTGTTGTTGTTGTTGTTGCTGTTGTTGTTGTTGTTGTTGTTGTTGTTGCTGCTGTTGTTGTTGTAATACAGCAGTGGCAGATGATAAATGACCCAAGCCTAATTTTGCATTCAATTCTTCCACTTCCTTCATTAATCGGTAACTTTCTGATCCCCCCATCGAGCCTAGACTCAATTTAGTTTTTAATTCCTCCACTTGCTTAACTAAAAGAGCATTCTCTTCCTCCAGATGAACAATCTTTTCCTCCATTTCGTGAATGTGTTGCTTCTTCTTCTTACGACACTCTTTTGCGGCCACTCGATTTCTCAGGAGTCGACGTTGACGGCGCTCATCGTTAGACATGCTACGACCTCCCGAGCGCTTTGTTCCTCCATCTTCAGAAAGTGGACTACCACCGTTATTGTTTGTGGAAGGTGGAAGTTGAGGTGGTCCAGGAAGAGCTGTAATGACGTTACCACCCTGTTGAAGCTGATGGAGTAAGTTGCTGGCCAAGTTAGGTACAGCGATAGGCGACACCATGGCTTGAGCCAAAGAAGAAGCGGTTAAGTTAGCAAGATCTTGACCTTGTGCCTGAACATAAGATTGAATCAATTGTTGTTGCTGAGGATCGGAGAGTAAGTGCAACCCAGCAGGTGGTCCATGTGGGTTTATATGCATCATTTCGCCACCAGTTTCTTTTTCTTCTTTCTCTGTATCCTCAGTTGTTGTTGTTGTTGTTGCTGTAGTGGTCGTCGTATCATGACTGTGGGTGTTTTCCATCATATGAGGTGCAGAATCGTCTCGTTGAGCAATCTCTAACTTAACTGCCTTGGCTTCTCGGCTCTCTTCCGTCTCAGAAGAAGCAGCGCGCTTATTGGTCGTTTGTGTGGGTTCTTCCATGACTTGTGTTGTGTCAGACATTAGTTAATTTTGTAGTATGACTAGAACAATAGGTAGTTTAATAAAAAGTACACCATTCTATACGTATGTATGTATTGTTTGTATATTTTTTTCTTTTTTTTTTTCGTTTATTTTGGCTCCCTCGACCCTTGCACAACAATAATAAATTTGATAAAAAAAAAGAGAAAGAGGGACTTACTTGTTATACTTAGGAAATATGGTATATGCCTTTTATATTATTGGATAAAAAAAAAAGTATCTTGGTCCTTTCAGGTCGGAATTTTTTTGATGACGAAAAAGAAGTTTGTCGACGTAATAGAAAAAAAAAGAAAAGAAAATATTTTTTTCGATGACGAAGGCGATAGATGCTTTTGCTTTTCTCCCACACCCCAACCTTCAAAAAAAAGTGTGACGTCATTTTCTCATTCAACCTCCGCAATTTGGGGCACGTCTTTCTCCTTCATGCAGGATACAAAAAATCACTTTATCAAGCACACGCTGATCACTGAAAGGGTGATACATTATATAGAAACCAGATATAATTGAAGCTTACTGATCTATTTACTGTTCCCCACTTTAAAATTCCACTATCCTTCGTATGCGTTGAGTGTAGGCCCAATTATTATACGCGGCTAAGCTATTATTGTTATGAAATAGAGGAACTGTGGAACACAATATTAAGTTACACACCAGAGCAAATCAGTAGCTTAAACTTTGTTTATTGTTAAGTTACATTAATTTAAAAATCCGTTGGGACTACTGTCGTTTGACGGTTATTTACAATTTAGGTAATTACTTTGTTATCTATTCTTTGTAGTGATTCCGTGTCTACAGTTTCATGCCGTATGCGCAGTTATATCACTTCATCTGTCTATTGCATGACGACAGAACATGTCAATTGAAGGGAGCCAATAAATATAATTTAGAGGTGTAGAGCAAAAGAAAAGGGCAATTTTAGCCAAATTCCAGCAAAAAAATTAGTCGATATCTCTTTCAACTTTTATGTGATTAATAGTGTAACCAATTATATTCTCCCCCCCCCCCCATTCTAATAATAAGAGAGAGAAAAGTTAAAAATAATCCCACTTGTTCAAAGTTTTACTTGATACCTGAATAATTTTAAGCACAGTCAGAGAGGGGGACATGGACAGTGATTGGAATTTTCAAATGCCCAAGACCCAGTCAATAGCCTGGCTAGGCTCCTTGACTAAATGATACATAGCAATGCTGTCTGTTTAGATATAATGGATGAAAAGACACACTAAACTAGGATCAAGTGTTACAAAGAGCCAATATGTCTAGAAGCTAATTCAAGCTGAAATCATGTATTGCACCCCACACGATATTGTTGAGAAGTGCCCCCTTTTCCGTATTCTCTAGCTGGTCAGCCAATCATTCGAATTAAAATAATTATCTCAGGTCAAATTCAACATTTTCTCATTCCTGTGGGTTCCACCCCCTTATTAGCCTAAATTATGTGATTAAAATGTTTAATACATAATATTCAAGGGCGATTATTCATTATCTTTCTTTTCCCTTTTTTTTTTTTTATTACTTTTTTCTTCTTGTATCCAAAATGAATGCTACATCGATAATTCACAAGAAGACAATGATCAAGAAGCAAAAGAAGAAACAAAAGAAACAGCGGCAACAGAAATTACATTCTTCCTTCATTGCCACACATTATTCTACAAGGTCTGTACTGACAGCCCCTTCCTCCCGTTTGGGTACCTCTCTATCCATACCAACGCCACTGCCTACATCTCTTCTTCCCACACTGGATACCCCGGATGAGCCTATTCAGCACGAAAGTGTATCCGCAGCTGTCATTGCAGCTGGCATGGATCCTGCATCATCATCATCATCATCATCATCATCCAGTACTACCAACAATAATAACAAAGCTGCTCACATTGCCGGTCCGATTGTGGGTGTTTTTGCTGGTGTAGCATTTATAGCTGCTGCCATGTTTCTCATGGTGCGTAACCGAAAAAAGCGTCAATTGACAACAATTGGAACAGAAGAGAACAAGAAGGATGACACATTTCATGATATTTCACTTAAAGATGAAGCTATCACGATACCACCAGCTTGCTTAAAAAATAGATCGATTTTGTCTACGACGACGGACTACTATAGTTTGACAGACACACTGATTGGGTCTGTGAGAACAAAGAAACAGCAATCATGGCAGTCCTCTATAGAGCCAAAAGTTGTCAGTAGTCCCACATCCACGCTTGTGGGTGGTCATCATGTCAATTCATTTTTAATGGTAGCAGAAAGACAACAATTGCAACATGAACGGCCTAGTATATTGGACCATTTCGATAAGCGCATTGAAACTTATAAGGCCCAATTAGCTGATATTGATACAGATGAAGAAGATGACGATAATGATGATGATGAAGAAGAAGAGGATCCGTTACCATTTGTTCACCCTACTCAATTAAAAGAATATTATTATGATAATGATCAATAAATCATGTCTTGTTTATATAATGGTAGATTCTTTTTATCTAGTTTTCTATAGTACAATCTTCTTATATGTGCTGCAGCATTTTTGAAATTTAAAAAGTCCACATCAAACAAGAGCCACCATTCTTGTCCTCCCTGACATGGTAATTTAATCCCTTCATCTCGACATGCTAACCAAATTGCCGCCACTGCAATTGTGGGCGGTTCATGTGTCACATAAATGCTTGTCCTTAATCTACAAGCTTTTGTGTTAAAAATTATTTTAATTCTGTTTTTTTTTTCTTTTTTTTTTCTATCTTACCCGTCATTTAAATAATTCCATGCCCTTTTAGGTACACTGGCATGATCCTCTAGGTCCAAAATACGTAGATAATTTACCATGAGATTATAAGGTAACTGCACATGCACAATAAAACCCAACTTGCGTAGAATCTGCATTTCGGCACCAATCGCCATGGTCTTGAGATTATAAGCACGTTGTGAAAAGGCATCCAATGGACTCTTTGTGGATTGTCCTTTTAAGCGTCGAATCAATATATCGTACACGGTAATCAAGTGGGTCATGCGGACAAAGCATTCTTCTAGTTTTGATGCAAGAAATAATGCTCCCATACCGATCTCTACGATCCCGAATTCTTTTAGACTTGCCATGTAGAAAAATCGCTGGAATAACACTTGTGCCGTTGCCATGGCTACTTGAGGTCTTAACAAACATAAATTAAATTAACACTTTATCAGAAAAAAAAAAAAAAAAAATAAGGGAGACTTACAGTTTTAATAAAATACCTGCACTTTCTATCAGTTCAGAGCCTAGATTACGAAGATCTTCTTCTAATTCTTCTGTGATGCCATCTTTTCTGGAGACTGTAGTTTCCAATTGTTCGAGTGAAGCTAAGGGATTATTTAATGCCACAGACATGATTTCTCAGAATGAGCGAAAAAAAAAAATTACTTTTTTTTTGGGTTGCATGCATTTTATCATAATTAGATCCCCGAAAGATAAAAAGGTAAGTAGGAAAAGGGAAGGCACACATCGCACACACATACTTTCTTTCTTGTACAGAGATGGAATCGTTTATTATTGACAACATTTTAACGAAAAAAAATTTCGATATAATTGATTGTATTCAGATACAAGATGTCCAAAATAAAGCTGTATTTGATGTTCTCTTTAAAGAAACTGTTGGCAAGCTTGCGTCTATGAAGAAACAAGCTAGTATCATTGAATGGGCCACCTCACATATTCTCAACCATTTCGAAGTAAGGTTATCTGTGTCTCTTAAACGTGCTGGCATTAAATTTGATTTTATACATACAGGTCTTAGATAGAATCTATGTTTGGAAATACTGGATAGGGATTGAAATGAAACGTTTGAATCATATGGTGGAGCATCAAATTCTATTGAAAGCACAGAAAAGAGCATTAGAGCAATAAAAGTTTTAATTCTCGACTGCATCTGCTGCTATAAATTATAGTATTACAAACCGTCAGAGTACAGATATATTATCAGATGACGGATCCTGGTGTATGGGTGGGAAAAGTTATGCAAACAGAAATTGTGTGAGTTTGCCCTTTCAACTGCATTTTTCACAAAAGCAAATGACGGGGTAAAATATAAAAACGTGGGGGATCTAAAATAAGAAAGGATATTCCTCCGAGGAAGTCCAGCTGTCCAATAGTTTTTTTGAGTCTCCGTTGTCATGGCAGCAAGCCCAGTGTGTTGGCCCTACCCCTTTTTTTATTTCATATTTATTTTCTTCTCTTCTTCTCTTTTTTTTTGTTTTTTTGTTTCTTCTTTATAAAAGAGCATATGAACTCGAATAGTTGGAATTTGCGACAGTTGTTTGGTTTAATCGATCAGAACCAAGATGGCATTATTGATGTACAGGACCTTGTGGCAGTCTGTACTTTACCCAACACACAACTTGATCAAAAGACGCTTTCGGGTATACGAAAGGTGGTAGTAGACAACCAATCAGCCAACCATCAGCAATTAGCGTTTTCCGAGTTTGCCTCTTTACTTGATCGCCATTCGATCATGACAACCGAAATCAAGTCGGAACAGCTCGGGAAAATCCTGGATATTGTCGTGACCCATACTTTATCCGTGCCTTCTACCACGAACACCAGTGTTTTTGCTTCTGATACCATGAAACATTTAATTGCAGGAGGCGTTGCTGGCGCTGTTTCGCGTACAGTAGTGAGTCCAATGGAACGTATGAAAATCTTATTTCAGGTACAGTCCTTTTTTTTTTTACAGTAATAAAAAGATTACCCACTCATATAAATTAAAAAAATATGATATCACATGTAACACACATACTCCCCCGTATCCTAACAAAATTCAAAATAGGTTCAGGGTCCAAACATGCCAGCTTATACAGGTGTTTGGTCTACTCTCACTCGGATGTGGAAGGAGGAAGGCTTTAAAGGTTTCATGCGAGGAAACGGCACAAACGTCATCCGAATGATCCCTTACAGCGCATCCCAATTCGCCGCCTATGAACAATTCAAAGCTTACTTGATGAAGGACGGTAAGACTGAATTAGACACGCCCAGTCGATTATTAGCAGGTGCCTTAGCTGGTACTGTCTCTGTCGCATGTACTTATCCACTTGATCTCGTACGCACTCGACTATCCATTCAATCCGCCACACTTATTCCATCACCCACAACAAAACTGCCGGGGATCATGGATACAATTCAACTGATTTATAAAACAGAGGGTGGAATACGTGGGTTATATAGAGGTTTGTGGCCAACGACGCTGGGCGTCGCTCCCTACGTTGCTCTCAACTTTCAATGTTATGAGGTTCTCAAGGACTTTATGATCCCTGCCGGGACAGAACAAGGCAATATTAGAAAATTATTTTGTGGTGCATTAGCTGGTTCAATCGCACAAACCATCATATATCCATTAGGTAAGTCATCCGTCTCTGTGTGTGTGTGTGTGTGTGTACAAAGATAACTAATACTCTGAAAATAACAGACGTGCTTCGTAGACGCTTCCAGGTGAGTGGGATGAATACGATGGACTATAAATACACAGGCACATGGAACGCATTAACCACCATGGCAAAGAAAGAAGGCATCAAATCACTGTACCGAGGTCTACTACCCAACTATTTAAAAGTCGCACCTGCCATGGGTGTGACTTTTTACTCTTATGAATTATGTAAAGACTTTATGCATGCAAAATAATTATAATGATAATGATAATAATAATAATAAAAAAAAAAAAAATATGTATTTATTTTAGTTTACAATTTGAGCGTGCTGAGATCTACGACCAACTGACTGGGATCAAAATCCCAAATCACGACTTTGCCATCTACGCCACAAGTGGAGAACTTGGTCACATGATTACGCTCACCTGCATACACTCTGATTTCATTAATCGTGTTTTGATGGACGGTGTTGATGGTGGTATCATTCTCAGTCTCACCACGTGAATCCATCGTCTTGAAACGGGCCAAGACGGAAGAAGCTTGCGTTACCTTCTTACGTCCTGTATCAAGGGATCCTGCATAATGCCAATCTTGACCATCCTTTGTCTCATAAAGAATAGGTGCACAATCAAATCCGGCAGCTACAATTTGTTGCTCATTGGTCCAGATTAAAGAACGGAAAGGTAAAGTATTGTTGATGATGGAAATCACGGTATGGTTACCATCGGCTTGAGGATAGACCACATTCATGGAAGAATCATGACCTGCAAAAGCAAGTGCATCACCAGAAGGAGAAAATGCCACAGAATGGACCCAACCACCACGACCACTACTGAACTCACCACATACTGTATTAAAGGGTAACTTATCTCCCCATCCACTGGGTGCAGGTTTCTTATCCAAACCCTTAATAAAGGAAGAGAAGACACGAGCCTTCATATCAGCAGAACCAGCAGCCAATAAGACGTTATTGGGATGCCAGTCGATGGAAAGGACAGTACTACGGATAGGTTTCTTTAAATGCTTACTGGCCCACCAATCATTGTCTTCCTCGAAATAACAGACGGCAATACAACGGGCACCACTGGCAACAGCAAACTTTTCTTCGTTAGGGGACCAACGTACGTGAGTAGCAGCACGGTTGATACGCAATAAGACAAGCCCCGGCTTCCAGATACCGCCTTCGTTAGTCCAGACATAGGCATTTCTATCTTGAGAACAAGTAACAATACGGTTGGTGTTGGGGGCAAAATCGATACTCGTAATGACTTTATCGTGCTATATGTATATATGTATATATGTATATATTAGATTGAGAGTTTAGAAACAAAAACACAGGAGATGGGCTTGAAGAGTTCGGGTGGGGGAAATACTTACACCCTTTAAAGTAGCCAATAACTTGGAGTTAGAATGCCCGTACTGGTATATTTGAGCATCGTTGGTATTGGGACAAACAACCAATTCTATGTCATTAAAGAATAATTAGCCGCGTGTAAATAATAAAAGGTTACCGCCAGATGAGAATGTACTTACGGTCCTTGTTGAAGGAATGAGCTGTGATGGGAGCGTTCCCAAGTTCGTAAATCTCTGGTGAAGACATGGTTATATTTATAAGAAGAAAAAAGAGGACTCTTGTCAGTCGACTCTTTAATTATTATTGTTTATTGAAGAGAAGAAGTTTAGAAACTAAAAGTTGAACTCGCTGTTTATATAAGCTTTTTTTTTTTTTGGGAAAAATGATGTCAGCCAATTGAATGTCCCCTTCTAGCCTAATTTTTATTATTTCGTCATGCAAACAGTAACAAATCTTAAAGCTTTTTACTCACTGGCGTTGTGAATATGCTTGAACCTATGGATGAGAGTAGGTCTGATGAGCTCCTCGCGCGTGCGGTAACTGTAAACTTCTCACAAGACATTGATTTGGATGAGTTTGGTCTCGACCCAAGCTCCATTGAATTATTAAAGACCATCATAACGAACACGTATGTATTAGAGATAGATATAATGTTTTTTTCTATAACAACTAATATCCACTAAACGTATAGAGACAACGCAATTGGTTTGCTCACCTCTGTTTCTGCTCAAAAAACTGCAGCACTACAACGGGGTCTACAATCTGATATGTACAAGGCTCTTTGGATATTGAAGTAAACGCATGAATCACTTTCTCCTCTTCCCCTTCTCCATGTAATACGTTTGAGATATTTATATCTGGACATGACACTTGCAAAAGAATTAACAGAACAAACTTGCTATCGTTTTTTTGTTGTGTGTTAGCGGGATAGTTATGGAAGAGTAAGAAGATAGCAATGCGCACATATTTTTTATACTAATATGCTATATACTCTTCCTGTTATGGAGAAGTTATTTCTGAAGCCATAGAGGCGTCAAAAAATCATGAAACTGGTGGATTCTTTGGCAGTAAAATTGATATGATCATCAAAGTCCATAACACATCAATGGGGCTTTCAATTAACGAATGGAGGTCAATGATGACTGATGACCAAAGACTAACACAACAATCATAAAACATCAGGTCAAACTGTGCCCTATTAAACTAGCTTCAGATAGATCTTGGTGATGATGAGCAATTACTTGCGATGGATATGACGGAAATCCATGTTTGCTATTTACTTAAATTATCGTATGATTAGGGGACGCTGGTTACATATACAGTCTTCAAAAAAAAAATGGTGATGCTTACCTCGCTTTCCAGCTCACCCCTATATTCTTACCATCCGATATTTGCCAAATGAAGCTTTTTGTTTAAATGGAAACATTTCATGATTACACAGTCCAAACGCTTAAAAGTGCAAATGGCAAATAACAGGATGGAAAATATTGCTGGACGTTTATCTTTGGCTCAACCATCAAGCACCATCATACACAAAGTCATTTTCGGACTATGAAGGGCTTCCTCCGCGAAGCGATCTGACGAAGAACCGTAGAGAAACGGATGTTAAACACAGAAAATAATAATAATAAAAGTAGTAGCTATATATTATCAGTCTTGTTTGTTTCTTATCAAAGGCAAATCCCTCTTTCATCTATCTATAAAAGGGTGGCATTTATGATAGTTCAAAGCCTGAAAAAACAAAAAGGTTCCATCAGTTATGTTCTTAGCAAACTCCGACCGATGCCCTGTCGTCGATAAAAATCATGCATTTGTTGTTTTTACGCCTTTTTGTTATTGATTATTAGAACATTAATGTTTAGATTGTCCAAAATCCAGTTACGGTCTATAGCAAGAGCGCGTTCCATACAGTTCAACAATACACGTCTTGTAACAACTGTTAAAAAATTCGCCCCTGCTTCTATCGTTTTCAACACTCAACAAAAGGCCAACACATTCTCAACTGTATGGCGCACAACAGCCTTAATTGCTACTGTAGGTTTGGCCTACAGTTCAGCTACAAATAATGTGCTTGCGCTTGAAACAAACGATCGTAAGCTGAAATAATCATTGACAACTTTATCCTTCAATTAAAAATCTATTTTGTAGCCTTGGGTGACGCTATTTGTCAAGCCATTGTTCAAAACGACTTTAAAGCTTTAAAAAAGTAAGCAACCCTTATGCAGTGTATAAGAATGTATCTCACCACAAGCGTTTATCATAATAGATTAGCAGATGATCCAAATTTTAGCCCAAACGTGTACCATCGTTATGGTTGGACACCATTGGTATGCATATTCTATAGGGATAATACATACGAGCTGACATATTCTTTAAAATAGCAAGTAGCGGTAATCCAAGACAATGAACCCATGGTTAAATTCCTTTTAGAAAAAGGAGCTGGTAATTTTTTTAGCATGCTTTGAGTATGATTTACTGCATGTTTGTTTATCATCATAATCTTTAGATCCCAACCTTGAAGATCAGTATTATCCACGATCACATCAAGCCGCCAATGTGCGCCAAGTCGATTTCTCTGAAGATTTATTACCTTATCGCGATTATAGAGAGTACACAGCACTTCATTATGCAGTCATTATCTGTAACCCAACCATTGTCAAAATGTTGTTAAATCACTTGGCTGATCCTCTCGTGCGCAACTCACATGGATTGACACCTCGAGAATATTTATACTATGTAGAGAGGTTTACTGGTGAACAAAACACTGAAATAGAGAAATTGTTACATGGTAAGATATGCGTCATGTACGCTTGGGGTTGTTCACTTTTTTTAACCAGTGTGTTTTAGACAAGGAAAGTTCATTCCCAAAAGATAAAGCAGAGCATGATGAACGTATACGCAAGGCCCAATTATTAAAAGAAAAGGAATACCGTAAAAAGCATCCTTTAGAGGACTCTTTAAAAGCCCGTATTGTAGGTCAACTAGGTCCTATCCATGCTCTAGCAAGTGCTATTAGACGTAAGCAAAACGGCTGGCATGACGAAGAACATCCCTTGGTATTCTTGTTTTGTGGTTCATCTGGTGTCGGAAAAACCGAGCTTGCAAAAGGTACAAGTCTTTTAGAAAATTAGGAAATCGTTTTTAGCTAATTTAAACTTTCTTAGCTTTGGCTCAGCATCTTCATGGTAAACAATTAGATAAAGGATTTATCAGAATCGATATGAGTGAATTTCAGCATAAGCATGATGTATCACGATTTATTGGCTCTCCGCCCGGTTATGTTGTAAGTTTAGTAACGTAAATACAAGGGACTGTATAATGAAAACAAAAAAAAATGTTAGGGATATGATGAAGGTGGACAATTGACAGAAAAATTGAAAGAATGTAAGCGGGGTATCGATTTTTTTTTTCTTTTTAATTCAGTCACTGACATTTCCCATGCATACAATAGGTCCCAATGCAGTTGTCCTATTGGACGAAGTAGAAAAAGCGCATCCTGATGTTTTGACAATCATGTTACAATTATTTGATGAAGGTCGTATCACAGACGGTAAAGGAACTACGGTCGAATGTAAAGACGCCATCTTTGTCATGACTTCCAATTTAGCCCAACATGAAATCGCCGATGAAGCTGAGCTTTTACGTCTCGAAGCCTCTGTTTCTTCCGATGCACAAACCACAGGAACTGCCACTGTCATTGAACCAAAAGCAGACGCTGATCAAGATAAAAAGATTAACCGACAGATCTCTCTTTCCCGTCAGTTTATTCAACACGTCATCTACCCTATTCTTTATGAGCATTTCCGTCGTGATGAGTTCTTGGGTCGTATCAACGAAGTCCTCTTCTTTTTACCGTTTAGCGAGGAGGAGTTACGTGAAATCACTTCGAGAGAACTCTCCCGATGGGCTGAAAAGGCAAGAACCAGACATGGCATTACCATGACCTGGGAACCCGAAGTGGTAGATGTGCTAGCAGATGGGTATAACATTCGTTATGGTGCTCGTAGTATCAAGTATGAGGTGGAAAGGAAAGTAGTCAATCTGATCGCTAAAGCGAATGAAAACGATGAGGTCCTGGATGGTGGACGCGTTCATCTCGTAGTGGATAAATCGATCGATAAAAAACATCGCATCTGTAAGCTTGAAATTCCTGAGAGAGGTGGAGATGATAGTAAAAAACCAAGCGGCGGCGGATGGTTTGGTAGTAAAAATTAATTCGTCTTTAATAAAAATTCCAGAACCGCATCATGATGTTACTCATTCTCAATGATCAAATTATGATGCAAGCCTGTTACCAATAACATAAATAATCTTGCCGTCTGTCGACTATACTTTTTTTTTTCTTTTGCTACATAAAAAACTTTGAAGAGCAACAATGATTGGTAACTTTAAACGAGTTGAGAATTATTGTGCATTTAAAAATGTAAAAAAAGATACATTTGGGAAAATGATAAGAATAATTTACAACACTGTTCAATTATACGGATTTTTTATTGAAATGTGCAGATTTAACGCCTTGCATTAATATATGCGTATATATAATTTTGCGAAAATAAGAGACGGAAAGTTAAATAATATCGTTACAATGGCTTCTTCTTTTAACAGCAGTCAGTGTATGATTTCAAATGTTACTCTAGTTTTTTAAAAATCTAAGATTAGTAAAGATGTTACTCTATATCTAACTAATCCTTTTGAATATAGGTGAGTGAATTGTTTAGATAAACAAGTGGATTCTAAATTGATATTATCATAGTAAAATTTCAGATGGTTGCCATATCTGTATCTAGTAAACCAAAATATTATACCTAGACAGTTTTGAAAAGGGTTTTTATTTTTTTAAACGATAATGATTTATGGATCCTTAATAAATCATACAGGTCTCTCTTCAACAGATAGCTCAAACTTGACATACAATTCTTTAGTATCACACTGTATGTAACTAAAAAAGGAAGACGATAATTGGATATTAAAACGCCGCTCCCTTTTAATAAGCGCTGAGCCAAGAGGCACAGTTGTGTTTTTTTTTTGTTGTCTGAAAGTTTTCTGTTTTTGGAAAATAAGGATGCGCAGTAGAAAGAGCAAGATCAAATACGAATTCCAGGGTTCTGAATCTAGAAAGACACCCAGTTTTGGGAGGGGGAAAATGGGTACCATTATGAACACAAAAGAAAATGTTGTCGATTGACAAATGATATATGTTTGCGTGTGTGTTAGGGGCTTGGTACTTAAACCGGGTCATCAAGAAAAAAAAAAAAAAAAAAAAAAGACACGAGATTAAAACCGAAAAGAGGTATTTCAGCACAGACATAAGACACGGAAACAAACAAAAATGTGGTAAATCACAACGTGTGTGATCAAGAGAAAAACTATGTTATTTATTTATTTATTAATTTACAACTCATCAAATTGACGTGCTAACTCATCCAACTCGGATTTGGCACCGTTATACTTTTCAAGAAGTTCCTCATAATGTTGCTCCTTATCAATCAACTCTTGTTCGAGCATTTGAACTTGACGTTCAGCATTCTCAGCCTTTAAATCAGCCTCGTTGTAGCTAGTTTGAATAAGTACAACGTTCATCATAAGGGAAGGGAAGAGATGAAAAACTACTTACTTGGCAGAGGTGGTTTGCAATTTGTCCTCGGTCTTATCCAATTGGTCTTCCAAGTTCTTTGCACGGATTTGGATAGATAAAAGTTCATGGTCCTTGGAAGTATGTTCTAATTCAAGTTGCTTGATTTTGGCTTCATATTCTTCGGCAAGTGCGTTTTGTGCCTCTGCTTCAGCACGTAAACTGGCGAGTCTCTATTTTACTTTTTTGTAAGGAGCTCATCTCCGCATGTCACCTTTATATTCATTTACCTCTCTAACTTTATCCATGATGTATTTGTTTTTTGTGAAGTGATGACAAGAACAAGAAAAGGAAAAAAAAAATAGAAGAAACAGGGCTGAAGAGCTTTTTATAAAGAGAGCCCAAACCAATTAAAATCTAGTGCCTTCTGACTGAATTTAGAAACACATGGATTTTACAGTTGCTCACGGTACCAATTTGCGCGATTTCAAATACTTGTAAAATAGCAATTTGTGTAAATTTAATTGGGCCAGTTCACGTCCTCCAGAACTTTTTGGGATCAACATGTCCGGATAGCAACATTTCGAATGGTTCACAAACTCGTGCTCCTGGAGATAGAATTTGAAAAGTCTAAGTGCTTTTGATATCAGAGTAAGGTTGAGTATTGATTTTTTGTTTAGGACTACCGTGAATGCCACGAATTATGTGTAACATATCTATGCAAGAAAACCACCAAAATCTATTAAAACATCATACAGTTACAGAAATTGTTATGACAAGGCAAATTCTTATAACGTAAGTAAATTTAACCAACATGTGTGCTTTATGTTCCAAGATCTCTATGTATGAATAGAATGCGCAAATTAAATGCTTAAATAAGCAAATGAAGCATCTCATTGTGACATATACTGGCCTTTGTTGAAAAATAAAAGGGCAAAAGTTGTTCTTGTGCTTTATCTTCCTGAATAAGCGATCTTCGAAAATCATTGTTTCAAAATGTAAAAAAGAAAAATCGAACTTACCACTCAAGTGCATCCATGATTTAGTTGCGATAAAAGGCCTGGAACAATTTATCTGAGACGTTACAAAATGTTTCTGCGTTAACAGACATGACAATACTGACATGTCCTAAATTCCGCAAGCAAGTATAACCTTCGAACATTTTTCTAAAGCAACCGACAAAATCTAAGGCATTGGATGAGTCACTGGACCTTGTATTTGGAGCAGACCAGCCACCCATGACATAAACAACATCGACACCGACTGTTCATTCGGTTTTGTAATTGGGTTCTCGCTTTCTTGTTGTTCTCTAAAATAAACAATTAGACGCCGTTTTTTGTGCAAGATATGAAAAGCATAATGGTTTTTAATAATGGTTGTTATATTACACCTGTGTGCAAAATACTGTTTAAACCCATCTCTATCTAATAAATCCTAATTGTTCAAAAGCATTTACCTCTTTATATTTATGTTGAAAATAGTAATACTGTTTATGACAATCTAGCAGTTCAAAAGTGTTGACAAGAAGTAAACGTTCACTAATCTGAACAGAACTATGATATCACTTTGCTTGGGTGAAGTCACTACCAAAGAGGGTAAACGGGATAACCATTTGCGGTATTGATCCTAATAAAGAATGACTACTTGCTGTATCATATGGTTATAGTGAAGAACCTCACCAAGTCTATTAAGAGAATATTAACGTAATATTCTAAGCTGATATAAGTAAGACTTTGAACAACTAATGTCCCTAGTCTACACTTATAAATATTGTAAAATATATCCCTTTTAAGGCAAAAGTATTTGGAGAAATATATAATATTGTGCTCTACTTTGGTAGAAAAATAATAATCTATTATAGCATAAAAACAAGGTGCAGAAAGCGACAAACAACCAATCAAATTTATGGGGATTGATATTTTACAAGTTTTTACTAAATATTAAAAAACAAATCTCACATAATTCTAGATGATACTGTCCTGCTTGTTATCTAAAACAGCGCTTCTTACCATCTCTAATGGTAGTAAAACGCACTCCTTCATGTTCCAATAACGCAAGTTGCAATTACGTGGCAAGATCAGGTCGGTCACGAGAGGCTCTGTCAAAGCAGGATGTTCGTAGGTCTCATGAACGGACTTTGAATCATCTGGATACGTTGTTAAGTCACATTCCTCTTTCTCGTCGACCATCATAATACTGGATGCAACCGAAGGATACAGATCATCCTCTGTGTTTTGAACCGTGGTAATGTCCGATTGGCAAGACCGAATATGGTGTTGTAATGTAGATAAATGCATGGTGGATTGATTGTTGGAGCTGTGTTGAGCATACCTACCTGCCGCCCACCAATTCTTGATGTAGGAAAACTTCCAGATATCATCCAGATGCCTCCAATAAGATAGGTGAATTTGATCGGTCTGTTTTAAATTGCCATGAACTGTATCGAATCTGCCGATATAAGGGTGTTTGGATCGACGTTGGAATAGACTGTTTAATTTCACCTTGAACCAAATGGTGAATATGATGAGAGGTAAAATCGCAGTTGCAGCCGGAATCACGCCTTTAAGATAAAGTAAACCCACCATCGTAAATTGAAATATTAATAATCCATCCGATGTATACCTTGTCATCTTTCGGTAATGACGTGATCCGCCCGTTTCGTATCGACGTATATAACTGTACATGTATTGGTGTCGGTATACGATGAGTGCAAAGGCAAAATAAAAGAGAGCGAATATTAGGATCAAAGGCTGAATCACAGAGTAGGTGACGGTAATGACTAGCACGAGTATATGGTTTGGATAGTAATAGTAGTAGGGAAAAGACCAGGGAGTTGTATTTTTCATTCGCATGCGTGGGGTCTTACTGATACAGGGTAATGTAAATAGCAAATGTCCAAATATTTGTGACCCCAGTTGGATTAATTCCATAGCATGCGTAGAGGAATTAAATAAAATGTAATTTAGGAAAAAGTTTGCTCCTTGCGGTAGGGCATTGGCTAATAATTGAATCAACATGGTGGGTTCGTAAAGTACATCCAACATGGTTGTAAGGAAAGTAGTGCCCAATAGAAATACAATCAATACATTGAATATCGCGAAATGATAATATCTTCCCAACACTGCATCTTCTAATTCAGAATACGACACAAAATCCTGTTGTTTAGAAATTTCTGCAAATGAACCAAATTAGGTTTGTATGTTTGTTTGTATAGGTAGATTAAAATATGAGTCTGTTACCTAATAAGATCCAGGGCAAGAAACTCATAAACAAGGTGACCAACAATGTAGGTAAAATGTTCTGGATAAACGAACGAATCAGGAAAGAGGTATTCAAGAAGTACTGCAAGAACACCAGGTGTTGCGATAAGGATTGAATTGAGGTTAGACCCAATATAAAACTAATTGGGAACAGCCAAAATATGGTAAGAGACCATACTGCAGCAAACACAATCCATTGTCTGAACTTTCCATTGATGCGGTCTTTTCTTCCTCGTCGTAAAAGACTGCGCCATAGGATGTCTCTAGGCTCGGGAGCCATTCTTGTATCAAATACACCTGGTTTCCACGAAGTGACAATTTGAGCACATATCTGCGCCGAATAAGCAGAGCTATAAAAAAAGAAAAGGGGAAGAAGTTAGGACGAATAAATAAATAAAACAATTGATGCGACTTGCTTGAAGGTGACAAAGGCAGTGCCCGTGGGCATGTAATATTCAGGCGACCTATTGACATCTCTTAGACGAACTATTTCCTTATCCATGGCCTCCAATTCCTGCAAGAGGATTTTTATTTTGTCAACACCGGGCTTTTGTTTTATTTGTGAAATGAAGGAATACCAATCGACGGCGATTCCGTTTGAGACCATTCCAATCAACATGATTTCCAATTTATCAATATGTTTACGCCTTTTCTTAAGGATGGTTTCAACTAGTTTGATAGCGGTGTTTGAGACAAGCGTGACATGTTGCACTGTGCCTATTTGAGCCCTATCAAAGTGTTGTTGTAGACTTGTTGTGTTTCGAAGATTGGGTGGCACATGTGTGATCAAAACAGAGCGTTGATGTAACCGGTTCGCCTCTGGTTGTTGCTGTAACAAGTCAATATGGTGAATGTGGTTCACAAACAAAAGCCATAACCATACTAGTGAGATGGTAAAAATAAAAAACACATGCACCCACACCACGGGGTTTTTGTTGGGAATATTGGCAATAGAGAGGTAATAAAGGGTCGAGTTTGACCTAAAATGATCCACGGATACTTCGGACACGGAGGATTCGTTTTTAGCTAAAGATGTAAATTCGTCTGCTATATCAGCATGATCTAATGACTCAGTAGCACTAGTCCAATGCAAGCCCAAAAGAATTGGACATACTACCAGAGACAATAACGTCAAAAAATGAACGACCATGCGTAAAAAGCGAATATGCATTGTTGCGTCTAAGCCTACTTTTTTTACGTAGTCTTGTTCATCTAAATAAAATACAGATGTCACCCAGGAAAAGAGATGACGTGCTTGTTTAGGAACAGGGTCACTACAGAAATTTGAATTTGGATGTTGGTGCTGTTGTCAAAAAAAAAAAGAGGTGTGTGCAAATCTTACGTTTGCAATAGTGTACGTGGCGAAAATAAATTCTTCATAGAATCACAACGTTTACAAATTTCGAAACCGATGATACAAGTAGCCGATACGGCACACGAAATACCCAATGTGGTGGATAATCCTAAAAATGTTGGAACATAATAAGCTGTGTCTATGGTTGCCATACTAAATGCATTTAAACAAAGAAACAAAGAGAAAAAGGAAAAAATAAAAAAAAGGTGATTTTATTTTTAAGCCCCAAAAAAAAAAAAAGAGGGAGTGACTAAAATACAAAAGGAATGATAATGGGGTGGGGGGTGAGTTATGGTTTTGATCAAAATTTCTTTTGTTGACGTTTTTTCTCTTTTTCTGCTATAGTGCCGGGTGGTTCGGTTGTCATGGCAACTAAATTACCCCTTTGTTCTGCTATCTTCCAAACATGGTGAACATGACGTGCGCCTGGTTCATTTATGGAGCAGACATCGATGGACTGAATCCAAGTGTCTTTCATAACGGTTGGGAGGCTATAACGACGCGTAGGGTCAATTTCCAAGATGCTTGTCATGACCGAACGGGACTCACGTGGCAAGAGGTTTAAGAGGCGAAATTTCTGTTGACCGGTGGCGAATGCGCGAAAGGCAGCGTCTGAATTTCTTGGTAGTCTCCAGGGAAAGCGCTTGATTGTCATACAGACAAAGATGATGCCACATGACCAGATGTCTGATAAACGAGGGTCGTAGACTGTCTGTGTGTACTGTTCTGGTGCAATGTAAGGATCTGAGCCGAACACGCCTACGATAATTGCTATCAATAAATATGTATGCGTATGTGTATGTGTTTATTATGTACCTTTGGTCATGTTGATGCTCGTTTCACATGGATAGCGAAAGACAGTAGAGCAACCGAAATCAATAATTTTGAGAATTCCCAAATGATCAAGTACCAAGTTATCTAGCTTGAGATCTCGATGAGCAATACCCATGGAATGTAAATGGCTGACGCCGTTCAATAATTGGCGCCAACAGCAAGCGACTTCTTCTTTTGACATCATACCGCTCATGACGACATTAAACAGATCGTTGGGAGCATACTCCATGATTTCATAAAAGTTATCATCTTGTTGGAATAGGTCGAGCGTTTCAATGATATTGGGATGATGTAATGTAGAGCCTATACAGAACTCGGCAGTGACTTTTTTGACATAGTCTTTTTCTGTTTCATGTTTTGTTCTTTTACGGAACTGTTTGACTGCATACACTTTTCCTTTTTGATGAATGAGTCGCACAGAACCACCAGCTCCTTTGCCAATATATTTACCTACGTATGTGAATATTTTGGTTAGTTTCACTCCTTATTTTACATTATATGCCGCAAAATGCCTCGTTACCCCATTGTCCATAGCGACCTGAAATATTTTGTTTAAACCCGTTTAAATGTTCTTCTTCAGCAGCAGGTGGCTGCATGATAAAGAACCGCTTTAAATCGATGATGGGGCTATTATGATTATTTGTTTGCACGGGCGTTAATGAGCCATGATGAAAATGAGTCTGATGGTAGTATTGATTGTAAAGAGGCTTTTTGAAGACGAATTGTGGAGGCGTATTGGGGTAATGCAGAGAACTGTCGGTTGAGCAAGTAGAGACAGATATTGTCTTTTTGGCTCGATTGGAACATGATGCTACGGTTTGTAAGAGTCTAGTTAATTCTACAAAATCTACTGCACTAGGATCATTTGTATGAAGATGTTTAGTGGTTGCATTGGCGTGTGTCACTACAGCGGGTGAGAGTGTTGGACTGGAAGGCACTGATTTTTCTGGCGTTAATAGTAAACCTTCAAAAGGTGGAATTCTCAAATGAAGTGTCATTTTCTATTGGTTATTATGTTATAAAGCAAAGAAAGAGAAAGTGGGAGCGAGAAAGAGAGAGAGAGAGGAAGAAAGGGTGAAATGTAAGATCAATTTATAGCCAAAAAAAAAAAAAAAAAAAAAAAAAAAAGTAGGGCTCAGGTGATGCTAAACACACTGACTTTATTTTTATATGGTCATATTAAACTACCAATCTTACTTTTTTCTTCTTCTCTCTCACCTCTTGTTTCAGCACTCATGTAGGTCGAAATGACGATTATAGATAAACAAAAGAAATCAGGGCTCCTTTTAACTGTTTGAAGGGGGGAGGAACAAATCAGTTGATTTTGATATTTCCTGTGTTCCCTGCCCCCCTTATTTTCTTAAATTAAAATCACTTGTTTTTCCGAGTTAAAAATAAACAACCGGAGACCTAAAAATGTCAAACTTTTTTTTTTTTGTTATTTTCTTCTCATTGACACCATGTTCAATGGCAAATTCCTGACACCTTGTTTCAAAAGTAAACAACCATGGAAACGGTTACTATCCACACAACCCAGCGTTGTCTTAGCAATGTCAGGTGGAGTTGACTCGAGTGTTTCTGCGGCCTTGTTAAAGCAACAAGGCTACAAGGTCCAGGGTGTTTATATGCGCAATTGGGACAGTTTGGACGAAGTGGGACATTGCACAAGTAAAGCCGATTGGGAGGACGTTCAAAAAGTATGTTCTATTCTGGATATAGAATGCTCTCAGGTGGACTTTGTCAAGGAATATTGGAACAATGTGTTTGAAAAGACACTGACGGATTATGCTCAAGGTGTGACACCAAACCCAGATATTGGCTGCAACAGCTTTATCAAGTTTGGATCATTGTTAGACAAGATACCAGAGGGAACATGGTTTGCCACTGGTCATTATTGCAGAACAAACAATGGTAAATTGCTGCGCGGATTAGAGAGAAATAAGGATCAATCGTATTATTTATCCACCGTGCCTGAAGCAGCACTTAGACGAACTTTGTTTCCCTTGGGTGAAATCGAATCGAAGGTGAAAGTTAAACAATTAGCGACAGACTTCGGATTGCTTGATATAGCAAAGAAGAAGGAGTCAATGGGAATATGCTTTGTGGGACAGAAAAGAAAGTTTGCTTCCTTTTTACAGGAATATATTGATCAACCACCAGGCCCCGTCATAGATCTAGATTCTGGTAAAGTAATTGGCCAGCATGAAGGTTTATATGGTTACACCATCGGTCAAGCTTCTAGAATTTGTCATGGCTCTCATAAATGGTTTGTTGCGGACAAGCTGTTGGACCAGAATAAATTAGTATGTGTTGCTGGATCAAATCACCCTGCTTTATTCTCAGATACTTTGGTTGCTAAAAACTGGACTTGGATCCATCATCAAATACCTACTCTGCCTGTGCAAGTGGATGCACAAGTGAGGTATCGACAGTCACCTGAAAAGGCGATTTTGTCACAAACACCCGATGGCCAATATGCCTTACGTTTCACTCATCCTATCAGAGCAATTGCACGTGGCCAGCAAGTCGTTGTTTGGGATCAAGATTGGTGTTTAGGCGGTGGTGTCATTGATGCTGTACTGTAAATAAATAATAATAATAATAATAATAATAATAAACAAATCTTATTTATTTAAAAGAAAATATAGGTAAAGATAAAGACTAATGCAGCAACAGCCATCACCACTTGAGGTGGATAACCCTCCACGGGACTAGGCTTCTCAAGTGCGGCTAAATGTTGGTGCACAGCATCCAAAGGTTGTACTGTAGCTGCTAATTTACGACCATTGGTGCGAGCACGCACACTTTCCTTTTGTGCCTCAGCCAACTGTTGTTCCAAAATTGCAATCTTTTCCAAAGCTGCCCTCAATTCAACTTCAGCGTTTGTGTTCTTTGTTGGCTCTGAAACAGTCTTATTATTAGGGGTTGGAACAAGGACGGGATCTTTGCTGACAGTAGTTTGACTGACAGTAGGAGCTACACTACGGATAGTAGGGACATGCTTTGTTTCAGGTGTGACGATTGTAGGAGCTGTTGCGGTTGCTGTTACAGGTGTTTCTTGTACAGGAGCAGCAATAGGAGCCGCTACAGTGACTGGAGCAGCAACGGGAGCAGGAACGGGAGCTGTGGGTGGAGCGGTTGTAGTGACTGGAGAAGGTACAGATACTGCTGGTACTGCTGGTGCTGCTGGTGCTGGGACAGGTACGGGTGTTGTGTCAATGGATGATGTATTTAAGGGTGATGATGCAATATCGGTTGTTGTAACCGGTTCAGGAATAGGAGATACAATATTTTCCTTTTTTTGGGTGTTAGAGATTCTTGTTCTACATACATTCATAATAATGACATACCTCCTCCTTGTTTGGTACAACAAATACACACTTGATCTTGTGCTGACGCATTGTCTCCTTCTCAAGGCTTTCAACATGACCCCACTATTAAAAAGTAATCATAAATACCCCACACTTTCTCTTCTCCATACTAGTCAATTATACGTTACCATGCTGGTGACATCTTGTTGTTCGAATGATTGATGAATAGGAGCCGTTTGAACAAGGAACTTGTCTTTACACTTGTAGTCTTGAGGAAGGTCTTCTTTAAAAGGTTGCAAAATAACTATAAAATGTGTGGTCAAATAGATTAATTATGTATTACATTGTCATTTATATGAATATCGATGCTTTACTTTGAACTTCAATTTCAGAGTTTGGTTCAATACGTCCAGCGTTAGGTCGAACACAGTATTGTTTGGGTGCGGTTGTCTTTACTTTAAAGATTATGGGTTCAGTTCCGGGATTCTTTACATGAAGTGACTCCTTGGAGACACGCGTAAAGGGACCTAGTTACATTATGAGTTTGCCATTCTGTTTTCACTCTTACGCACTACATACCATGGAATTCTAACTGCTCAGCAGGTTCAATATTAACAGACATTATTGGGGATTATGAAAAAGGGAAATGTTTAATAAAAGAAGAAGAAGAAAAAAAGGGAAAATAGAAAAAATTACCAAGAAATACCAAATGGATATATTGATCACATGTTTCTCATTAAAGCTCCGGGATAACTATCTTTTGTGCCGTGAGCAGATGTTTTCAGCATATGTAACAGCTATTGGCCCCCTTGGGATGCAACGGTTGAACAAAAAAATAACCTTTTTTAATTGCACGTGTGGGGGATGTTGATCCTATTGTGCCACTCTTTCGCCACTACGAACGTACGTTTTTTTAATTTATCACACACAATGCACCTTATTTTGCTCCCGCCAAGCTTTCAGGGAGCTCTAAAAAAAATTAAATTCACCGCGTTGTATTACGTTTTAACAAACTTTGTCATACTACTTGTCCTTACTTTTTTCTGTTGATGCTATCTTTCTTTTGATGCTATCTTTCTTTTGATGCTATCTTTCTTAGATATTTAGCATATGCTTCATCTAAAGATTGGCAATCCTCAACACTAATAGATTATCAAGATGAGTAGGAAAACCAGATGTCAGTAGATCTGCTTAACTAGTGTCTTTCTTGATATGACTCTTCATTATTATTGTGCCTTATCAAGAGTATCCATTCTTAGTTTTGTGGAATTTACATAATGACAAGATGTGATACCCTTTCCTTAACAGTCATTTCTGTTCAGAGTCTTTTGTTTAGAAGACCGAGGCAAGACCAAACTGTTCCTTCAGTACCTCTATCTTCATTGTACCATGATAATTTACTCATAGACAAAAGCGCAATTTCAACAAGTTACACATTGGAGCTTATCGCCACGAATATTCAGTGGTCCTTCGCATTATTTTGACAGATAATGTTACATGCTATTGATTGTTTACGGTCATTATAACAAAACAATAACATTGTTCCTGATCCGTAGTAAAAGACGGGAAACTGATGACAGATATACACTATTTTCATAAATTTTTCGTGCACGCTTAGAATAAAACTTCAATCAGCGACGGAATAAATAATCGCTTAAAAATTAATTAATTTTCCATGCATAGTTTACAAACGAAATGAACGAAAGAGAAATATATCTGTTATCATTAAATGGGTATACTGCTAAAAGTAGAAGAACAATTTTTCATCATATTGAAGGACCCGAACAAGTGCACTATTGTATGCGTATAATATGACTTTAATTTAATGTCACTTCATCCAAAAGACTAACTAACCTGCTCGAGCTTGCTCTTGAAAATTGAACGATTGGGTTTAAACCAAATAATTATTGTCTTCTTTTTAGGCCTATTTTGATACGCACAAACGAGAAAAACTTGATATTGTTGTTATTCACCCATAAGGGAAGCGAGGGGTAGCAACCCCCCCCCCCCTTTAGATGTGTTGCGTTACCAAGAGTGAATTAAATGCCACTACCTCGTCATGAACGACACACTTATTGGTAACAAACGTATAAGTGGATAAATATATGGATGTACCAGACTCATTTCCTTACCTGACACCCTGAAACGGTAACCTGTTTTTTTTTTGTCAAACTAAAACAAAAGACCTAAAAACGCTCAGACAAGTACATGACATTTACACTTTTACTTGAAATAAAGTTTTATTTCATTGTATGTATTAGGGGTATTTCAACCAATTTTGATTTTACTTTGAATGACACAATTATTTTCCGTTTGCTTTCGTATAATTTCTGGGCAATCCGAATTTTTCTATAATGAATATGAGGTATTTACCTTCTTGCAAAAGATATATATATAAAATGAAAGCTAGAAAAAGTGTATTTATTACTGCTTCATGCGAATTTCATTGTTCTTTGTTTTTCTCCCTTTTTTTTTTTCAATAACAACATCAACGAATTATTTTAAAGTCAGAAATGAACAATGAAATCTTATATAAATAGTCGGTAAAAAAGTTTACCTCAATCCTTACTCCATTTTTATTTTATCATTTTACGTATAACTATCTTTATTCTCAAATTCATAACACTTTGTACGTAAAAGGTAAATATTGTAACAACCAATCCAAAAATGAGTGACATTTATCTAACATGTTATTATAGCAAACTTCTTACTTCAAATAACTGCCCTTTTTTTTACCAGCATGGACTCTGATAGATCCTTGTCTGGTACGCCGGGTACACCTGGAAGCAATATGAGCACATCTAGTTCTTTGGCTCCTGGCGATCGTATTATATCTGTTAAATCCTCTATTGATGGTATTGGTTGGGACCCAGAGCGACGTGAAAGGCTCGAAGAATATGTAGTGACAGTCCACAACATCACTACACACGCATACTCACTCTCAAAGTACATTTTTTTGCGTGCCATTCAAGAAGATGAGAACTTTGATATCAGGCGATGTATCAATCGTGATTTTTTTGCAGAGGTCTGGCTCAAACTGACTCGGTATGCACGAGGAAGGGCTGGCGGAAGAACTGCGGCGACTCGTGCATTCATTGACACTTATCTTGATGACTATTTGGAGGTCACTGGTTTTGTTCCACCAGATTTTCGTTATGGTCAGCAAGCATCTTTAATCGAAGGAGCAAAGATCTTTACAGCTTATAGCAACAATGTTCAGATGCGTTTGGGAAGTCATCTTAGACAAGCTGTTAATCATCTACTTCGTATTCGACAAAGAAAAGCCGAATTAATTGCTTATAGAAGACGTGAAGGATTAATTGATGCACTGATAAAATCTGAAGTATACAGAGAAATAACTGAGCCGGCGACAAGATTCAAGGAACTTATAGCTAGAAGGTTACCTCAAGATTTTGTATTGGACGGAGAGCAGTTCGGGGACCCTATCTACAATAACGCTCTTGAAATTCTTCGCCCTGTCCTTACCAGTTATCCCGTTGACTACCGGTTTCGTGGGAATAGCATTTATTTGGATTCCAAAGCAAGACCAGTTGAACATATGCGGGCTTTTTACGAACTGGCTTTATCATTTATTGATATAGAATTACCTGTGTTTAATTGCTTCCCATTACGCCGCTCTTGGATTCCTTGCTACACAACCATCGATTCAAAAATTCTTTGTCAAAATATTCTTGGTCGTCGGTGGACTAATCGTCAAGATAAGATAGCACTTTGGCGTGAAGTAATTAACCTAAACTCGGATGCACTCAAACACCAAGAAAATGGCGAGCTCCAGTTTAGAGGAACTATTCAAACGGATGGAGTAGGTGTAACTGTGATCAAGAAAAGAATGGATCGTGAAAGCAGATATACTGCTCGTTTTGCTGTTGTGGTTGAATCAATTCAGTACATTTCACAAGAGATTGCTCAAGAAACTGTTGGAAGATGTGTTACAATTGATCCTGGACGAAGAGATTTGCTATTCTGTGTGCATGAAAACTCAACCGCAAACAATCCAAACAAGTTTCGATTTACCAAACAGTACCAAGACAAGTTTGAAAAGATCAAAAAATACCGTAGAATCCGTGAAGCTGTGAAACCCGCTAGAGTAGCAGCAGCTGAAAGGCTTTTGGTTAATTATGATTCCTTGAATAGAGATGAATTTGAACAGTATCTTGAAAACAGGTCCAATATGACAGGCATTATCCAAAACCACTATGTCAACTTCCGAACCAACCATCGTACTGCTCATCCCTTGCACAGAAAATTGCGGCTATCTGCCTACATTAGAAGACAGCAAGGAAACGAGGATCTTATTTCAAAACTAGATGAACAGTTTGGTGTCGAAGCTGTTTATGTTATGGGTAACTGGTCTTCTCCTAATGCAAGATTTCATGAGCCGGTCCGAGGCCTTGGATTCCGTCGGTTGCTTCAAAAAGCTGGTAAAAGGGTGTACTTGATTGATGAATTTAGAACAAGTCAGTGCTGCCCAGTTTGTGAACGTAGAAGTCTTGAAACGTTTCGGATGGTCGATAACCCGCGCCCTCATAGACGAAGAGCAAATCCTCGTGTAATCAGACATGGTCTCTTAAGGTATGTTGATTTTACATGTTAATAATTTCTTCATCTAATAATTTTTTTTGTTGTTCTTGTGACAGATGTACAAATCAAAATTGTAGAGCCATGACTAATAACACAAATAGGATTGTTCCTCGTCTATGGAATCGTGATATGGCTGCTTGCTTGAACATGGTTGATATTGTTCGATCACTTCGTGCTGGAAATGGCATTCCCCCAAGATTTCGACGTGGAGAGGTTCCCCAGAACCAACGGAGAAGAGCAAGAGCCCAAAATGAACAAGCAAACATTAGAAATGTTCGTCAACGTCGCAACTAGAATTTTCCAGGCCTGTTATCGCAGGTCAACCATAGATACACTTAAGTGGTAAGCTCAATTTTTTTTTTTTTTTTCGGAAGATGAACGTATTTTTTTTTACGTTGTGAACGAATTATTTTTTTATTTGTGAACGAATTTTTTTTTACATTTTGATCTAATATTTTCTGAAAATAGTGTAATACAAGACTAGACTAGATATACTTAACCATCAGATAGAAAGTTAGGAAGAGTTAAAGAAGCGATTGTCTACCTCAACCTCAAATACCCAAGAAGAAAATTAACTTGCTCTACCATCTGCAATAGAGACAAAACGGGACTACAAACATTGCATAAATTGAGTTCAGTTCACTTGTTTCCGAACGAAACTTTCCTCTCCCACCTTTCCAAAACGGATCTTATTAATTCCATAAGTACGTCGAGAACTAACGCCAGAGCTTTTCTCACCAGCCTGGCAACGTTAAGGATTCTGGTAGAATCGGCAACTGATTTTAGCCGGGTGACTATTCACACTTTTCAAATTTCCTATTGTACAAACAATTTTAATAAATCCTGTAAAAAACTTTTTTCTTCTTATTGTAAATCCTAAGGGAAAAAATGAAGAGTGCTTTGACTTTAGAAACGATCGCTAGATGTTCAGTTACCAAAGCAAGAGTTAATAAGTTGGTCTTGCCTCATGGACTTGTAGACACGCCTGTATTCATGCCTGTTGGTACACAAGGTACTTTGAAAGGATTCACGCCAAAGGCTTTGGAGAACATGAACTGTCAAATCATGTTGAACAATACATACCACCTCGTAAGTTTTTTTAAAGTATATATTTCCTTGGAATAGCATGAATGACTGAGGAGCTTATTTACCGTAGGGTTTGAAGCCAGGACAAGAGATCTTGGATGAAGCAGGTGGATCGCATGAATTTCAAAACTGGCATGGTAATTTATTGACCGTAAGTCTATTCTTTGAAAAAGGTCGAAGCGATAGAAACGATTTCTCAGTATGAAATTCAACAAATAGGATAGTGGTGGATTTCAAATGGTGTCGTTATTAAAGTTAGCAGAGATCACGGAGGAAGGTGTTCAGTTCCAATCGCCTCATGACGGCTCACTCATGATGTTGACTCCCGAACACAGCATGTCTTTGCAAAACTCGATCGGATCCGACATCATGATGCAGTTGGACGACGTGATCTCTTCATTAGTCACCGGTCCACGTGTAGAAGAAGCCATGTGGCGATCCATCCGCTGGCTGGATCGTTGCATTGGAGCCCATAAAAAACCAGAGACTCAAAATCTATTCGCTATTATTCAAGGTGGATTAAATCCGGAATTAAGAAAATTATGTATACAGGAAATGGTTAAAAGAGATACACCTGGTTACGCCGTTGGTGGTTTATCTGGTGGTGAAGAGAAGGATGAGTTCTGGAAAATGTAAAGTATCTCTGTTATTGTCGTAAGAAGACGTGTGAACTAATATTTTTTTTTTTGACATATAGTGTCACTTTATGTACAGATTTATTACCAAAAACGAAACCAGTATATTGTATGGGTGTTGGATATGCTGAAGATCTAGTCGTGTGTGTCGCATTAGGTGTAGATATGTTTGATTGTGTATATCCCACTAGAACTGCTGTAAGTAAACCTTTTCTCTACTCCACACACCATGGTTTTAAACTTTTACAATAGCGTTTTGGTAACGCACTTACCATGCATGGTACTGTTTCTTTAAAATCTGGTAAATATAGTACCGACTTTGGTCCTATCGAAGAAGGTTGTGGATGTGATACATGTCGTGACTATACAAGATCTTATATCCACCTTGTCTCCAGGGATCCTGTTGGCAGTCGACTTGTATCTGTCCATAACGTATATTTCCAGTTAAGATTGATGAGAGAAATGAGAGAAGCCATCAAAAAAGATCAATTCCCTGCTTACGTACAACAATTCTTTAAGGGCTACTTTAAAGATGTTTCAAAGTACCCCGTTTGGACTGTGAACGCTCTTAAGAGTGTAGGCGTAGATTTGGTTTAAAGAAATAGACGCCATATTTTCTTTGTATTATAAATAAATTAGAATGTATAGATCCCCTCCCCCCAAATGTATATGTTTGGATATTGATATGTCAATAGTTAAAAGTATCATGTTTGACATTATTTATGTTTGTGATAACTGTTCATATGACATACTTTTTAAGAGCTGTTACGTATATAGATAGTGGGTCACCTTATGGTACAGCTTTTACATGACAAATACGAACGCGTGCACGCATGGCAACAGCGATATGAAATAGAGTTCAACATCTAGCCGAAGACTGCACATGCTTTTCTAGACAAGTCTTATTTATTTGGGTGACACTGCAGGCTCGATAAGATAAATCATAGGATCGAGTTTCTGTTTATTTTGATGAACCTTCTGCTTGATTGAATTATCCTAAGTGAACTTAAGTAATTTTGAGTTCTATTGAATAAATTGTCTATTTATGTTGGGCATGGTAGAATCTACTGATCCAGAGTTGGCCAGAACAGGGGTATTACGGCATAAACCGAACATCAGAGTCATTTTGGCGTGTCTTCCTACGGCCTGTTAGTGTGAGGAAGGGCATTCTCCCTGCTTGGTTCGCACCAATTAAACAAATATAGTGATAAAAAAAATAGTGTGCATTTGTGATAATGTATATACATCAACAACAGTTATAGAGTCATGGCTTTGAACCGTTTTTTCTAGGGTAAATAATCCAGAAATTGGAACATTAGCGCCCTCGGGTTTTATTTTTTTCTTGCATTAGTGATATACCCATGATAGTTCCAAATATAAATATAAGAAACCTCGCTCTTTGATTCGACACGGGAGGTTTTGTTTTAAAAATATACAAATGAAACAATGTGACACAGGCCAGAAGAAGATATGGTGCCGAAAATCAACTATGTTTGATCAATAGGACGCGTTCAAGGTACAGCCAGCCTCTTTATTTACTCCATCCCAAAACTAGGAGCACGAGGTTGAAGCATATACAAAAGAGAAAGAGAGCAAATTCTCCGATGTTATAATGTGTGGCTGCACGCATATAATTAAAAGCTTTTTTGTTATGTTTAGGATTCAAATAAACTCCGGGACTTTATAAACAAACAATACTTGTGAGAAATGCAATCACCCCCTCTTTTCTTCTTTAACTCTCTTTTTATTATATTATGTCTGTACCTGGTAAATATGATACTTGCTTTCGTGTTTTTATCATGAAAACAAAAAACTAAAAGTCAACTCTTAACAGTCGCTTTCAATGATGTTGGCAAACCTGCCAAGGACATCTTAACCAAAGATTATCCCGTAGGAGGGGTTAAACTTGAAGTAAAGACTACCGCACCCAACGGCGTTGTAAGTAGCTTTTTTTTTTTAAAAAAAAATGTATCATCTCCCAACTCACCTAAACATTATAGACATTTAAAGTCAACGGCCAACGTGATAACAAGACTGGTATTATTGTTGGTGATTTGGAAACAAAATACACTGATCGAAAGAACGGCCTTGCTTTTACTGAAGCTTGGACCACTTCTAACCATTTAAATGGAAAGATTGAACTTGAGAATAACCTTGCTAGTAAGCCTTTTCCCATTTTAAAAATGCACGGTTTTAATTAATCTCTCTTTTTGTTTGTGACGTATTGTAGAGGGACTTAAAGTTGAACTTTTAACTTCTCTTCTACCTTCTGTCAATGAAAAGGCAGCCAAAGTCAATGCTATTTACAAGCAACCTAATATTCATACCGTAGCTACGCTTGATTTTTTCAAGGTAAGACGCGAATCCCATTTCCATGCAGGGATTGATTTTTAATTTAAACATATCATTCAGACCCATTTGAATGTCAACACTGTTTTTGGACGTGATGGTTTCCTAGTCGGTGGCGAAGTTGCATACAGTATCAAGGATGCGAAGGTTAGTGTTTTTTATAATAAAAAGCTGTGCTGCGAAAAGAAGTATTGAAAAAAAAAACGCATTTATGTAGGTGAGCCGCTATAATGCCACTGTTGGTTTTTCTGCTCGTGATTATGCTGTTGCTATCCACGCTTTAAACAATTTAGACCAATATGCTGCCTCTTATTATCATCGAGTTTCTGAAAATTTGGAAGCTTCAGGTAAAGCTAGTTGGACGAACAAGGGCGTCAATGCAGTTGCGCTTGAAGTCGGTGCTAAACTTCATTTGGACCCAACTGCCTTTGTTAAGGGAAAGATTACCAACCTTGGTGTTGTCGGTGTATCATACACCCAATTGCTTCGTCCTGGTGTCAAGGTCAATATTGGCGCTGCTGTTGATACCAGTCGTCTCAATGAAAATGCTCATAGATTAGGTCTTGCTTTAACTTTTGAAAATTAAAAATATACACATGAATGTGACGCAAGGGTTGTATTGGATGGGACATTCCAATTTGAGGGGTTTTTTAAATAATTATTGAAGGGGGTTTACTTGATTCAACTTTTTCCGGTCTTAGTTCGGGGATAGGACATATTTGATTGACCAAGTACGGCTTGTTTATTATTTAAAACGGATATCTATGTAAGGAATATGTTTAATAAACCAATGAAGTCTTGAAACATGTTTCTTAATCAATCTTAAAATGGACAAATAGTTGCTATCAAAAAATCGTTTACTTATGAACAAATTAATATTGCTGGACTACACAATCAGTTAACATTTCTAATTTTCAGACAAGATTGATACATACACACTAAATATCCAGCCTATAATTTGCTTGACATAAAATAGCAACCCAGCACTGAAATATAAGCCATTAGTGTCTACCATCTTTCTTATAAAAAGGATCCCCTTTTCCATTCAATAAAAAGATATCTCGTTTTAGTCTCAAATAATTTAACCGTGAAAATTTCATTTTTTTATTTGAATTCTTTTAAGCTATCTTTTCATTAAATTTTTACCATGTCCACAACTAACTCTGCTGCTTCTACTACCGCTCTTACTCCTGCTATGGACCAGACTTTTTCTGCTCAGAAACCTGCTACTGAATGAACTCATGTCAATTCTTACAAAGACGATACGGAGATGGAGGACTGTACGACTACAGCACCTGTTGTCACTGAACCCTTTGACCTTGGAAAGAATATCCAATTACTCGTCAGCCGTACCCATGCCATCTCGCCTGGCATAGTCCAAGAGGGCTATCCTACCAGTGGTACCTACCTACAAGAATTAAAGGACTTACGTGCCTCGATTACCGAGCTCCAAGCTCTGAAGTTGGTGATCCAGCCCATCGATGCCACAACCATCGTCTCTACTCCTACCGCTGCCGTCGAGAATACTGACGATCGTCAAGTCCCATCCCATGTGCCCCACTTCCAAGGGTCTGGAGCTGTCACCGATACGACTAAGCCGGTCTTTCCTAGCTTTAAGGCTTGTATGAATCGTTTCGAAGACGTATTGCATGCTTACCAGTTGGACCTGAACCAACATGGACTTCGTTTGTTGATCATCTGTTTACCCACCGCCATGAGAGATTGGATGCAATCGGCTATCCAGGACAGGAAGAACCTTCCTTGGGAAGACTATCGTGATGCCTTATCCTTGGAGTATGGTGTCACTCAAGATGCTGAACAAGAGGTCAACGCCAATGCTCTCCTCTTGGTACGTATGGACCCACAAGAATCAATCGAGTCCTTTATCGAACACTTCCAACGATTGCACCGCCTGTCAGGTCTGACGGATCCTGCTATCCTCTGTACCAGGTTCATCTCTGCTCTTCCTCTGGTACTTGCTGACCGTGTGACTTTGGCCTTGGCAACCGCCCTTAGAGATACCAAACGTAACCTTACGTATGTGCTGTCGTTAACAAGGGACCTCAGCAATCAATTTGCTCACCGCGATGCTGCCAACGACGACGCCCGTCCCACTTCGATGTCTTTGGGTAGCGCTGCATTCAAGTACGCCTATAACACTCCCAGGACTAACTTGAATCATTCCGGCCGCCATCAACGACGTGTTCGTGGACCCTCTTCCTCTGGTGCTATGTACTGCGCTCACCATGGTACTTCTGGTCATAACACCGCCGATTGCCGTGCCTCTAACAACAATAACACAGCATGTCCCGTTCTACTCGGACTTGTTACACCTGTGCCGCTGAGTGGAGACCCAGCCATCGTTGTCCCAACGCTAGGAACAGAAACAATGTCCGTTTCTACTCAGCTCCCACCACAGCTCTAATTACTGGGCCTCCAACGGCCCCGATTCCAAATTATCCTCTCTGAAGCTTATTTAGCTTATTAATTGGGTCTTACACCCTCCTTACTAAAAAATCATTACATTAAATAAAACCATCTTTGTCACAATATAAAATCACACGATTTCATTGCACCATATTTATAACTCCATCGAGCGTATCTATTTCATTGACAAATATTTATTTAGTCTATAATTATTTTAAACAATTATCACATCATTCCCATTTTACAACCAAAAACTGCTATACTCGTTGTTGCCATTGCCCAAAGAATTGCAGACATTCGCAGCTTTTCACACACATGGGACAATACGTCCTTCGACACTGTTTTCGGTATTAGGAACGGCACCATAATTTTTCCAACGCATTATCTCTAGCTCACTTCTGTCATTTTCCTACAGTCTCTTCTTACGTTGCCGATATCATAAACTGTACTCATATCATTGCCTTAGTCGCATATGCTACTCCGATCGACGAACCACAAAGGTTTCCATATCAACAGTAGTCAAAAAACTTATAACCTGGGTCAATTCCCGCAATTATCACTACATGATTGGTTCTCACCCTTTTTCTCTCATATCCTTTACAATTGAAAATGCTGCTCCAATTTGGGGAAGGTAATGATATATCCAGCCTATAACCTGCTTGGCATCTAATAGCAACCCAGCACTGAAATATAAGCCATTAAAGTCTACTTTTAATTCACGCTCCCACCTGATCTTCCCGGATAACAATCTATTTCAATCCCTTCTTATAAAAAGGATCCCCTTTTCTATTTAATAAAAAGATATCTAGTTTTAGTCTAAAATGATTTAACCGTTTATTTCTTAGAATATTACTAAGATGGACGAACACAATTTTGTTTTTTTTTTTACTTGGTATCATCAAATATTTATTTAAGAGGAAACCGTGTTTAATACAGCAATATGAGCCTATTGTTTAGCTTGTGTGGTGAAAAAAAAAACTCTGGTCTTTCTGCGTCTGGCTAAATTGCGTTTGAGATCGCCATTGTATATTTGGCAGCAAAGAACTTCACTATCTTTGAAGCCGAGTGTTTTAATCACGTTCAGGTCATACAAAAAATAAGAATAACTACATCCTTTGGGATGATTTGTGTATATGTATGTAAATAACAGATGGATATAGAATATATCACTAATGAATTTATACCTTGATTGGAGGGAAGAAACCCCTCTCCTATCAAATCAAGAATATAAGAAAGAGAAATCAAATATCAATAGTTCTCTCAATAAATTAGCTGCCTATAGAGAGAATAGAACAGCTAATATTATCATAAATGGTTCATTTACTTATTTATTGAGATAATCATATGACTATTAGAGTCTATCATAGTAATAGCGTATCAATTAATGGATACCTATTTTCTACAATTAAATATACAACTCTCAACAGGATATTCTATAATTCGATAAATGATCAATTATAGCTACGATGCTCTACTCCCAATTCAACTTGAAATCAAGGATGCATCTTTTAGCAGTAAACACTGCACAAAATCTTATAAAGAGGTATATCATAGCACCGAGTATTTATTAGAGTATGTGTGCCCCCGATCCATGGAGGGACAAAGTCACCTGTAGACAATTCTAATGTATAGAATTCATTTAACGCAAAGCGGGAAACAAAGTATTGCTATATGTGCTAAAGTACATAACTTAACCATTCTAAATAGTAGATTAAATAGAAAGAGTCCGTATTACAAATCTGTCAGTAAATTACGTAACAGGATCCAATTGTAATGAGATGACCAAAGTTAATACATCCTGACATAGTAACGCGACTTTGACTTTCGTATTTGACAGTCAAAGAAGAAATTTTTGATGACTCGACATCATCAAATTGGAAATTATAATCCAGCTCTCATTTAGTATAAATAGACCCCCAATTTGTTATCTTAACATCTTGGTCAATAAGTTTATAAAGGAATTATAAACGTACCCATGTACTTTGTTTTATTTTGATTATTTCAAATCAAGCTACCCATTTATTACATTTTTTACGTCTATCCACTGCTATCAAGATGTCGATGGAAGAAGTTCAAGAAATTGTCAATAATGTTCAAGATGATGTCGAAATGAGCCAAGTTGAATCTATGGAGCAAATTGTTACTGAATTAGAGGCTGTTTCTGGAATCGAGCAAGTAATCACTGACCAAGAAGAAGACAAGCCCATTAAGTCTGTTTCCATCTCTGCTGTTAACGTGGCCCAAAAACCAGTTGACACGTGTAGTATCCCTCGTAAGGCTGTAAAAACGCCTGAGAAGGAAATGTCTTTGATAGATCGCATCCAAAAGTGTCAGGCCACTCGTGACGGTTACCGTATGAGAAGGATGGCTTTAATGGATATTGATCCGGCTACTTCTGTAATTGAAAAGGAGATCAATGAGTACCAACGTAAACTGGAACTCATGATTAAGTGTATCGAAGTTCTTAAGGCTAGTATGAGCCCTGAGAGTGATGATAAGCTTAACTATCATAATGACCTTGTAAAGGCTACTCCCGTAATTGACTTGTCGAAAATACCTAAGTTGCACCTTGCTTCTTTTGAAAATTCACAGGCTACCCCTAAAGTAACTTTTGAGTCCACTGAACACTTCGTTCATGAATTTGAAATGACTATCCATAATTCTAGAAATGAAATTGAAGATGTATGGAGAGTATGTATTCCAGTAGCCATTCCATTCAAGTTTACTGCCTGGTCGGATGAGTACGTTGTGTCTTGCGGGACTTGGGATAAGGCTAAAGAAGTGTTGATGAAGAAGTTCGGCAACCTTCGCTTCAAGGAAGCCAATTGTTTAACATTGTTTGACTTACGTGTGAAGAGTAATCAGACCGTGGTTGAATACACCAACGAATTTATAAACCTGGTTGACGCTGCCGTGATAAGCCCAGATGACAAGACTCTAGTACTTTTATACCGTGCACGTTTGTTGGAACCATGTAGACAGCATATCTCCGCCGCTGTTGAGGCAAGAAAACAAGTAGACCCACAACACCAATTCTCTATTAATGAATTGCGTGACATGGGTAGGGAAATTTTCGGTGATGAACTTGTTTCAGAGAAAGTACACAGACCTGGTAATCAGGCTACAAGTATAAGTAAAAGACGTAGGGAAGGTGCTTCTGTCGAATGGAAGAATTTTACGACCGGTAACACGGCTACCAGTAACATGGGCTGTCCAAAGCACAGTGGTGAGCAGTCGAGCCACACCGCTGCTGAGTGCACAACCGAGGATAATGTATTTAAGAGAGGTAAATTCTTGGGTAATGCCAATTATCCGTATAAGGCAACCCGTAATCCGATGAAGGGTAAACCTTGTAAGTTCTGCAATAAGGCATGGAAGTATGGCCACGAGTGCCAGGAGTATTGGGACAACAATGGTGTAAATAGTAAAACCGTCTTGACGATGAATACTGAAGAAGAGGTGACCCTTGGAAAAATCAAGGAGGCTATGGAAGTAGATCCATATGAATGTAAGTGAAAAGTAGCGAAGAAAGAAACCCATTGAAATTGACTTCAACTGCTATCATTATTAGAAACATAAAAGCAATTGCTCGTATTGATACAGGGTCAGATATATCCTGTATCAACTAATATATGTTAAAAAAGCAGTTTAATAAATATATGTTAGAAAAACAGTTTAATAATAAAGTAAAAATTTCAAAAGTAAATGGTAGTCTTGAATTTCTTTCTCTTACTGATAAAAACTAAATAATACAAAGCACTTAAAGAAAGATATACGAATGATATAGGTTTTGCTTTTGCATTCAAAGCCATTGAATTTAACAGTATTATAGAATCTCAATTCAATGTATTGTTGATTACGTGGATTATATCCAGTACAATATTACGCACAATCGATATGAACAAACGTTTTATATATTGGGCATATGCATCACACTATGTGTATGGATTTCTAATTTCACAGCGTGATGAGATCGGCAGATCATTGTACATCACTTTTGCTAGTAAGACATTTAGCAAACATGAAATGGCATGGTCTGTGAATCGTAAAGAAACATATGCTATTGTGTATGCATTACAAAAGCATTGATCCTTACTAAGAGACACCCTGATATTGTTGTATTAACAGATCACCGTGGTCTGGTATTTATACATGGAGTAGATATATCCCTGGATTTTTAAATATTTTTCCTGACATTTTAAATCGTTTGAATACACCAGAGGCCGAGGATCAAAATTTGAGAGAGGATGAAGAGAAGCAAATAATAAGAAGAGGTGGTATTTGCAAAGAGGCCTAACCAAAAATGAAATCAATCAGAAAATAACAAAGGATAAATTTGTTGATAAAACAAAAGTGTATGCTAAATATGAAAACTTGAATGCATTAGCTACAGATCATACAGTAAAGAATATAAAAAAAATATCGACGGAATATGTTGTTCCACCTGTAAAGGATGGACAAAGATTGTAAAGTAACACTCATTCAATGGGGCACTTTGGATCTGAGAGTATGCCCCAGGTATTCACTGGAACGGGTATATTTACTGGCAGTAAAGAATATGATAAAACTTGTATAGACTGCACATGTAATAATGTCGTGGGGGAAACGGTATCATGCCCTTCGACCTGTAGTAAGCGCAGATTCATTCTCTCGATTTAGTTGGCCCATTTTCGGTCACTGCAAATAGTAACGTATACATTCTAGTGATAATAACTTTGTGTACCAAGTATGTAATCGCGAGACCATCGAAAAACAAACAAAGTGCTACGATAACAAAGGAGATCATACATGTATTTGGGGACCATGACATCCCTATAATTCTCAAGTGGGACCCGGAAAGTGACCAAAATTTCTCCAGTACCCCGATAGAAACCATCACGAAAGCGCTTGGCATCAAACATCGCTTCTCCACTCCGTATCATCCTCGAGGAAAGGGTGCAGATGAAAACGCAGTAAAAGCTGTAGTATCTGCACTCCGCAAATTATTAGGTAATGTCACAAGTAAATGGGGTGACATGTTACGCGTGTGCTGTAGCAATTGTACTGCAAGTAGTCTATTCTCATTAATATATGCCAAGAAACTATAGGCTCCAAACAATTATAGTACTCCATCCGGAAGAGGAATCAATACAAAGAGCTGAAACTATGGCCAAAGTAGTATTTCCCGCTATCGCTGAAAGAACTAGAAAGATAGTTAAGGAGCAAAGTAAAAGCTTTACCTTACAACATTCCTATTGACACGACAGTCGTAAAAAAGCTTCCTAATCGAGCAACAAAACTCTCGCCCTTGCACGAAGGTCCATTTACAGTGGTAAGAAATACAATGGGCGTAATATGTATTAAAGGATGAAATGAATGAGTTGTTACGTCGGGAACATGTACCTTTGGAATTAAAAGTCCTTTTAAAAGAAGGCATTGCAATCACCGTATTGTGAAATGTACTTGGGCTTATTGTTTGTAAAAGCTTTCATTAACGTCAACGCGCCATGTTTTTTTTTTGTTGGCTGAGAATGGAACAAAGGTTACGAATGCAGTAAAAAAAAATAGAGTCTTGAGTGTAAACACAGCAGAGAGAGACGTTACACAAAAAGGTTATTTTTAGCAATATGTAGACCGAATGTATTTCCATATGCAGGTATCCAAGTGCTGCTGTCAGTGCAAATCGCGTTAAAAAAAGAATGAGTGGCATAAAACACACGCGATAACGGCTTACTGGGCGGGTTGTGTGCCATCCAAGAATCCAGTACAAAAAAGGAATCGATTCTTGTGGATGTATTCTATTTAGGCTCCTCTTTAAAAAAAAGATCCACCCCCTTCTTCGTTTTTTTTTTTCCTTTTTTTTTCATTATTTATTATTAGTTTTTTTTTTTTTGCTATGAGAGAATATAAGCTTGTTGTCTTGGGTTCAGGTGGTGTTGGTAAATCAGCACTGGTAAGTAAAAGATGATTATGGATGGTATATGGATATTAACAGATAAAGTGTGATAGACTGTTCAATTTGTGCAATCTATTTTTGTAGAGAAATATGACCCTACTATTGAAGACTCTTATCGAAAACAAGTTGAAGTAGATGGACTGCAATGTATGCTCGAGATATTAGATACAGCCGGTACAGAACAATTTACAGCCATGCGTGATTTGTACATGAAGAATGGACAAGGTTTTGTGCTTGTATACTCAATTACAAGTCAAGTCACTTTAACAGATCTTTATGAAATTAGAGAACAAATATTAAGAGTAAAGGGGTCAGATAATGTAAGTTACAAGAGTAATTTCTGTTCTGTATAGGTTAAACTGATAAAAATATTAATACAGGTTCCCATGGTATTGGTTGGTAACAAGTGTGATCTTGAAAGTGAGCGAATCGTTTCCAGAGAAAAGGGAATGTCTCTATCACAACAGTGGGGTGGAAAGCCTTTTTATGAAACTTCAGCTCGATTCAAGATTAATGTAGATGAAGTATTTTATGACGTGGTTAGACAAATTAACAAGCAAAACCCTTCAAAAGACAAGACAAAGAAAAAGTTCAAGTGCCTTATCCTTTAAATCCTCTTCCCAAACAAACAAAAAACAAAACCCAAAAAACAAAAAAAAATTATTATTATTACCCTTATTATTATTTACTATTATTTCTTATTCTTACTACTACACACAACTTATTCCCCCCATGTAAACAAGGAGATATATACATAAAAAAAAAAAAAAAAAAAAAGAATCTGAGGGGCCACATAACCTTTTTTTTTTTTTTTTTTTTTTTTTAATAAAAACTTGTTCCAATACACCATTTTTGTATACTGTACGAGTCACATGTAAATTATTCTTTAAACTCTTCAATCGTACGCGTTGCCATAGTCAGATATTCCAAAAATGAATTTACAGCAACACGAAGCATTTTGGTATTGTAACAACCAAATTCACTATGCAAAACGTACCATTAAATTCCATATCTTACTTCCCATCACACAAAACTTACACTTTCAGCAGGTTTCCTTCTGCTGTAATAATACGTCGGACTTGTTCTACTCTCAATTCAGTGTCAACATCCATGACACGTTGAGCAATAACTGCTAAACGTTCATTAGGGAACGGAATCTCTAAAAGCCTTTCAAGTTGTTATATATATTGTCAAGGTTAGTCTACGGCCAACAAAATAACTGTCCGTGTCTTTGTTGTATTTACATTGTGTTGTCCATTGTTTTGAGCAGGAGGGTTAAAGAATGAAGAGAATGAAAAAAAAAATACATAAAAAATTGTTTTATAAAGGACTGTGTTTAAAAAATAGTAATATATTTAGACTACATGAAGGGTTCACTTGTCAAGAAGCGATGCGTAACAAATGTAACGGCAGCGTTATCCCAAGCAATAGCCATAATAGTGCCATTTTCAAAAGAGGGCGAAAACTCAATAAATAAAGGCTTATGACCTTCCATAGAAGTCATGTCTAAACCAGCGCCACGGATATAACCACTAACAATAAATCGAAATAAATACATGTAAATACATATAAAGGCAAATATTCAACTTACATTGGGAAGAACATGGGGTTCTTTTGTAAGTCGAATGGGCTTCCGTTATTAATAGAATACAGCCCAATTAAAGGTGACTTTTCATAAGCGATAGCCAATCTCATTCCACTTCTTTCGTCTAATGTCATATCACGAATGACACCACCTACAGGCACAGAAATACCAGATGCAGTCTCAGCAGTACTTAATGGTGTGGATAATGCCTTTTCCTCTTTGATCGATTGTTTAATAGTCTTACCAGATAAGATCAAGACATGCACATCACACTTTCCACACATGGAGTACACAAGAGTTTGGTTATCGGGAGACCAACAAGCTGCTTGGATCCATAATCCAGGAGGGTTTTTAATCTGCTGTGATGACCAATCACTGGTATCCCACATACGAGAAAGTCCTGCTCTATATATTATAGAAAGCCCACGTTTAGGACAAAAATCTTATTTGTTCATTAAATAGTACTTACGATCCTCCTTCAAATAACCATTCACCATTAGGGCTCCATCGTAACAAAATATTACCTTTTCCATAACGTTTCAAAGGAATGGCTCTATCAAGTAACATGTCATAGACGACGACTGTGTTGGTGACAGCGGAAACCACAGCTAATAATTGACTGGCGGGTGTAGGATCCCAAGCCAAAGAACTAATGTATGATTGGCCTGTTAATTGTAAATATCTCATCATGGCTTTGGGGTGATATTTTGGTTTGGAATCTGCGTAATCGGTTCTTTGGATGGTCCATATACAAACACCCTCTTGACAGCCCACAGCAAGTGTTCCTGATGCTCGCTTCTTCCATGAAATACATGTAATACGCTCCATCTTTTCGTGAGAGAGTACTTGGCATGCCCATGGTGCTCCATCCTTCTTTTCATAAACGTATACATTATTATCCTTGTGTGCCACTGCTAATATTTCTAAATGTGGATGCCATGCCATGCATTGAATCGAGCTTTCATTGTTGAATAATGGGTGTTCTAAAATCATTTCGGGTGTTTTTAAGTAATTGTCGTGAACGTAACTGTAAATGTCTTTGGCTTTTTGGTATGCAGGTCTAAATTGGAGAAGGGGCTATTAATAATTAGTAGGAGAAAAAAGGTGTCATTGTTTACGTTGCTTCAATCGCAGGTCGTCTAGAAGAGGTTTAGTATTGCATCACTTATAACCGAGAGAGCGTTGCAATTTACCTTTGTTCCCAGCTTTCAGTGCAGAACTTTACAACACCACTACGTGTAGTTTCGAAAAGACTAGAGGAGACAGGTGGGGTGTAAGCATAATCAGCAGCGACAGAATCAACAGGCTCAAAAGGAATAGAAGGGTATAAAGGAGTTGACTACAACTAATAGTAAGTATTCCAAGTAATTTTTCATGCTTGTAATTTCTGTCTTTACGCTGGCAACTTCTTGCATAGCAGAACTATTTCCAATTGGGACGTTCACTACAAACAAAATACTGTTAGAGACAAGATATCTTTTGAGCACTTCTTTGTTTACCTAAATTTCCATCGACTTCAGCCAAAGTACATTGGTTTTCATCGGGTGTTGCACATAAAAGGTTCATTTTTTATATGAAAAAAAAACTAGTTTGTTTGGTAAAAAAAGGTGGAATACGCGTTTTTTATTTGGAGGAGATGAAAGTGGTGGAGTGATAGGCTAAGCCTCTAAATTTTTGTGACTATACAGTTTGCTTGTGGGGTGTCCAAACCAATGATCTTGATACCTGCTAGTAAAAATGACAGTTATCACAACAAGCGTGATTCCATTGCTTAAAACACGGAATATATATTTTTAAAGCATGGCAGTCTGGGAATTGGACTGATAAATTGAGACCCGATTTTACAATAAAATAAATAAAAAAAAAAGATAGATAAAATGGAAAATAGCTTTTTTTCTTTCCTTTTTTTTTTTTTTTTCTTTTAAATGTCACAAAAAGTCCAGGTACCATATGTCGATGACGAGGATTCCTCTGGTGATGAAGGGCTTACTTGGAGAGACACTTCGTTAGCACAAGGCATTGCAACAGCTCAACGTCAACCCGTCAGAACGTTTGGTACTCCACCTAGTAGCACTACACCTTTGGTATCGACGACAACATCACCACAACGACCTACTTTCCAAGATGTATCCACAGGTTCTGATTACGTTCACCGTAATCCTGACAATTACTGGGTTTTACCCGCTCACTGCAATCCCAGAGACATTTTAGGAAACAGATACAAGTCGCGATCCAACGAAATTCAAAAGGCAACCGGTTCATTCATTGAATTCAACGAGAGATTAAACCAAATTGACATTTGGGGTGACAATGAAGCTGTAGACAAAGCAAAGTCTTATTTGGACATGATTGTCTCTCGTATTTCCGAAAAGGATACCAGCCTTCAACGTAAAACTCAAAAGTGGGGCAAACCCGACCGCGAATTGACACCCAGAGAAAAAAAGCGTGCCGAAAAGAGACAGGCCAGATTGGATGAAGAAAAGGCATACCAAGGTTTGCCTGCCATCGCTCAAAGCTATTTTGGCGTCTTTCCTTTACCCGATGAGTCCCTACCCATTGTCAAATTACTCGGTGAAAATGAATCCTATTTGAACCAAATTCGTGCTGATTGTAAGGCATTTTTGTGGTATGAACTCCCTTCCAATACCATTCGCATTGCCGCAGACGCGTCGGAAAGTGTCAATGCTGCTAGTAAACGTATTCGTAACTGGTACATTCGTTGTTCGAGAAAACCCGAGGGCGGTACTCTTCGTTTAATGCAACAACCTAAACATGAGCTCAAGATCAGTTTTGAAGCATTACCCCAAGGTTTCCTTACCTATCAATATACCGACCCCGAAAGAGAGAGTATGATGATGGAGAGACACCGTATTTTAAACAGTACTAGTACGGGTATCGTAGGTCAATTGAATGATTTGATTACCTTATCAGAAGAACACACTCCTGGCCAACTATCCGCTGTGGCATCCACATTGAACGAACGTAATAAGGTTTTGATTGATCAATATCTGTCAAAAGGATTAGAAAGCATGCGTTTGAATGATTGGAACCTCCGTATGAAGATTCGCTATGGACAGATTTGTTTGATCGATTACCCCAAGAAGGATAATCAATTCATGTCGATCGAAATGCTCAGTGACAAGATTTTCCGAAAGCCTCTCTTCAAATCTGCTTTGGCTCCTTGTATCAGCAAAACTAAAAGTGGACTCAACTCTCTTTTTGACTACCTTGGTGAACACGCTGTTGAATTCTCAGATAACCCAAGAACTTCCTTCTCCATCAGTGCCAAACAATATCCTACAGCACCACCTCCCCGTGTCTCTGGTCAACGCGATCCTCCTCGTGGAGAAATGTGGGATACTGTGATGGACATTTCTTTTACGGATGATGGACATAGAAGATTATGGAATACAATGACAGACTGTAATGATCTTGTTGATATCAATTGTGCTGATCTCGAAAGTCACTACTCGTGGGATTTAAGATTACAACATGCACGTCGACTTCCAAACGATGATATCAATTCACCTCATGAAAAATTCTCGCATGCACTTCGTGTCAGTTCTTCTAATCGTCTTATCATGGTCACCTCCAACGATTATCAACCTCAGATTGTCACCCAAAAGACGAAATGGAGATATAGTTGGAACGACTATGTTGTGGAAATCTGTAAGGATGAAATTTGGAATTTGAACAACGTCGAAAGAACGGATCACGAATTACCTTTGGATTTGACACCTACAGACCCTCATCGTACTTTATTTAAGGTTTCTCTCTATAAAGAAGCTTGGGTCAACCGTCTTGCTGAGAATTTGGATTTGAAAATTGGAGAGGCTCCAAGCTGGACATTACGCGATTTCTTTGCTTCAGAGACTGAAGATACCCGCACTCTTATGTGCACTGTGAAAAAATTTAGTGACATCCTTAATTCTTTGGTACCTTTATACTGGAAAAACGCGGAACAATCTTTGGTATAAACCACTTCTTTTTGGCTTGTATTTACTCTTTTTTTAATTAAATAAAAAAAACTGCATCATTATCAAATAAGACTTTTCAACAAATCATAGCCTCGCCAAGAGGGATGAGGCACCTTGTTTAATAAATCTCCCGGTGGCACCTCCGCAGTGAGATACAAATGTTTGCACATTAACTACCAAAATAGTTAGTCTAGGTTGAAGAGCCTATGTACGTGTTTATTTTCACAACGGAATCAATATGTTTATATAAAAGAAGATATGCAAAAATTATCTTTCTTTCTTTTTTTTCTTTTTTGATTCTGCAATGAGCTACATTTACAATTGCGATGGTATCACAATTCAAGTTATCAGCTCAAGATTTTTTGGGTGGTGTATATGTGTAACCGGTCTAGACATCATCAGCTCTATTTAGGCTTATAACTTCGAATATATGTATGCCTATTGGCTTGTCAGTTACTACCATATGTGGCACTAGCCAATAATGACCTACCATAAGTTCATACAAAAAAAAAAAAAAAAAAAAAAAAGACTTCTACCATATATGGTACAACAAACATTTTCTAGCCAATAATGACTTCTCATAAAAAAATAAAAATACTAAAAAATAAAAACCTTATACCATAAAACAAACAAACAATACAATAATAAAAAAATAAAAATAAAGTATATAAAGAGAATATGATTTCTAGCCATTCATAATTCGATCAATAAATCAATTCATACAAATATCACTTTTACTTTTTATTATCAATGGCTGCAGTACAATGGGTTTATGCTAATGGCTCTAATTGGGTGCCACTTGATGTTACAACCCAGCAATTAATTGAACAACTCTGGTTTAACAATCGATCTGCTTGGATAGACTGTCGCACATTTTCTGGTCGGGCCTATGTTGACTTTGATGCCATGCAAATCTGCTTTAACAGCTTAGGGTACACCTTTGCCCGTCGCTGCTCAAGCTAAACCTGTCGTTGTGCTATTGTCATAATATGTCTATATATTTATACACAAACTAATATGCATTTATATTTCTCATCTATTGGCCTGTTACTATCATAGTATCATTGTCTATCAATCATAATGCATCTTTATATATATCCTTCAAATAAACTTTAAGTTATCACATAAAAACATGTAGAAAGCCTTAAGAAACGCATTGGCAATGTTGGTATAACTTAATGCCTTTATCTTGAAATCATTCAATTTGAAATTTGTACCTAATTTTTTGTGCCTGTAGGACAAATCTAAAGAGTTACACCAAAAGACCTGTCTATCCATCTGTCTACTTGAAATTGTCCAGACACTATTCCGTCATAACTCTTTTAGACAATTATTATATCATCGTCAATGAATCACGTCTTTTGATATTCCAAAAATATATTTTGATAATTGTTAAAAACTATCTACGCCACCTCTCGGAAGGACTGTAATGAGGTTTTAAAAACTTTCATGAGGTAATCTTAACACGTTACCATTATGAACTGATTAGGAAAAAAGGGGGAGTGGCCAAAAGTACGCTGTCCCACCTAAGCTCAGCATTATTTTATCCTCTTTTTAGTCATCGTCCAAAAATGGTAAAATTTGTCCCCCTTTATTGTACACCTAATGGCTGCACGGTACAAGTGCAGGGCTCAGATCTAGAAATCAGAAATTATTACATAAACCAGGCATATTCTATGGGAGTTCTTTTTAAAAGATCAATAAAATCTTTAAGATAGTCTTATACATTACATTCTAAATTCTATCATCATGGCCACTGTACAATGGATTTACGCTAATGGTTCTTCTTGGGTTTCTCTTGATATCACTGCACAACAGCAAATTGAACAACTCTGGTCAAATCATAGCTCTTCTTGGATAAATTGTCGCACATTTCCCGGTGGAGCCTATGTTGACTTTGAATCTATGGAGATCAAGTTCAATAATTATGGCAACGCTAGTGCTCGCCGCTGCTAAACTGTGAAAATTGTCATCACTCTACTGTTACAACTGCACATAATGTCTATATTACAATTCACTTTTATTTCTCGTGTATATTACACCTTCATTTATATACAATTCTATACCCTCTATGTCCTTAAAACTAAACAATAAACTCTTATGCTATGCTTGATAAACATTTAATATTACTTTTACTTCTTGAGTTGTATTTGGTTAAATAGTATTGTGTGTGTGTACTAGTGTGTACCAGTCAAAAAAAATTATCGTGACTAACTGTATGTAAGATGGCCATGTACCTTTCATACGGTAGATATCAGTGAGTTATGCTGATCTTTTCATTTATTTTAAAGGTGGCGTGTATGCTTTAGAAAACTATGCCATCATACTGTCAAAATTTCAAATAGTACACTGTAACACTTGATGTAACATATTTACGTAATGCACCTCCAACAAAAAAATATTCAGAGCGTAACTTGCTACATGATATCATTTTTTAAATGGCTCCAGATCTATAAATAAATAATTGTTTTATCATATGTGTGCCTGCCACACAATGGGCAGCGCCACCTCTCGGGAAGAGTCATAACAAAAATTGAACAATCTTTGACGGGTAGATTTTGTTAGGTTACTAGTCTCTTTCGGAAGGGAAAGGAAAAATACTAAATATAGGTTCGTGTTACTATACCGGAAACGGGGCTTTTTATTTGCTTCTATAAAAGGCGTTTTATGGTCAAGCTATAGAATTCTTTGAAATAGGCCGCACAAGATCTTTGCTCAAGCCAAATGTACATTTTTTTGTATATATATATGGGTAAGATTCATGTCTTATTTTTTGAGATAAAAACAACTTCAAGATATCCTTTCACATTATCTAAACAAAAAAAAATATTAACATGGCTACTGTACAATGGATTTACGCCAATGGCTCTGAATGGGTATCTCTTGATATTACAGCTCAACAACAAATTGAACAACTTTGGGCACACCACAGCTCTGCTTGGATCAACTGCCGTACTTTTCCTGGTGGTGCCTATGTTGACTTTGATGTCATGGAGATTAAGTTCCAGGATTATGGTTATGCTATTGCTCGCCGCTGTTAAAACTCTATCTGTTAATACTCTATCAAATTGGACATGCATTTGCATTTTCATATGCATCTTGAATATGATCGCCCGTACATATGATCTACCTTACATATTGTTTATATTTTTTTAATTTTAAATCCACTACTCTATTTTGCTGACTTTAAATACAATTTATGCCCCTTTATGCTCTTTTTATAAATAAAATACTTTTATGCTACAAAAACATGACATTTATATATTTCTGATTCACTTATGCTCGCGTTTAGCTATTGCTGTTTAATGCAGATCAGTTCAAGTAATTAAACTAGATTTACGATAAATTTATTTTATATATCTAAGAAATATGTAAACGCAACGGTTTTTGACCGATATCAAAGCTTCACAAACGGATCGACCTCTGTTCAATTAACCCAGCCTTGAAAAACTTACTATAATATTCTTATTGATTTTTTGCCCAAGAAGTCTTTTCTTAGCTATTAGTAGCTTCTTGTACCATTCACATTGGCAATTGAAAAGCGTCATGCTGTAGTCTCACTGCGGCATGTTTACGTAATTTGTGTAATGCCTTATAGCTATCACTTAGTATGCAAAATCATCATCCGAAATGACTCATCTCTTCTGCGCCTAAAAATATATCATGTTTTAAAAATCTCTGTTGGCCACAAAATAACTACGCCACGTTTCGGAAGAATTGAAAGGATAATTGAACAATTGTTGTTGATGAGTCTTTTGTTATGTTACCATTGATTTTTTTCAGATCTTCATATTTACTGAATTAGGCAAAGCCCAAAAAGGCATGCTTAGCTTTTGGTGGTACAAGCCTTTATTTGGTATTTTTCAATCATAAAAAATTACTTGTAGAGGGGCCACACAAGCTATGGCTCAGACCTAGAATCCAGAATACTTTAGTATATAAAGTTGGCATAAAAGACGGTTTCTTTTTTTTTTCGAAAAAGCAACAAGTTCAACTTTATCTTTTACATAACTTAATTAACAAATATTATCATGGCTGCAGTACAATGGATTTACGCTAATGGCTCTAACTGGGTTACTCTTGACATTACGGGTCAACAACAAATTGAACAACTTTGGTCAAATCACAGCTCTGCCTGGATTAACTGTCGCACATTTCCTGGTGGCGCCTATGTTGACTTTGACTCCATGGAAATCAAATTCAACAATTATGGTTACGCTATTGCTCGTCGATGCTAAAGCTAAACCCCCCATATCTTTACTACCCTAGCTGGATTATTATTTTTCTTATGATGTAATCTGCTGTACATACTGTTTATATATTTTTTCACACATATGTCTTATTTTCGAATTTATGCCCCTTAACTATGTATTTTTAATAAAAGAAAAAAAAATTATGCTATCTACAAAAAACCGTATCTATGTTCTTTATATAATCAAATTTTATCATTTATAGCAGCTATTATAACACGTATAAAATTTTTATTTTCATATACGTCAATGGTTAATCTTGTATGATTCACTCAAAATATTTGCTTTTAATTACATGTTGGATATCGCCCATACCAATTTTTTCATATCTCTTAGTTAAAATATCTAATATTCTTTTTCCCATTATATAACGTTCTTAAAGTTCTTGCGCGGATATGTTATATGCTATTTTAAAAAAATTGTATCCACAAAGAATTATTTTTACAACGCTGTCAAATTCAGGACGATTTATGGTAGCACCCGGTAAGACTTGGTTTATAGTTGATCCGCCTATGTATATCGCTTCAGCAACCAACGATCTAGACATGTCATTTGAAATGACGCACTCTCGGTGCTATTAATAAATTTATCATAATCATCTGTTATCGTTGTAATTGAGTCCAGCTCTCGGAAAGATGGCGACGAAGTTTGCAAAACCTTTGACGGGCGGATCTCGTTAGGTTACTAGTCTCTTTATTCGGAAGCAAAGAAAAAATACCAAATATAGGTTGTCCAACCCAAAAGCTCAGCAGCCTTTTTTAATTTAATCCAATTTTGGTAGTTTTTAAATTCAAAAACAGACCTTGACTTTGCCACATAATTTAGAGGCTCAAGCCCCAGAACAATACTTCATTTGTATATAAAGTAGACATAAATCATGGAGCTTTTTTAGAACAATAAATACTTTAAAGACATTCTTCTTTTGTATAACTTATAAAATCTTATTATCATGGCTGCTGTACAATGGATTTACGCTAATGGCTCTAACTGGGTTACTCTTGACATTACAGGTCAACAACAAATTGAACAACTTTGGTCAAATCACAGCTCTGCCTGGATTAACTGTCGCACATTTCCTGGTGGCGCCTATGTTGACTTTGACTCCATGGAAATCAAATTCAACAATTACGGTTACGCTATTGCTCGTCGCTGCTAAGATTAAATCTCGGTCTTTCTAATGCTACTAGTGTGTACCCTATTTGTCTGCGCTATAGTCTCTTTTACCAACTGTACACATGTATATAAATGTATATACTTATTATGATTTGTACCAAATTTTTGTATACAACCTTTATGCCCCTTATGAACTTTTTCAAATAAATTGACAACTTTTATGCCTATATATTACGCTCTTGTTTTTAATGCTGTTTGTGAGTCTAAACCTACTTTTGATACTAAGTACATGTATCAGATCTATCTTTGCTAATACCTTATACAAGTTTCTTTTTTCATCTATTGTCAATAAGTTGATCACATTAAGAATAATATACGTTTTAAAGTTTCCCAAAACCTTGAGTTCTGTATTGCAGAAAATTAAGTTTATTCGTGTAGTTTATTATGTATCTGCCCATCTTGAGCTTTATTAGAAGTACTGTTAAGTTTAACATTTACCGTATCATGCTTACATAATATCTAGACTATACTAAATGGCTTTATGATATCATTTTGAGTGGTTTTCTATTCAATTCCAAATATATCTAAAGCCCTATCATCAATAATTGCCACATAATGACTCGCGCCACACCTCCGATAGAGTCATAACGGAAGTTAAACGACATTTGACGGGTAGATTTGGTTAGGTTACTAGTTTGTTTCGGAAGGGAAAGGAAAACTACTAAACATAGGTTCGTGTTACTATACCGGAAACGGGGCTTTTTGTTTGCCTCTAAATATGGTGTTTACTGGAAGGGCTCTGGGATTCCTTAAATCAGACCGCACAAGACCTTTGCTCAAGCCAAGAATATAACTTTTTCGTATATATAATGAGTAACATTGAGGACCCTTTTTTTGGATAATTACAATTTGAAAACCTTCTTTCATATTTTTTATCAATTTTATCAACATGGCTGCTGTACAATGGATCTATGCCAATGGCTCTGAATGGGTATCTCTTGATATTACAGCTCAGCAACAGATTGAACAGCTCTGGTCAAACAATGTTTCTGCTTGGATCAATTGTCGTACATTTCCTGGTGGCGCCTATGTTGACTTTGACACTATGCAAATAAGATTCAATAACTATGGTTACACCTTTGCTCGTCGTTATTCAAACTAGTTTTGGTTGTCTTCAAGCAGAATCTAATGATCGTTTATTAACCAATTAGACCATCTCTTCCAATATCATCTTCATCATTATTAGCATCATTTGCATTTTTATTTATACTATCATTTTCTCTACCACCATCTCTCGAGCAAAGTGCATAAACCAATGTCACTGTACATTTATAATTTCAATATATCCTGTTTTTTATAATAAACTATTTTTTCACCACTTAATATTAAACCTGAAGTGTTGTACCCTTTTAAAATATAAGTTACCATTTAAATACCCTTCGTTTCTAATTTCTTATAAGTTATTTAAGTCAATCACTGTAAAATGACTAAATAAGTTAATAATTTTACCCTATCACTTTTTAGTTTTAAGTACCCCTATCAACTTACTAGAGAGTAATTTCTTCAATGTAATTATCGGTATTATTGAGCTTATTCTTATATTTTGGTTATCATGCAGAGCTGTCATTATAAGGTACAACAAGACGTAATTATATTTACGCGATACAATTTCGAGGCCTTTTAACCAACCCGGTTAACAAATCTGTATAACACATACTCTAAAATTTAAATATATCTATTAATACAGCATTGTCATTAGCCACAATCTACTCACCAGTTATTTTTATAAAGGTAATAGCGTTTTGACGCTAATTTCATAAGGTATTTTTTACAGGGTCATCAGTCTCATTATCGGGTGGATGAAAAATGCCGGATTTGTCTTGTACCACTTCAGCTTAGCAGAATCGTTTGAGGCACTTTCTAAAGTCGGTAAGCGGGAATACAAGAATGGGCCGTTGAATTACTCGAAAGGGACCGTTCAAGGTCATGGCTCAAGCCCAAAAGTCAAATTTTTCAATATAAAATGAAGCGAAATTGTGGGTAAGTTTCCATATTATTACAAAGATACAAATATCTTTCTTTATATATCGTATTTTGAATATACTATAATGGCAGTACAATGGGTTTACGCTAATGGCTCTTCTTGGGTATCTCTTGATATCACTGCACAACAGCAAATTGAACAACTCTGGTATAACAATACCTCTGCTTGGATTGATTGTCGCACATTCCCCGGTGGGGCATATGTCGACTTTGACAATATGCAAATCAAATTTAACAATTACGGTTATGCAATTGCTCGCCGCTCAAACTAGCCCTGTTTTAATGGTATCATTGGCACATATATCAGTGCCTTAAGTGTATGCCATGTACATATGCACTATTTATTCCTTTTACTATTCTGCCTGACCGTCTAAATTTTGTCGTTCCCCAGTCAAGCCTGGTGTTCGTCTTATACATTTATACATACATATATCATCCTTCCTTTATAATGTCTCTTGTAAATAAAAATAATTCGGCATTAATTTAATACACATTGATATGACTTTTCATAATTATGTATATGAAGATAGAGTCTCTGATTATAAAGGAGCTGAAATCAATGAGAGCATTTTTGAGTAAGGAAAAGTTTATATGTATAACCTAAAAAGTAGATGATGGGTGCAAAAAGTTACTGAAAAGTCAATGAATCCGGACAGCTAAAATCGATGCTTTCGCGTTACAACTGAAAGTACTAACTTAAGAGTGATTGCTCTTGTTGGCCTTAATCAGACACTTGATCAAATCTTCTGACAGAATATTTTGTGTTAAATTTTCTAAATGATAGTAACATCAATATAAAAAACGTATTAGACTTTTCATGATAAACAGAGTGGTTTCAGGAGTTTTAGTATTTTTTTTTATATATCAATTTTTAGATGAAAATGGTCGGTGGCTGATTTTCGATTACCCTATTTCTTTTACCCTTTACAACTTTTGCTCATGACCTTTCAAGAACTTCCAACGGAAATTGCTTCTATAGTATTTCATTTTCTACCTGGACCATTAGCATACCAAAGTATTTTTGTGTGCAAGTCATGGCACCTACACGCCACCCGAGCTTACTACAGTACATTATCGCTTTCTACCGAAAGTTGTGAACGTCTTCAAGTGTCTTTACAAAACAATTGGGTGACATTTCGTGCTGGCAAATGGACTAAAGTTCTCAGAATTTACAAAAAGTACGAATATTCTAGGGAGAATGTCGTAAAGAGAATGGGGCCTGAAGAATTTACACTGTTGTTATCTCATTTGCCGAATTTAACAACAATTGACCTTACATCTAGTCAGAATGTTTCCTACTACGTAAAGTTATTACACGACGTGGAAACAGTTTACCTGCAAAATATTCAAGAGATATGTCTCGGGAGTTATATGCGTGATAGTAGAAGGGACTTATTTCCTTTATTTTATAAGTTTCGGAAAACACTCACACTTCTGGAGATGGAGTACGAGTATATCAAACTTGATAAAGAAAACATATATGGGTTGTCTTTACTTGTCAATTTTACATCTCTGTCGCGTCTTGTTATCTACAGCTATTCCACTAGTAATCTATCGGTTACTGATATCCTAAATAACTGTCCCAATATTGTCAGTTTGGATTTCAGTAGCTATTACGCAGTGCCTGATTCTGTTTACAATCTGGTGACAAATATGAAACAAACAAAACTGAAAAATATTAAGCTTGCTATTCCAACACTTACGAAGTCGTGTATGAATTACCTCAGTCGCTGTTTGGTACTTGACAAATTGGAAACTTTTAATATCAATTTAACTGAAGAAGAAATGTACGGAATGTTAAATCGAGAGGGCATAGATAATGTTTTGAAAATGGCCAGGCAACTAAGCTCTGTCAAAAATATTAAACTTTATGCCAATCCAGAAAACGATGGGACCTTCGAATTACCCAACCCAGAAGACAGAATGACTATATTGTATTCGTTAATCCATGCACTACAAGGAAACCGAGTGATGAATTGTTTTGCGACTTACTCTGACAGTAAGCCATTAGAATTCTCGATTAGCATTTCTAACGGAGAAAAATTGAATTTTTTATACGGCATATCTCGAAGCGATTATACTCCAGACTACGAAAATAGATCACTATCCATAAATGAGTTTCCAATTCCAGATAAAAATGTATCCATAATTGGGCCTGACATCATCAATAAGTTACTGTTCATTATCGTACACCCGACAGAAATATTCGCGCCAAATTTTCTTCAGTACGTGGTTCTCAATTGCCCTCATGCGTCATCATTGACGATTACGAGTTGGAATAATCATAGCTCTTATGAAGTGGAGGCTGAAAAAGATACAGCAAAAATAGTATTGAAGGCGTCAATTATGCCATCACAAGAGGTTCTGGGTTTATTATCCTCCTTTTTACCAGAAGCCAAAAAATTTAAAATCGAAACGCCAAGAGGTTGCGATCAGTTTGTTGCAGACAAATTTACTATTGATTTTACTATATTTCGTTTCTTGGAGAAGCTCACTATTAACGTCCATAATAGTCAGCATACGGTACAAATTGCGTTTGTAAGCATGAGATTTGCTGATGACGACACTATTGATACTTATAAAATCACACCTGTGAACGGCCCTAACTCTGGTTTCAAGTTATTACCAGTCAATGAGCGTGAATACAGCAATTCTTCCAAAGGATCATTAATTATAAATTTACATCGAATTGAAACTGTTAAATTCAAATCTGAACTATTTCGAAAACCTATTGCCACGTTCCGTTTTGGGGAGTTAATCTCTTCAAGTAAAGATAAATAACCCCACGTGTTTGATCTATACAAGACCCAAATAAACCAAAATCCACTGTGTAGTTCTATTGAGTCAATTCTCTTGAATAGCAATAAACCGAAACAAAAGTGCTCTTTTACAAATTAATATTACGTCTTTCTCAACTTTAGTCTCCGTGTAATCGAGTATTTTTTTAAGTTATGGAGAAAAAGGTATAAAATAATGTTAAATAATCCATGTTTCTAATAAACCAAGTTGCTCAAACTTATTTGGGTTGCACGATATATTAAGTATATCTTTGATTTGCGTGGCTATAGTAATTATATGATTTAAACTTTTGTTAATTTTCATATACTCTTTTATGAAACAAAATGGGGTAACAATTGAAATATGGAAGAAGCAGAGTTCCCCACAAAGCCCTATATACCCTGATATGAACATAAGAGAAATAGGCCTAGGGTGGAGCACCCTGTCTCTCTATCACTCGTCTTTATCAAAGAACATAAAAAACATACAATCAATCATTGTGAAATATATAATTTCTATTATTTTCCTACAGCATATGTAATTTTTTTTTTTTTTCACGTCTAAATTTTATATCATGAGATGAAATATTGAATCTTTAACACTTTCTGTATATTAAAATAAATGGGCACTGGAAACGGGAATAGTGGTAAAAAGGGTGCTCATCAATGGAGACAATAATCTTTTGTGTAGGATAATTACAAGACGAGATCGTTTGTGGAAAGAAAATATGTAATATTAATCACTGGATGACTTCCAAAACGCAGAATAGAATTAAGTAGACTGGACTTAATTTTTTGGGTTGTGTAACGCGTAATTAACCTTAAATTTTACAGCTTAAATTTTTAATGTTAATTCGACCCCCCTATTCCCCTGAATTAAAAAAGAATTAACAAAAAAATCATATTTCTATTAAATAATTTGTTTCTGATAAACGCTAATAATATTCAGGTAATAAATATGAGATCTATGGATAATATTTATCAAAACAGTTTATTTATTCGGCTCTTTTACGCTTCTAAGAACCGTCTTTTTTGCCCTTTTAGAAGTAACAGTGAGTTGCTACTGTGCATATAAAAATGATGGGTTTTAGTGCGAATTGAAGGAGCATCATTGATAATAGTTAAACTATCTTGGTTACCGGTGTCTGGATGTATCCAGACATCATTGCCATCTGATAATGTAGCTGTTTAGGTAGAGTTTTGCATGTATGGTACGAGTCAAAAAAGTTAATTCTATTTTCAGTGTTTTGAAACTAAAGCAAGATTAACTTGGAAAATCAAATGCCCGAAGCTAATTCTATTCTATTTAATTCTATTCTGCAGATTGAAATATCTTCTTTGATTTTAAAATGTCGATCTTTTTTTAAAAAGTAATATTCTAATCAATTGACAGTAAAAAGCTTAACTTTATATGCCACGTAGTTTAAACACGTGCTTTGACATCATTATGACGTATTTTATGTACTTTCTACTTCATACTACGGATGAAGACCAAGAAATAAATCTACAAGGTGAAAAAAATTTGTCTTTTTTAAGAAAAGAATCTTCTTTTCGCCCATCATCTGACTAGATCACACGACCAAAAATGATCATAGACTCTGTTATAAGGTCCGTTCGGTTTATCATCTTTTCTGGCCAAAAATTATAAAAAAGGGATTATACTTGCCAAGCTTTCACTTTTTTCTCATCTTAATTATTTTTCATAATGACTCTATATAAGTTTACTATACACTGTGATGAAACCAGGGTTAAAGACCATTCTATTGAAGTACTCACAGCATGGAATGGTTTTCTATTTTATGATTTAAAGTTTAAGGTAAATGATAATAATCACATAAATATAATACTAATATGACTTGTATAGATCCGTACGAGCTCTAACCTGTCTGATAATGAATTTACTCTTTTTTATAAAGACGGCAAAAATAATATGATTATTGTCAGATCAAGCCAAGATCTCATGGTCCCTTTAAAAAAAATGGATCCCAAAAGCCCCTTAGTTTTAACAATGGTTTTAGATAAGATAAAACCTGCAGCTCGTCCAACTCTTAAGATAGCCACTATTGCTCCTAGTAGAATAAATCTGCTACAGTTAAATGAAACTTGTCAAAAATGCTTACGGCCGATTAGAAGGTAAGACTAAACAGGCATTTTACTGATGGATTAATTTTTTTTTTTTTTTTTTTTTTTTTTTTTTTTTTTTTGCAAACAGCCAGAGACAGCGTTGTTTTTCGGCCCTAAACTATAATACCCTAAACTATAATAGAAGAACTGTGCCTCAACCTTTTTGCGTTCCAAAACCAAAGGCACACAGACGCATACAATGAAAGGAAACTGGTTATTATAAGGTGAGTTACAATAGCTTTATGATTTAGACATGGCAATAATCTTTGTATTAGTGCGACAAATGTTTCAATTGCATCATATTTTTAAAATGTTTGACCCGTCTTCAGCGCCGTCATGACAAAACCCATACTCTTACCATAATTTAATGCACATTATGTAGATGTCATCAGCCTTAATGGCTGTGCCACGTACATATCCTTGTCTATGACATTATAATAAAGTCAATGTTTTGTAATTAAAATTTGATATAGAATAAGGAGTTAGGAAAAAGATGAAGTAAAACGAGAAATTTAAAAGTAATAGGATTTTTTTTAAAAAAAGGGATTTATTATACAATGAAAGAAGAAATAATGTGGTTATGGTATGTAATTTCTCCCAACTTTCTCTCTAATTCTGTTCGTACTATTTAAGCTCTGGCAGCAGCCAACTTTTCCTTGTACAAGTTTTCGGCACCAACCCAGACAGGAGATTCTGAGCGATTCTTCAAAGCCAACATAGTGGGTAAAAGATCGTGGGAGAACATATCTGAGCTTTCTCTAGGTAAAAGGGTGGGTAAATGATCAATAGAGCAGACCTCAAGAGGGTAAGGGTTAGATGTGGTAACAGGAACAGTAGGCTTGTCGAAGGTGGTGTTGATTGAGTAGACAGGAATAGGGTTGTTGGGGTTGGTGGTGTCACAAGAAACGTCACAAATAATTGAGAGCTTACGATCACCATCGATCAATTCTTGAGTGATAAAAGGAGGAATCTTTTGGTTGAGATAGATACAGTTGACAAAGATATCAGATTGAATAATTTCAGGGAAAGGACCGCCTCTCTTAGTCTCGTTAATATCCCACTTGATAATATTTTCTTCGGGGATACCGGCCTTACGAGCGAAATCACAGGCACCAGTACCGCAACGACCCAAGGCACCAATAACCATGACTGTGGGAAATTCATTGTTGTTCAAAGCGACTAAAAAAATAAACTTCGTTAATGAAAGCCCTGGTTACAATATATACATAATTACTTACCAGCTGCACTCAAGCGATCCTTAGTGTAAGAGACCAAAGCATCTTCGTTAGGATAAGGAGTCAAGGCACCGTACTTTTCACCACTGTTGGTCTTTTGATGACACCAAACATCAATGCTGACAGCAGCACCGGCGAAACCGGCCATATAACCAAAAGCAGCAACACGACGACCTATAAACAACAAACAAAAGCCTGTTTAGTTTCACTTCGTCTCGCTTTTCTCCCCTTTTTTTACTTACCGTTTGAATCGTTCAAGAATTCGAGATCGAGAATGGTACCGTTACCGGCATCGAAACGATGTAATAACTCCTTCCATCCACCTTGTGTCTTGAAACAATGGGCAAAGAAGATATGGGTATGGTGCAAAGGAGAGTCATCATTCTCGGGAAGCTCCTTCAAACCAACAATATAAGCATCAGCAGGAGCGTCCGTCTTCCAACTAAGCTTTTCGACAAGAGGACAGCCGACCCTAATATTGAAACCATGATTAATAAAAACGAAAAATAATAGAATATGATGGCTACTTTACTTGACATATTCCTCATCATCAAAGATTCGTAAATCAGAACGTTCAACAGTGATCTTGAAGCCGGCATCCAACAAGAGCTTGGCAGTGGCAGGAGTCAATGCAGCTCTATGTTCCATAGGCTTAGTTTCGGCACGAAGCCAGAGGTGGGGAGTAGTAGTCATGGTCATGATAAATAGTTTTTTTTTTTTTAGTAAAAGCAAAAGCAATGAGGAAGTGTGGGAAGAAGAAATTCATCTCACTATTTATACTAAATGGTGAGAGCAGTTCCCGTAATAGAAAAAAAATAAGATGGATAAAGATGTGACTTTATTAAGAAAAGCAACTTGTTTATGGCATAAGGTTTAGTTTAATCTCAGCGGAATTGCCTTTTTTAGACAAATCTAGTTGATGGAAGGAACTGAAATGATTGTGGGGTTAAATGATTGTGAAATGTCTTAAAAACAGCCCACTTACAGAGAATTCAACAAAGTTATCCGCAGAAACTGGATCCATCAGTTTTATCTATTAAATTTTCAAAATTAATACCATGTGCTTATTTTTCAGAGATCCTTACAATAAGTCGTAAAGCTCCACTTTGATGAATCTCCACAGAGACTTCATATGATAAAGCCAATGATTTCTTGCACATGATTAAATGTGAATAAATGTAACTAAAGCAAATCCATCGGTCAATCAATCAATCAATCAAAAAAAAAAAAATCTTAAAAAAATCTCCAAAAAAAAAAAAGATTATCGTTTGTGTAACTTACGTGACTGAAACCCTGTGGCGGCACGAGAATTTCGAAATTAAGTCCGAGCCTTTTGGAATTTCTGAATTTTGCATTCCACTGGCTCCTTGACCTATTAACTGAAATGCCACATCCTCAGGCGATAATGACATTTGTACGATTTCAGTAGTGTCTTCTAAGTCTTCCAAGGCATCTTTAAACCATTTTGTCTAGCATTGTACCAAAATTTAGTTAAGACAATGAGAGTTAGAAGTTTTGTATTTACAGGAATAACAATTAGTTGCACTGGATCTTGTGTTTCATCGAACTTTAACTCTTCACTCTCCTCTTCTCGCTCAAATGGTACTATTGTGCATTGTACGAACTGGTTTGTTTCTTTGATCGAACGTCTATAAATGGGAACACTATTCATATGTGGGTCTCAAATTACATATTTAAATTACCTTAAACCGAGAAGGGATCCTGCACCATCATATGTCATCTCACAATAATCAGATTCATCACCCAACTTTATTATATTTTCTACGGGCTTACTTTCATATGGCCCGAAAGAAAGTGGCATAACCGCAGTAATACTATCGATTAAAGAGTTTATAGACAAACCAAAGATAGGCATAACCACATCGTCTCTAATTCTGAAGGTCTGGAATGATCCACGCAAAATATAAGCTACTGCCTTTACTGAACGAGAATGTTCAACTGTTAAAATGATGCCTTCACCCGAAATATAACAGGACACATTCTAACAGATTGATGTCAGTAATCGTATTCAGGGAGAGTTTTTTCAATATTATTACGTCTGTAATGTGAACAGATTTTAATGTTAATAACAAACTTTCAATGCTTTTAATGACACAGTAAAAATTCGCGGAATGATCTACTTGAAACTGCATGCTAATTTGCGATTGTGCTTTCAGCTTGAAGAAGGTGAGAATTCGTTTTGCATAGTACAGGCACCGTGACGGGTTTGCTGTGACTAGTCTTTCCAAACCTTTCTTCGTTAAACTTTTTAGTGATTTTTTTTTTTTTTTTAGATCTTTTTGATTAAACCTTTCATATAATGTCAGAATCTTTGGAGATCGTCTCAAAGGAGACAGTAAATCAAGCATCCGCTTCAAACATTTTAAAATGTCTCGTTATTGATACCAATGCCATTATCAACGGTACCTCTCTCAGAAACATGGCCGAAGAATTTTATACTTGTCCCGAAGTTTTGTACGAATTGCGTAGTGCTCATTCCAAGGAGTTCTTATCTAGATTACCTTTCGAGTTAAAGATCTTGAACCCTACCGAAGAAGCTATGAAGACAGGTAAAGGAAAAATTGCGTTTACACAAAAAAAGCTATATATACTGACAGCTTTTTAAACAGTGATTGAATTCTCCAAGAAGACAGGTGATTTCGGTGTACTTTCTACTCCTGATTTAAAGGTTCTTGCTCTTACCTTGACACTTGAATTGAGAGAAAACGGTGATGAAAATATCCGTAAAGAACCTCTTAAAGTAAGTTTATGTAATCAGGGGAGGAGGATATGAGCATCGTCACTAAAAAGCAGATTCAATAAATAGTGTAGACCTAGTGGAGCTCTTCCTAGCGCACCTCCACCAATGTCTTTTTTCAAGAGACCTCAGTTAGAAAAGACATATGATGAAGACGGTTGGGAGATCGCAACAAACACAAAGAGAGCACCTGCCAAAAAGTATAACAACACTCCTAAAAAGTTGATTAAAAAACCTAAAGCACCTGTTGAGGAATTAGTTGAAGCCGTTGAGAAGATTGAGATTAAAGATGAAGAGAGTATTGAGTCTGCTCCTGCAAAGGAAGCTCCCGTCGTTGAAAAGTCCCCCGTTACCGAAGAGGCGCCTGTTACTGAAGAGACACCTGTTACTGAAGAGGCTCCTGTGACTGAAGAGGTAGCTCCCGTTTCTGCTGAAGCCGCTGCTATTCCTTTAACCGAAGAAGATGATGAGGATGATGACGAGGGAGGAGAATGGATTACACCTGATAACGTCGATGAATATAAAGCTGCTGAGATTGGTGTTACTGCCGATGAACTCCGTAAGAAGGCTGTTATGGCTGTCGGTTGTATGACTGCAGATTTCGCCATGCAAAACGTCTTATTACAAATGAACTTGAATTTGGTATCTGCTGGTGGTTATCGTGTCAAGAAAATCAGAAATTCAGTTATGAGATGCCATGCATGTTTCTTGTAAGTCGATACCATTGCCACTTTCGAAGCAAAAGCTAACTAATTTATCATTAATAGCGTATGTAATGACTTAGAAAAGAAGTTCTGCCCCAAGTGTGGTAATGCTACCCTTCAACGTGTTACTTGTAGTACAAACTCCAAGGGAGAAATCGCATATCATTTAAAGAAGAACTTCCAATACAGACTTCGTGGTAGTGTATATGATATTCCTCCTCCCAAGGGTGGCCGCAAAACCAATAATATCGTATTGAGAGAAGATCAACGTGATTATATGAAGGCTACCGAAAGAAAGACAAAGAAGCATGTCGTTGATATGTTTGATCCTGATTTCATTCCTTTGTATGGTAAATTAGATACCAAGGAGGTGACAAACAACATGCATGGTACTGATACCATTGGTTATGGCCGTAAAAACCCCAATTCTTCTAAAAAGAGAGTTGGTAAGAAGAAGAGAATTCATACCTTCTAAAATGTAACTACTTTTTTTTTTCATCTTACATACACACACCCTACCTTCTTTTTTTTATATATAAATAAATATAATTTTGTACAATTAATAATTTAATGTGGAATGATAAAATTTTATTTACAATTATGTGTTGATGTTTCGATAAATAAAGGTGATGAAGGGGCTGAAGATGCAGGTGTATCATAGTGTCTTTGGATGGCATGGCTCAAGTGACGAAGCGTCGCCGCTAAATCTTTGGGGATTAGAGGCTTTGTCAAGTAACCATCCATCCCTGCTTCAATGCAGATTTCCTTGGCAGATGCTTGAATATCAGCAGTTAATGCAACAATAGGTAATCGACTACCGGTTCCTAATTCGTGCGCTCTTATGCGTTTTGTAGCTTCTACACCATCGCACTAAAATATTTAAATTAGTATATCATTCAAGTTCGACCTGATGCATGTATGTTTATATTACCTTTGGCATATGATGATCAAAGAAGCCAATACAAAAATAGTTGGTTGGCCTTTCAAGCCATAGATTATATGCTTCTTCACCGTTATTCGCACTTTCAACCGAGAAACCCATTTTTTCAAGCTGCTTTCTCAGAAGCTTTTGAGCAACCATATTATCTTCTGCAATCAAAACAGGTTTTTCAGAGTACCAAGATAATTCCTCTTTATCGAAATAGTCTTTCATACGAGTGCCTAGGGGTGTTTGTAATTGGGGTATAGGAGAAACACGCTGCTGGTCCAACACCTGTTCAAGCAAACGGAGTAGCTTTGTTCGACGAACAGGTTTGGCCATCTTTACAAGACGGCCGCGACGATCTGACGAAGAATTGGTCGCTTCAGCAGCAAGTTTATGGCCTTCTGTTGATGGTGTGTACAACAATACAATATGTAATTCACACTCGGGATCGTCGTCAACGCTTTGAAGTTGATGTGCAATAAAGCTATTTGGCTTGGGTGGAATATCAAGAATCAAAATTGGGTGGTTTTCTTGTAAAGCTTGGGATACAGCTTGAGGGATATCTGTGGTGGGTTTAAGTTTGAAATCTGATAGTAACGATCTAACCATTTTGGAGTTAAGATCATTATGCGAAGCTAGCAAAATTTGTTGATTGCGTAAAGCAAAGCGAAGTGAAGCAGATTTAGAGATGATGTTGTCGTTTTGCGGACGTTTTGGCTCTTTGTGCACAATAACCGTGAACCAAAAGTTGGATCCCATGTCGGGTCGCGACTCTACACCGACATCTCCCATCATCAACTGGACCAATTGAAGACATATGGAGAGTCCCAAACCTGTACCGCCATACATGCGAGTTGTACTACCATCTACCTGAGAAAAGGGTTCAAAGAGTTGGCGCTGCTGATCAGGACGGATACCAATACCAGTATCAATCACTTCAAACTTCAAGCAAAGTAGATCTTCACTATTTGGAATTTCTTTTCCCACAGGGACCATATGAACCTTAATAACTACGCCGCCTTGGTGTGTAAATTTGATGGCATTGCCAAGTAAGTTGGTCAAAATCTGTCGTAAACGAGATGAATCAGCTACAACGCTTTTGGGAACGTCCGGGTCAACAATGTAGGCCAACTCAAGACCTTTACGGGCGGCCAAAGAACTCAGGATTTCAATTGTATCTGCTATTGCTTCTTCAATCACTAATGGACCCAGATCCATGACAACCTTGCCAGCTTCCAGCTTTGAGAAATTTAATAGATCATCTATATTAAATAAGGCAATTGTTTAGCTGATGTTTTAGAAAATGGAAATTAAAAGCAAAAGAGGAACTTACCAATGATCTTTAAAAGCATTTCGCAACTTTCTTTTGCTGTAAGAACGATATCTTGTTGTTCGGCATCCAATGCAGTTTCTGATAAAAGCGAAATCATACCATAGAAGCCGGAAAATGGCGTACGCAATTCATGGGACATGTTTGCTAAAAAGTCGGCCTTTAACTTCATGGCATGAAGAGCCGCTTCTTTGCTCTTTCTAGCTTCCTCTAACGCAGATTTTTGGTTTTCAATCATCTTGACATTGGCATAGGTAACCTTTTGAATGCTTTTGAATAATAAGGCATTTGTGACTGAGATACCGATTTGTTGAGATAAGAGGCGTAAAACCACTTCGTGGCGAGATGTTAACGAGCCAACGGCAGCTTCAATATAAATACAACCGACAACGGCAGCTTTGTGAACGATTGGGGTACAAATACATGATTTTGCTTGTGTAGTACAATCTGAAAATCTGGAATCTTGCTGAACATCCAATATGAAAAGAGATTCTTGAGAATGAATAGCGTACTGGGAAATACGAGTAACAATCGAATCGGCTTCTTCTGATAGAACCTTAGGCTTATTGAATATCTCGCAGCCATGCGTTTGAGAACCACATCCAACAATTAAAAATGACGTGTTTTCTTTGACAATTATCACGCCAGATTCGGCACCAGAATTTTCCAAAATGATACCCAGCATCTGCTTCATCAACAAATCGAAATTCATTTCGCTAGAAATGACTTGCGAACTCTTCAATATCGAAGCTAGATCCACCACATCTAGGGTTAAAAGAGTTTCTTCAGGTGTGCAAGACATGGCGTTACTGCTACTGTTGAATTGATCGTTGGTGTGAGCGAATGTGAAAGGGTCAGGTAATGTCAAATCACCGACAGAGTCTCGTTTTACTGATTCTGGATAAGTCTCTGTCTGAACGCTGGTACTTTTCTTGGCTGTATCAATAGAGGAACAGTGCAGTATGCTTTCGTGTCTCGCTTCAAGCTGTTTCGATTTTCCATACATGCCAATATGATTATAGCTATTGATGGACTTTTCGATCAAAACACAAGCGATAGTTTCGATTTCATGGCGAGTATAAAATTCACCTGCAAGTTCAAGTATAACAGCGGTTTCGATTGGCCATTTACCTTGCTTAGTTTGACGGATTGCAAGATCAAACAACTTTTGAGCTTTGAGTTGATCTCCTTCAAGACTGGCAATTTCTGCATCGATACATGAAATGAACATTTGGAGGTTGGCAGGATGGGAATTTTCGGCCCAGTCAGCTAAACGTGTACGTGATTTATCTACATCTCCCATCATTTCACGTCCAATTTCTTTCTTTCTAATCATTCGGATCAAGCTAATACACCTGAAAAAGAACATCAAATGAGTGTGTCGAGCAGAAGGTAGAGAATCTGCCATATGAATATGTTGATCACTAAGTTCTACGACGTCCTTATCGAATCCAAATAATCCGAGTATTACTGACTTCATGGAGTAATAATAATAAAGTTGGACATTGGCATCGGCATGATCTTTCTTGGCAGATTTGACAAACGCGAGTTCTTGAAATTCATTGTCATCGAAGACAGCACCTTCATCTAATCGTGTCTTTCCTTGCATTGCCAAGATGACGCGAATAATCGTGGTCGCTAAAATCGAAGTACCCACCGTTTCTCCAATCAAGTCAGTTTCTTCTAGACAGTTCTTTGCTTCTCTTAAATTGTCCGCCATATTTTCACCTGAGAGGAGGTTGCCAATCACCACATGCAAATGAGCAAATGTTGAATAAATGCGGTCGCCACCTAATAAACCTTGTTTCATTGCTAGACGTGACATGGGAATAGATTCTTGATACGGATATTTCCATGAGCTTAAGAATGCGGCATATAAATATCGAGCACGGCCGGATTCGGAGTTACCGCCATATGCATCACATAAAGCAACACCGATTGCGCCAATCTGTTCACCGAACTTGTAAGCCTTGAAAAGCTGCATTGCTGCAATACCGAAAAAAACAAATCCAACGCCAGTAGATGGTGTAGTTCCGTACTTCAAAGTCTTTGATAAAAATCGAGCTCCCACAGACAACATGGCTCTCATATCGTTTGTCCAGTAAGCCCAAAGGCACAACTCCTCCATGATAGAAAATCGAGTTCGAATAAGTCGACTGTCGCACACAGGTAGTTGCAATACCTTATCTAGACCCACTTGTAACACCTCTGTCTTCGTGGCTTTGTATAGGTTTTCCAGAGCCTTTTCTGATAAATACATTTGTATCTCATCCACGCCCAATTCCCGTAAACATTCCAGTAAAATGGGTGCACTTTCTTGGCTGCCCATACGAGACCAACGGTATCGATGTTGAATTCTATAAGCGGCAGCACGATCTATTGGTGATCGTGCATTGATTAGTATAGTGTTGATATAGGCTTTTGTGAGATCGTAATCCATGAACCAACTAATTTCAGCTAAACGAGTGTAGAGGTGGAGCGTTTCCTGATAGTTTCCATCCTCTCCATCTTGCCATGGATTGTCTATCGTGGTCAGTAATTTCTGGGCAGCATGGTAATAGGAAACTGCCAATTTGTGGGCTCCTGAATTGAAAGCTTTATCGCCGGCCTGCACAAGAATCTGACGATATGATTGTTTGATGCGGTAGTCCTTGATAAGGTGTATGGCTGCTTTCACATGATCGGCAACCCAAAATTTGTCTACGTTTTCTTTATACATAAAATGGTCTGCAATTCTCAAATGGAAAACGTCTTGAGTTTCAGGTGATGCCAGCATCATCGCAGCTTGGGAATATCTGTCATGAGTAAATCTAAATTCGGCGCCATTAAATGTTTGAATGAAGCCATGCTGGAGAGCGGATTGGAGTCCATTGATTGCATCATACTTGCGTCTTCCTAGCACTAATTCTTTTGATGAATTAATGGTTTCGTCCTCGTCGGTATCTTGATCACTTTCAAAATCATCGTCCATAATGTCGTCATTCTCCATCATTAGATTTCTAACTGTTTCATAATTGAAGATACTACCGATAAATGAGGCCCATTTGATGAATTTTCTACCGTCCCGCGGTAGCTCGTTCAATCGTCTAACAAGGAACTCGATATCTAAATCTCCGTCTGTGTCTTCATCCATTTCCAGCAACAGTTGTTTGTCAATTTCTTGCAGATTGTATTCCCAACGTGACTTTTCCCAGGTGAAGTAAATCACGTTCTTTTTTTCCAGGGTCATGAGTAGCTGGCATGCATAAAATGGGTTTCCGTGAGAGCGTTTATGAATAAAGTCGACTAATGGTGTCAACAATGCATAATCAATTTCTTCAATACGATGCATTGTGGTAGTAATGAGATCCATGAGGGCGGTTTGATCAAGGTTTTCGATTTTAACATAGCTTACAACTGAGTCATCATTCGATAGCAGCTTTGTGATTGAAGCGGTAACTTCATTTATTCTGTAGGTCAAGATGACCAAAAAATTGAGTTTAGCGGAAATCATGGATTCCAGCAATTCAATAGACGCTTCATCTAACAAAAAAAAAGGGTTGGTTGCACGAACGGAGGTTTAAGTAGAAATAAAAAAGGAAATATTATTGTACCTGCTTGATGTAGATCTTCCAGAAACTATATGACGTAACGATGTTAACATTTTCATTTTTTTGCAGAAAACAGATGAATGAAGAACTTACCAAGGTTACAAATTTAAAACTCACCATGACATGGAATATTTCAATAAATGCCGAATGGAACCTCATTTTAATTTCGCTACCGCTCATATCGAATTCACAGCCAGTTGAGCTATTACTGCTCTTATCATTTAAATTATTTGAAAATGAGGGTTGATCCAAAAATGAAGCTAATTCCGGGACGTTATCAACTATTAACGTCGGAAGCTGTGATATTGCTTCTGCACCAAGTTGTTCTTTTAACATGCGTGAAAACCGTTCGATTTCATGAGCTGGTTCGCCCAAAATATTCTTTAGGAATATGGACAAGCATCTCAAAAGACAACCATAAGGTGTGGGTTGTCGTGTATCAAACTTTGCGATTGCAATATATCCATACTCCCTAGCAAATTGCTGAACATTTCTAACCAAGGTTGATTTACCAACACCAGCATTTCCGTAAATTGCAATAATCTCTGTGGGCCTCTTTCGATGACAACTGTTATTTCGATTATTGTTCACACGAATATACGATTTATCTTCAGTTTTAAGGGAAGCTAATGTCGCAAGGGTTGTGTCTCCGTTGCGCCTTCGTACATTGGATCCACACATGTATGCTGTACGCCGAATAATTGCATTTATCAAAGTCAGCTCGCTAGAACGACCGAAACACCCATTATTTGGCAAGGTAAAAATACTTGCAATATCGTATTTGCCAAGAGTAAAAGGTGAAATAGACTTTATGGCTTGAAATGTGAGTTACAAAGCTGCAGATAAATTTCAATGATTAGCGTTTACCTTGTTTTTCCCAAGCTGCCTTTGGCATTCTTTTAAATCTTCTCTTAAACCATAGGCACTAGTGTATCTTTCGTCAGGAGACTAAACATTACAAAGGGGTGATGTCAATAAAAAAAAGAGAAAGCGGTAACCCATTATAGTAATGTTGACATACCTTATTAGTCAATTTTTCAATAATCATTGAAATGACTACTGGTGTTTCCGATCGAAAATGATGAACGGAAGGGAGTTTCTTGTTCAGCACATTATGAACAATTTCCATTGGACTGCCATTGTGGGCAAAAGGTAATGAATTGGTCAAAGCGACAAAGAAAGTAATACCGAGACTGTAAAGATCTGTACGATGATCGGGTTGAAATGTTGTTCTCCCTGTTTGTTCAGGCGACATATAAACCAACATTTGTAAAAAGTTGTTGGCGCCATTGCGATGAACTATCTTTCTCCACCCTTCTGATGTTAGACTCATTTCCAAGCTTTTGGATCCTGATCCAAAGTTCCAAATCTTAACGGTATCATCATTCGGCCATAAAAATGCGTTCAATTTAATTTCACCGTGAACAACTAAATAACCAAGTCAATTATTTATAACTTCTGTATAAAGCTAATTGCGTCTTACTTTGGTGTTTATGTATCATTTCTAGACAGTTACAGCACTGAATTGCAAAATCGAGAAATGTGTTTAATGAAAACGTGTGATCCAATTGTTGCTGATGATGTAATTCAGGAGTAGTTTTTATAGCTTGACATTTATCCAATCGATTATTGTTGCCTTTTTATAAAAAAAATAGGTATTAGCAAACTTCAATTCCAGCAACAAAAATAAATAACTATGACGACGATTTACCATAATCTTCGTATATAAATGTTATGAGTCCATTTGGTAAGGTGATTTTGTCTAAAGGTTTACATAACAATTCTTTGGCTGATGATTGACGATATAAACGTTGCACAATATGATATTCTCTTTCTAAACGCAGAGGCTGGTGTGACAATTTTGCTACAACTGGCAATTTATCTCGGTTTCTGTAAAATAATTAATTTCTACATTTTTTTTTTTTTTTTTTTTTTTTTTTTTTTTACCTTATTCCATGAGCAATGGCAATGTCGTCTACACCTTCAAGTAATGAAGGCAATTCAAAATGGTAACCAGTGACATTAAATGGGGTCTCCAGATCTGCAGAGTTGATGTTACTCATTGCGTAGAAGTAAAAGTAGAGAGGGAGATAAAAGGACAGGTAATATTTGATTTACTAATTTTTCAATATTTTTCCCCTTATGAATACACAAAAAGAGAAAGCAATGAGAAAAAAAAATCTTTCCCTGTATTTAGTTTTTTGAAAGACCGGCTTTACTTTTAAACATGGCGAATGAGGAGTTTATTTGATTAGGCCGGCTCAACGTTTACCTAAGCCCATATTACATCTCTCTGAACAAACATATATCCTAAAACTTTTCGCCAAAACTCAAATATAGATAATTTTTTGATCATCATATATACTACTGCTAATTGCAGATATTTATTACAGATTAAAAATTGTCATATGAGCATAGAATTACCATATACAGACCAATGCTAGAATATTCCAAGTTAAATTACTTACATTGGATTCAATCAGTCTCGTTCACAATATGTATCGCTTTGTTTTGGTCCGTGGCAAGTAGTTTCCTGTGTCAGAAACAATCATAGCATACTCAAACTCCAGACAGTCTGGGGCAGTCATGTCGGATTCTTAAACGAGTTAGTACAGCTGCATGTTATATATACTACTTTTTTTTTCCCCTGTACTGTTTTTTATTCAGATACGAGCTTAATTTAAACATAAAATATTCTTTTGGGGCTACCCGGTAGCTCGTTCATACAATTTATTTTAAATTTGATACTAAAGACATGCACACTTAAAACTCCGGTAGGTTTGGATCCTGTGAAACTCACTGATATAAAATAACTCGCCTGACAGTCGGATGCTTTTTTCTAATCTAAAACTAAATGGCGCTACAAAGAGAATGACTGGCTATTTGTTAGAAAATGATTATCTTTTTCTTTGTCTTCTATAAAAATACGATTTGTCAGCTTTATTGTAAGCTTATCATATTTAAGCAAATGTCTATTGAAATAAGCAAATTAACTAGAAGTTTGTTTTGTTGAAGCAGTTGATGATTCGATCTTTAGAGTATCTACAGAATCCTTAGACATGAGTTCTTATATACATCTTCAATTTTTTTGCAACAGATTTTCTTAATTCATCAACGATTAATTATTGATAAATGTTTGCCTATCAATGTATAAGAGATTTAACACTTTCGTTCTTAAATACACCTACTTAATACATGCCATACTTACGGTGTTCCAACAAGTCTTCAATGAACATCAGTTTTTCATTGTCATCATACATTTCATTAAGTTTTGTGAAAGATTTCACACAATCTTTTACATTCCTTTTGGTCAGTTCTATAAACGCTTTTCTTATTAATCAAAATGTCTACTATTGATGTGTCATGTTAACAAAGTCTTTACCAAGTCGATGAAAGCATTGATCACTTCTTGTTGTGATTAAAAAGGGGGTGGCTTTCTGAACTGTGTGGGTACATGTTATTTCTGCATTTAAAAGGAGTTGCATGATCACAGCAGCGCACCAAATGGTAAAATGTTGCTAAAACTCACCATTATTAATTGCTGAAATGACCGATTTAAGCATTGTAATATGATGTATTTTGTGAATAATTAAAATTAATGAATGCTAAATCTCATTTTCACATCTAATGTTAACTTTTTTACCATTATACGCTGTTTGCTTAGACATGTACTTGGGCTTTTTACCAGACACACATTGCAATACTATTCATACAAATGCATCCCTTTTAGATGATGTTGCATCAAATGTCTTGAAACTCTTCGGCGACACCATTTTTGGCCGCAGCACGAGCCATTTCCAAATCACTGATAGGTGTGCAAACAGCATGTTCATCCGTGTATTCACCGGTAGAATTAAAGTGGGGGAAGAAGCAAGGAATTCATCCAAAAATGTAGAATCATCTAAAAGGAGGGATCCTAGGTCTTCACCGGGATTATCTCCGTCCGGGACCAGATGGAGTCTCCGTCTTCGCTGTATCTTTATCTACAGCATATACGACATCCACAGCATTTAAAGTATCCTCGGTTTCAACAAGAGGAGGATCAACATGATCACCTTCAGTGGCAACACCGGCAACGGTCTTGAGGATATCATAGATATAATAATAAAGTTAGTTATCACATCACATTAAGGATGGATATTAATACAGAAGTTAATCATAAATAACGCATTACCCCCCCCCCCCCCGCTTATTATCATCATATCGTTGAAGTCTGTACACATGGCAAACAGCAATACAATCGAATGGGTCTGAACTATACAATATTAATAGATCCTGAGCATAAATATCACTCTTGTCATTTGATTTTTTTTTTATAACTATTGGTCCCTCTGACTTATACTCATATACTCAGTATGTAAGGGTTAAAATTATAGGCATGTTTATTATCTACTATCACCAGGTTATTACATTATGGTCCAATAATTCGCTGAATATTCTCTCTAGAATTATTTAGTTTTTCGTATAAATATCCATAGTTTTTTCTCATAGGCCATCAGAACGTTTTTTTGAATATAATATTTTTTTTTCTCTTCCAAAATAAAGTCGTATCCTAGTTCTAACAGTATCACTTTGGTTTTACTTTGATTTTGTTCTAAATGCAAAACAGACACACTTTTATAAAGAGTAAAGTCGGTAGATATACTGCTTTGCTTGTGTAAATTTAATCATTGTTTAGTTGCACCGCATCATTCGAGCAGTAAAACGGTATTCATATTTTTCTTTATGAGATAAAAGAACATTCTAATTTATTCTATTTTTTTAATGGAAAGGAATGTTCCAGTCGTTTCTTTTTACTTCTGTTATTTTCAAGAACATTCCTGAAGAATGTTCTTTCTTGTGATATTTTTTGCCGAAGATCTATCTACGTTGGTTTAATGACTTTTGATCCTATAATTTAAAAAAAATATATAGCTAATCTACTTAATCGTATGTTATCAATTTCGGTTTCTAAGTTTAAATCGGCAAATAACTCAATTTAAATGAAATATTTATAAGCGATGTACTGGCGTTGCTTCTTAGATATATGCAATGTCTGCAACTACATTAGATTTGGGCGGCGATGAAGTGGCAATATGCATTAAATCCCACTTGAATCTCACCCAAATCCGGAATGTTTCCGTTCGATATTTTCGATGATTTATATGTTCAACATTTTATTGATCATCTTTTCATGAAATATATTTTAATGAGAATGCTTCGTATTCAATGAAGATGGATTAAATTATTTTTTATTGATAATGTACAAATACAATAGCCGAGGCCTAACCCCAAACATCCTGTAAGAAATCTTTTTCATCGACAAGCTTCTGAAGGAATTCACCAGCTTCTTTGTCATTTTGAGCTGCTCCAAAGCTCCTTGCAAGCACTTGAAAAGTAGAGTAAACATCACGACTCATAGCACCACTACCACAAACATAAATAGAGCCACTATTTTCAGCTCCTTCATTCAATAACAGCGACCAGACTTCACCAGCATTTGCTAGTAATGCGTGCTGAACATACTTTTGAGAAGCAGGAGGGTTCATTCGAGAGAAAGCGACATGCTTGCTAACAAGCACGCCTGATTTAAAATATTCTTCAAGTTCATCACTGTAGATGAAATCTTTTTCAGGATTACGACAACCAAAAAATAGGGTACAAGGCCCAACATTTTGACCGTTTTTCTTTTGAAAGGCTCTTTCTTGGAGAAAACCTCGGAAAGGTGCAATACCAGTACCTGCAGCAATCATGATTAAAGGTTTTGTAACATCTTGGGGCATGCTAAATGTGCTTTTAGACGATTTTAAGCTGGCACAAATACTGGACATTTTATCACCTTGAAGTCTCTTCAAGTAAGAGGATGCAAGACCGGCATAATGTTTATCACCAACAATATCATCGACAACACTGACAGAGATATGAGCATGTTTGGGGAAAACAAGAGGAGAAGAAGCTATAGAGTAACGTCTAGGTTGCATAACACTGACAGCAGCCAAGAATTGACCAAGATCAAGGTAGTTGACTTGAGGGAACGCCAGTTGGAGATCTAGCAGAGTTCTGTGTTTTTTAATAAACGAAGGATACTGGTCTTGGTTGTTTTCATCAGGCATAGTCAAGCTATCAAACTTTTTGGCAGTCTCGGGAGCACTAGCATGAAGCTGAGCAGCAAAGAAACTTAATAAACGGCGAGAAGGAGGTGACATAAAATCAGCGTAGTACATCAGTGCATTGCGCACAGTACAAGGTCCCTTAATAACGGCAGCCATAGACCGAGGAGAAAAGCTATCGGCTGAGGCATTGTCGATTTCAAAAACAGAATCCAAAACCAAACCAAAACCTAAAGCAATACGCTCAACTTCTTCGATATTGTTTTCGGGCATGATTTCAATGTGATCACCAGCATCATAAAGTTGGTCCTTGACAGAGCTGACCGAGTCTAACTGGGAAATATCAATTTCAATATGGCGTGTACTGCGATCAGAACCATTTTGTTGGAGCTCGCGGTTGACAATCAACGTAGAATTATATACACCGTTTTTGTTCTCCTTTGCTTCCATCCATTTCGTGGTATCTGAAGGGGAAATGTAGTTAATTTTAACAGCATTCAAATCAGAGTCTTCGGCGGAAAGAGTGGCAGTAGGAACAACAGACTTGCTTAAAGAAGCAGCAACACCAAACTTTCCAAGTACGTGGGTCCAGAAGTATGCACACCATTGGTTAAAGTCGCCATCCATATCATTATCAGCATCACCGCTACCGGGGGAGAATAAACGGTTTGCACCAAGAATTTCTAAAGAGGCATCAACCTTAAGAGGGAAAGCTTGATAAGTTCTCCAGTTCTTGTTACCGAGACCAAAGACAGCAAATTCCATACCCTCAAGTAAACTTTCGTTACCAGCCTGCAAGTTGAGATCCAAAAACTTGTTAAAGTTTTCAGCAGAGTCGGGGGGTTGGCCGTTGTAAGTAGCAGTACAGATGACAACTAGTTCGTTCTTTTTTCTATCTGTTCCCAACTTTTTATAAGTGCCAGTTTGAATGGTATTCCAGTGGTCCATAGAGCTAAAGGTAATGTCCTTAAAACCAAAACGCTTAGCTTGAGCAGCCAGTTGATTAGCATAATCCTGGGCGGAACCGGTTTGGGTACCAAAGAGGAAGGTGATCTTGGGTAATTCAATGCTACCAAGAGTGGGGATTCCTTGGTTTATCTCGGGTATGTTTATAGCTCCAGTAGAACTTTCGGTTTGAATGACAACATCTTCGGAAGGTTCGGGAAAGTTAGTACGAGGGTGGATATTCATCAACATGTTGAGGGGTTTAGTAGTAGCTTGGTAAGGATCATAGCAGACATCGGGACCATCATACTTGAAATCGAAACGATGGAGGAACATGGAGAGTACAGTTTTAGCTTCTTGTAATGCGAAAGCCATACCGATACAAGCTCTGGGACCAGTACTGAAGGGTAACCAAGAATATAAAGATCTTTTCTGTTCTTCTTCAGGAGAAAAGCGCTCAGGGTCAAATACAGTAGGGTTTTTGTAAACATTAGGATTCATATGTAAGTTAATAATAGAAACATGAATACTCGTATCGCCTTTGATACGGTAACCACCAGGGACAATGCAGTCCTTCTTGCAGTACTTGCTAATACCTCTTAAAGGGGGATGCATACGAAGGGTTTCTTTTAATACCTTAGAAAGGTATTTAAGGCTTGAGATTTGTTCAACAGTGGGCAACGCATCAGAAGTAATTCCAGCATTTGAGATTTCTTGAAGCACCTTGGCTTGAATATCAGGATGTCTAGAGAGTTCATAAAGAACCCAAGCTAAAGTATTTGCAGTAGTATCATGACCAGCAATCAAAAACGTAACAACTTGATCACGGATATTCTCATCACTAAGGCCCAAATTGTGTTCATCACGAGCATTCAACATGAAACCTAACAAATCTTTTGCTGGATCCTTTGCTGATTCACTTGCTTTACGTTCTGCTACTACTTCGTCGACAATAGAATGCATTAACTTGATACTTCTTTCCCAATTACGATTGGATTCTAAAGGCATTTTACTCATAAAAGAAGGGCGTGCAAAGCGAGCAACACTATTACCAAGAGCGTAACCCATGGCGTTAATAAATGGGTGAGAAGGTTTACTACGATCCATCAAATCAAACGAGTAACCAAAACCAATGCGGCCAATGGTTTCGAAGGTCAAATTAGTACACCAGTCTAAAATTTCGACTTTATCTTCTGGAGCATATTCACTAAGAACTTTTATGGTTTCTTGGGCAATGATACCCATTTCAGGTTGATAAGCCTGTGTTTTTTAAAATTCGTCAGTAAATCAACATATAAACTATCTATTTGTTTTATTACCTTGACAGCGCGAGGACTAAAGGCGGGCATAAGAATTTTGTGAGCCAGTTTCCATTCTTCTGCATCACTGTTGGATGTAAAGAGCCCACCGCCAGCAAATTCTTTGATGATTTTTAAGCCAGCATTGACTTTTTTAGTAAAATATTCAGATTCTTTCACAAAGAGCTCTGCAATGGCTGGATCGTTTGTACCAACGATTTTTAAACCCAAGATATTGACGGTCGTCAGTGGACCATAAATGGCGAATTGCTTCCCCCATCCAGCGGCTCTACAAAAAAAAAATATCATCCAATTTAGCTAGACGATAATCGTACAATACTGTCTCAAAACTTACAAATCGGGCAACATTTCATAGAGGTTTCCAACCATAGGTAATCCACGGGGACCAGGAATATTATCTTTTATTTGTTCGGGAAAGTTTATATATACAACTTGTTGAGCTCTCACTCGATCGATCTCTGTTAAGGCTTCCCCTGTGGAAGTCTCGAGTATGATGTCGGCCAAAGGGACACAGATTCCAAGTTTCTCGACGGCTAAACTGCGAACCGTATTTGTATTAGCACCGTTGCCAATACGAATAATGTGTCCATCAGTTTCAGTATTTTCGCAACCTTTGAGAGCCACAATCAAACAAATAGTTTCTGACATTATTTCTGCAATGTGTGATACCCAATTTTGAAAAAAAAAGAGGAGAAAATAGAAATGCACAGATTTTTTTTTTTTTTATTTCTTTCTTTTGGCCCCCCAGATGGATCGAATATAAATGTAAAGTCAGCCTCCGGAGGTTTAGCCTGAACTCGTGGGCGCATCAAATAGCTACTTAAATAGTTGTACATATTGGTTCGAACAACCAGAGTGTTACAAAGTCATTTCAAATGATTTTTTGTCAATATAAGATCATATTTGGGAACAAATACTACCCGTCATTTAGTATTACTTTCCAAAGTAGTCGGTTGTACAAAGCAACAGTATACCTAGTACCAACGGAGATTATATATACCCGTAGAATTTGGAAATTGATTGTGCCACATGAGCATCATCATAAGAAACAATACAAGACTTGATAAAATGTGGATACCGTTTATGATAAAAAAAGAAGTAGATTGTCTTTACTACAGCGGCAACACGACATTGTACCCAATTATATCATAGCATTCATAGTTCATCGTTATGTGAACCGTCCCGAAATCAGACTGATCAGTGTTATCCTTTACCTTTACGTCAACTCAGGACCCTTACCGTGTGAATATACATTGTGCGCTTATCCACATGTTAAATGAACACTGTTTATTATAGTAAATGATCATAGATATAGGTCAGTTCGCTTTTATACGGCGACATTATCGCAGAAAGTAGATAACTGGTCAATTATCACTTCGCTTTTATACGGCGCGCCCCTTGTTTTTTTTTGTAATAATGCGTTGTCTAACCTTACCTCGTGCACTCCTGCGTTTCCGCTTTACTGCGCTTTATCAAAAGCCATTGATTTTTTTTTTCTTTTATTATTTTTTAATACATATCCTTTGGTTCATTACAATTGCATTTGACTCGATTTTTTTACTGTCGCTCCGTAAACTCCGTGTCTCCGACCGGCCTTCAATAACTTATAACCGCCTTATTTCTAACGTGTTGCACCACAAACATAAAACGACACATGCCATTCATGTTACATCATCTGGATCTTTCTGATAGGCGAGTTTTATTTTACCAAAATCATTTTTCTCTAAACAACCGTACTGTGTACCTTACATAGTCAGAAGGACAGGAATCAAAAGTTCATTTTTTCATAGGCATATTTTTGTTCAATGGTATACTGAGATATATAATTTCAACCAAATGCAAGGTGACATATTAAATTAGGTTTATTATGAACAAAGAGTACAGAGTTGGGCTCATTTTCCGGATTTTCCTAATAAAAATTGAGGCGAGGTTTATAACGCAAAATAAACTGTGCCACGAGTAGGTTTTCCTGTCTTATTCAGAAAAGTTACATTATAATTTTTTATGCTAAAGGGAAGGGAATATATTGCATAGTTGTGTATCTCTTTCCCCCCCTCCCCCCTTACTTCCTTGATTTTACTCTTTTTTGTATAATTTTAATAGACCTTTCAAAATAGAAAAACTAAAACAAGTCAATTGAAAAATATGGAGAATTCAAATTTTAGTGTACAGATCTTCATGATCTTCCAAGTGCGTCCTCTATGTTTAAACAGCGATCCATTGTCCTATAATTGTATGAGTGAAGAGTAGTGACTTCGGTTTTTGCATCAGATCGATTTGAATACATTTGGCTAATTTAGCATTTTTTACATGCGTGCAATGACAAAAAAAAAATTTATTATAAAAATTCAATAAAAAAAAAAAAAAAAAAAAATCTACGCCAAACTTTCTTGAATGCGCTTTTTGGTAGCTGCAACATTCTCATCAGAAATAGCACTCCAGATGGTCATGGTGTAATCTCCTCTTTCTTCATAATCTGCTGGATAGTTTTCAAGTTTGGGTAAATCAGGATTTAAAGCAGCCGCATGATGATTTATCCATTGAATAAAGGGTTCTCTTCTCTGTCTATCCGCATCAAAGATTTCAAGCGGACTGATTCCGGAAACAAACTCGGATGTAAACTTATCCATCAATTGGGCATTCGGTAATTTTGCGTTTCCACTCCATACTCTGGCTACCGTTCTTGCATGCGTATCAAAATGAGAAGGTGTGCTGAAATAAGGTGGGAAACCTACAAAGGCTAAAGTAGGATCGGACATCACAAACACCTCACGATACACGTTCAAGGGGAATTTCGAGCTGGCAACAACATGGCTTTCGGGGACGTTGGCATAGGAAGGTCGTGGGAAGATATCCTTCTCTTTCTCCAATTCTTCCTCCTCTTTACGAATAACAAGATCGCCCAAGTACTTGAGTCGGTTGATAAACCCTGTGCAAAAAATGACATGATCCACTTGCAGGGTCGAATCATCGGTAAAGAGGATGGTTCCGTCCACGTTACCATCGGCGTCTGAAAAGGCAGCAATATTAGGTTTAATAACAACAGACTCCGGAATCTTGGATCGGATAAGGTTGAGGATGTAAAAAGGGGTTTCGACCGGTCCGTCAATCGACATGGTGATGGACTTTGCAAATCCTTCTAACCCACGAACTACATCAACAGCAGAAATAGCTCCACCCACGACTAAAACGTCCTGGTAGGATCAAAACAAAAAAGGGTCAGAAATCGGCGGGGGCACATGGATTTAATTCCTCCATTTTATATAAATATATATTACCTTGTCTTTAAAGTCCTCAGGGCGTCTATATTGTTGTGAGTGAGACGCTTTATCAGGCCACATTTTATTCCAAGCAGTTAAATCCTTGATATCGGGAACAGAGGGTTCCTGATGTAAGCCAGATGCACCCACCACAGCATCAAAAGTCTCTTTCCATCGCGAAATTCTTACCAATCCACTGGGATACACATCAAACTTGCATAAAGATACCTCCCACGTATCATTCTCCTTGTTCTTGGTCACAAGCTCCACACATGTATTAAATTCGATCAAGGGCAACAAGTCAAACTCTTTCGCATATCTCTGGAAATACTCTTTAGTGATGGTGTGAGGAGCCCAATGAGGAGTATCCTTAGGATAAGGAAAATCGGGATAGTTAAACAAATGAACCGAAGTATTGTTATAAAGATCACGGTAACAAGCGGTGGGAGGACACTTTCGAAGAAGAAGCTTTTGAGTCTCGGGAGTCATCTCGACGGTTTTCTTATCACGACCTTCCAAGGGAGCAGTAAAAGCTTCAGGATCAATAGCACGAGAAACACGAGAAGTAGGAATCTTGGGTTTTAATGGTGCTGTATCCGAATAATTCCTTTTTTTTTTTGTGATAAGTTAATTCATGCAATGTTTCAAAATCTGCATTCATCAACACTTACCAAATACCACCCACATCGGATTTTCGCTCAAATACACGAACATTCATACCAGCATCTCTCAAATGTCTGGCGGATGGAAGCTAAACAAAAAAAAATGGATTAGTGACTTCATACATGATTTCTCCCCCCCCCCTTAAAAAGTCGCTTACTCCGGAGGGGCCAGCACCGATCACAGCAACGTTCTTTATAGGTTTCTTGAAGACAAATGGGTGCTTTAAAGCTTCTTCAGCTTCGGCCAAAGACAACTGTACGGTTTCTTCTAAAGTCTTCTTTTCGTGTTTCATTATTGGCAAAATAACGTATGAAGAAGAAGAGGAGAAGGGGGCGAAATAAAAATTGAACTATATATCTTTAAACGGACTTTTAAACCTTATGTGATGATCATATTGTTAAATTTTGGTTAATTGGGGATTTTACAATGTTTAAATGCATCTTGGTCTAGACTTCTGGAGATACCATAAAATAATATATGCAGCAAAAATACACGGTTCACCTTTCGTTTGTATTCAATTCTTGGGTCATGACGATGTTAGCAAAGCATTGATGACCTACAAGTTACTTTATTGAGAATTCTGTATTTCATCTCCCGTGTAACGTCTTACGTTAACTAAAAATGGCCCATGTGAATCATTATAGGCACTTACATGTTTAGCTGCAAAAAAAAAAAAAAAAGAGAAAAAAAAAACTGGTGTTGTATTTATATTGACGGGGCATATAGAATATTTAGATAATCTATTCTTCACACGCACACACATATATCTATTGAACTAGACATTGATTCTGTAAACAACCGGCTTTGATTGTATGTTTTGCTCAATATCGAATATATACACACCCAAAAAGTTTCTTTTTTTAAAACGCAGGTAAAACAAAAAAAAATCGATCAGGGGCAGAATTACAATTTCTATTCCTGATAGATATTCCGACGAACTAAAACTTAAAGTACATATTGGAGCTAATTGTCCTAGTGCAACATGTAGCAGAAACATTTGAATGATTTATATCATTCGAGTAAATTTATCAGCGCGTATGTAAATTTTCCTGCTCCTGATAAATATAAATGTCATTTTGCATTATTAGAGAGTTTAGGGGACTCGGATTTTCAAGTAAAGATTAGTGAAAGCGTTTACACTAATGGTGTAAAAAATGGCAGAAAAAATCACTAATCTGATTTCCAAACAGTACAATTTACTTTTTTTAGTACAGTGTAAATTAATCCCCCCAAAAGTCTCTATTACTTGTGTGTTTCAACTACATCAAAAAAAAATGCATATAAAATGTTTTATTTTTTTTGTATGTACACGTTATAAAACGAAAGGTGTTTGTCTGGAAGGGAAAAAAAACTCTCTAATAATTCTTCATGGCATTTTCAAAGATAGCAGCAATTTGTTCACGAGCAGGTTCACGAGCAGGAGCAAGCTTTGTAACACGATGTTGAGGTAAAGTACCTTCAACAAGGGCAGGAATGTAAGAAGAATCATAACCAATAGCACTTAAACCATTAGGAACACCTAAATCGTCAAGGAAACGAGTCAACTTTTCAGCAAGCACTTCACCAGCCATGGATTCCTTAATGTGAGCAGGATCAGCTCCAAAGGCGGCAGCAGCATCAATGTGACGGTCAGGACAAGCATCTGCAGTGAAACGGAAGACGGAAGGTGCAGTCAAAGCAACGGAAACACCGTGAGGCTAGAAATTAAATAAAACAAAAACTGTCAATGACTTATCTTTTTCTTTTTTAACAGTATATATATATAAAAAAGACTTACAACAATGGCATGGTCAACATTGTAACCGGGATGCTTATAGGTCTTGTTAAGACCACTGATAGGATAACTCAAACCGTGACAGAGATGAACACCAGCGTTACCAAAACCAATACCGGCAAAGGTAGCAGCTAACAACATTTGACTTTGGGCTTCAAGATCCTCGGGATCCTTGACAGCACGAGGCAAGTATTCAACAACCATCTTGAGAGCATGGAGAGACCAAACATCACTGATGGGGTTGGAACCTTGGTAAGCAGGTCTCTCAATGGGATCCTTGGGACGAGGAGAACGTTGGTTGAAAGGTAAAGCAGTGTAGGACTCAAGAGCATGACTAGATGTGATAAAGAAGATTAGATTGGGCAAATATATACATATATATATACATAGAAATCATTTGTTATTTACCACAAGACATCCAAACCACTGGAAGCATGGACTTGAGAAGGCATACTACGAGTGTTCAAAGGATCGACAATACCGAGAAGAGGCTTAAGAGCACGGTGAGCAATACCGGTCTTTGTCTTGAGAGGCTCATAATCAAAGATAGCAGTACCTGTGGTTTCAGAACCAGTACCAGCAGTAGTAGGGACTAAAAGAAAAAGGAGTTGTGATTTTTTAGCTATCCCATGCCCTTTCTTATCTTTTATATTCATTTTTTACCGGCAATCAAAGGATGCAACTTCTTTCGGATGGGCAAACCTTTACCAATAGGAGCATTGACGAAATCCAAAAAGTCAGCTTCGGGATGAGCACTGTAGAGACTTGCAGCTTTAGCGGTATCAATAACGGAACCACCACCTACAGCCACGAAAGCATCAGGGTTATGCTGACGAGCAAAATCAATAGCGGATTTCAAACTGGTATCGGTAGGTTCAACACGACAAGTATCATAAAGAACATAATTAACCTTGTGCTTCTCTAATGATTCTACAACAGCCTTAAGAGGGTGAAGTTTGGCGATCTATGATATATAAAAACAAGGGAGAGGGGGACCGTGAGAAAAAACTGGATTCCTAATTTTTAAAATAATCCCGACCAAAAAAAAAACTTACAGTTGAATCAGTATAGACAGCCACTTTAGTAGCATGAACATTATTTAAATCCATACCAATTTCACTACACACATCATTAAAAAAAAGGCTCGTTAGCCAAAAAAAAAAAGAAAAAAAATAGATATACAATGAAAATAACAACAAAAAATGTACCTGGTTACACCGGGACCGAAACGAATGTTACTGGCAGCCATTTCGAAAGCGTAATCTGTAGTTTCTTTAGCACTAGCATAATTACGTCCGTATTTCAATAAGCTGGAGAAAGCACCGGAAGTAGAAGGGCCAGAGTGAGCGTGCGAGTGACAAGGACAGGCATTTGCTCCTGATTGCATGATACTCAACAGACGAGTGACGTGAGAACGGGAAGCTGCTGCTGCCATTTTTACTTTTTGTTTAACGAGGAGAGGGGTGGGGAAAAGAAGAAGAAGAAAAAAAGTGGAGAAGAAGAAGAAGCCTTTTTTTTTTCGAAAAAAAAAAAAAAAAAAAAATCTATCGTCCTCGCTTCCACATTGAGGTTATAAGGTTTTAGTTTCTCCACGGTCACATGATGTCTGTCATTAACAATAACGATTTTTGTTCCTGGAACGGTAGGACGAGGGATAATCTTTTTATATATATAGCAGCTATAATTGAAAGGCTTTTCCCCTTTCCTTTATCTTTTTTTCAGTTTATTTTTACTAGTCTTTATGAATTGAACTTATGCTCTTCTAACAACCATCGAGCTCAGACTTATACAAAATAATAATAATAAGCACAGCGTCTACGCACTTGAAAAGAAAGTTGATTCTAAAACTAAAATAATACTAAACACTGCTTAAGATATTTGCCGCTCGTTTTCGTGATTTTTTCTCAAGCAAATCTGCTTATATAGTAGCGTGGGACCCTTTTATTACTAAAATCAGACGTTTTCTTGTGGGAGAACTGGTAACAAGAACACGAGCTTTATTAAGTAAAATGGTGTATAAGGTTAAATTCAAAAAAAAAAAAAAAAAATATGTAAGTCGCCATGGGAACGAGAACATTCCCCTCCCCCTAGCTTTGATATATATATATCTTGTATTGCTCTATTCTCGCGTCAATTCAAACACGGGGATTCATCTCTCCCTGTGTAATGCTTTCTTCTTCTTTTTAACACAGAGACATAAAAAGATCTCACAAAAACGCGTTCATAATATAAATAAGAGTGTAGAGATTTTATATAATTATTACTAGTGTTATTTTCAGTTTTATTTTCTTTCATTTTACTCCCCCACACCCTTAGCTAGTTCTTTAAGCAAGCTTATTGGTATAAGCGAGCCAAGATCCAGGTGGGAATTGCGGAGCAGCTTTACTGCGTGTGTTACGACGAGCTGTTTCATGCTTGTTTGAAACAATTTGATCCTACATTTTATCATTATTCAGCTATTTCTAAACTCTTTTTTTTTTTTTGCAACTTACTGCAACGCGCTTCTTCATGCCATTGGTCAAGTTATGAATTTGCTTTTCAAGTTCTCTCTTTAATCTGAATTCACGAATACCTTTAGGGTTTAACCATTCTAATAAACTTTGCAACTACAAACAAATCATTTTAGTCTCTATTCTCTCTTTTCTTTCTGTCTATAGTTCTTTTACTTGTTCAGGTTCGTCGTAGGATTGCCACCATTCGTTTGTAGTATTTCCCCCCGCCTTATACAAGGATTCTAATCTGTTTTCCATGTATTCTGCCTCTGGACGCATACCCTGTTCTACTAAAAGTTGTGTGACGAACTTGACACCTCCCCCACGCCCGCATGGCAGAGAAACCGTCGCATCGGGGGACGCTTCAAAATCACGCTCCCAGATCACCATCAAATCCGTATCGCTTGGGCATTGAACGAACAATTTACCCGATCCATGGACAAGTGTACCTCCAATATCGTCCAAATAATAATATCGGTTATAGAATTTATCGCGTCCCAACGGTTTAATACGGTGGTTACTGTATTTACGCATATCTCGTTCCACGTGTTCCTCCTTTTTATGCATCGCACGTTCATCCTCATCCAATCGTCGACGCGCGTCCGCACGTTGCTTTTGCTCTTGGTTACGAACACGCGCTTCTTCTCGTTGAAGATGGTGTTGTTTTAATCGTTTCGCTTCACGTTCCTTCATCTCGGCTTGACGACGTTTTAATGTGGCTTGTCTGGATTCATGACGAGAAAGTTGTTCTGCTTTACGTTGTGCCTTACGACTTGATAAAGAGGAGTTAGTTTTTTTTTTTTTTTTTTTTTTGATTTGTCACTTCCTCTTTTGGAATCTCTCTCTCTCTCTCTTTTGAACTTACAGATTGCTTGCTTCGTCATTATCACTGGCATTCGAATCATCGTCAGAATCACTGTCAGATTCAATCGGGTCAGGGTTTTGATTGCTTTCTTCCGTTTGCTTATCCTCCATTTCACGTCGTTCGGCATGACTATACAATGTGTTTGTATTCAAAAAAAAAAAAAAATCAAACTTTCATCTGTAGCACTTACATTCTTTTACGTTCACGACTCAGTTCAATCTTTTGTTTACGTAATTCTGTCATTTGATCCTGACATTCTTCCATATATGACCTATTCCATTATATAAAAAAAAATTAAGTACGGAAAAAAAAAAACCCCCCCCCTCCAACAACCCTTTCTCTCTCTCTCTTACTTGATGACATGAGATTCATTTGCTACACTTAAAAGTAATTCAAACACCTTGATTTTATCACCCAAACTTAAATTAATATAAGCTCTTTCACGTTCATCGGATGTCGATGCAACACGAGGCACAAGTAGACTCAAGATACGATCGACATCATCCATCATTTCCATGGGTGCCAATTGATTGATAAAACCAATCAAGATATCTTCCCATCCTAGACGTTCATCATAGGTATCCACTGTACCATGATCCCAATTCAAACTGATGGCTTCCACAGGTGCACTACCACATCCTCTTTCCGTTGTCGTCTTTCGAGGCTGTACACGAGATTTCATCAACACGTCTCCTTCTTCTTCTTCTTCTCCTCCTTGTTGAAAAGGGTGTGATTGACTGCTACGACAGGATTGATAGCCGGATCCATATAAAGACGTCATGGCTTGTAAAGCGGTAGATCCATGACCCAAACTCTCCTTCTTTAAACGATCACGTTGAGTGATAATCGCATTAAGCAACGCAATATTACTCTCAATTAAAATGGTGGTAGGTGAATGGTGTCGTAAAGCATTTTCAAAATCATCCAACGAGAAGGGTGATAACTTGAGTGGATGAGAAAAGACGCCCAAGAAGGACCAGACCATTAAGAAGGGTCCATAAGCGTCCTTGGGAATACTACTTTCACGGTTGGGTTGAGGACGTGGAGGTAAACCGCCTGTGGGGTTAGGAGCCAATTGAGTGTGACCTTTTGTACCAGGCGTCATATCCATGATGGGCCCGGATCCTGAAGGATCTCTGCGGTAAATGGGGACATTAAGATCTTCCATAGGGTATTTCAAGGTACTCTCCACTTTTTTAGCGTCCAATAAGAGACGTGGATCGTCCAATGATTCAGTTGAGGCAGTACTAGCAGCCACAATGGCTTCGGTTCGCTTCTTTCGGGATTTCGAATAGGCAATATCTCTTGCCAATTGAAGGTCTTTGGGAAGCGTAGTGTCAATGCCAAAACGATCTGCCGTATCCTGTCGAATAATCCATGGTGCACCGATATATGAATCCTTGATGGTGTACTCCTTGATAAATTTCTTTAATAAATTCTTGGAAAATGCCAATCGATCACGTCTACACAGAAATTAATAATTTTTTTTTTTTAAGTGGCTGAGATATGACATTTGAAAAAAGATGAATGTCTTACTTTAATTTGGAAGAAGGTACGACTTTGATGCAATCATCAATACCTTCCGCATTCTCGTCAATCAATTGCACCTTATAGTAATGTACGTCATTTTTCTCGTCTACCACTTGTGCATCTATTTGAGAAGGATCTACTTCACTTAACACCTTGGCGGTATAACTTTTTTTAAAAAGTAAAAAAAAAAAAAATATCAGTCAACAATGTTGAAAAAGGGCCGGAATGCTTCTTTTTTTTTTTTTTTTTACTTTACGCAATATTATCATCCCAAATACAATTCAATATTTCTCCGTCTACATAACGATGGGCGAAATATTTGTATACGTCTTCCACAATAGCATCTAACCGCAACGTTTCTTTTTGGGGGCCTATTTAGTAAACATACGTCAACACACACACAAAAAAAAAAACTTACGGAATTGGACATGAAGTAAGACTCGTTTCTGAAGTTCTTCTGGTAATTTATCTTGAACACGTTCTTTTTCGATTTTTTCACTTTCTAAGGCTTGTCCTAACGTCAAATTGGATTTACCAGTAGATTCACATTGCCAAATAGGTTTACGGTAAAGTGATGCACGCTTTAAATACTCTCTATTATAATTAAAAAAAAAAGGGTGAAGGGAAATATAGAGTGCCAAAAGTACGCGACGCGTTATTTCTCGTGAAAAAAAAAGGGGGGTTAGTATATACAAATAATAAAAAAGGATACGAATAATCTTTAAAGATCTCTTTGGTTAATGGCAAGTACCAAACAGTACTCTCTCTAGACTCTTTCTTATCGGCATCGTAGGTAGGTGTTTCTATGGCTGCGAATCGTTTACGCTTTAATAAAGGCATCTAATCATCATTGAGTCCTTTTTTATTTTTAACCATGTGTACTTTTCTCATCATGAGGCTTTACCTTTGTAATTAAATTATTTTTTTTTAAAAAATAAAAAAAAAAAAAAAAAAAAAAGGTACGAATATATATATATCTATATATATAAAAAAAAAAGAGGAGTTGTTTAAAAAAAAAAAAGTATCAATTAAACAATGAAAATGTCAAAGCAAAAAACATGAATTTTTTTTTTTTTTTTTGACTGTCTTTTTTTTTATTATATATAATTGGAAAAAAAAATAGATTTATTACACTGATAGGTTTATGTACAAGGGGGGGAATAATCTAAGTGGAACTACTGCTTTCTCTACCATGGGAATCATTGCCTCTATCTGAAATCACACTGATTTTCTCATCGTCATCTATTTCTACTTCCTTTTGAGCAAGTGCAGTCCGCACAGCTTCATGAAGCGATGTGAAAAAATACGGAAAAATATCATGCACAGCAACAATCCTATCTTGTTTACCCTCTGTTCGAATATCACAATAACACCAACGTGCAGATTCAATCGATTGACTACCCGCCTCTCTCTCAGACCCAGTTTCCATGGATTCTAACTCCTGTTGTCTTCGTGCTTGTTCAATCGTAATCACATTATCAAACGTACCCATCTTGGTCGTATCTTCTTGCATCTCAAGGTGACTGCAACATCCTTCAATACCAGGTGCATGTCCTCCTTCCTCTACACCATGCAACAAATCAGACAAGAAACGTCCTGCATGTTTCACATCACGTCGTTGATTTCCAAACCCTGCAAACAGGAGCGATTTCCGCACCGTAGCTGAATCTCCCGTCACGATATACCAATGCACAGGTCGACCCGTGTAGCGTTGCGTTTGGACAGCCGCATCTTTTAACCCTTCCATACCCGAGAAATCCATCTGATGAACACCCGATAAATCCAACACCACCGACTGCAATAAAGCTTTCTCTCGGTCCAAATCCGAAAGGGATTGCGCATTATTCCAAGCTCGATCACCCAATTTTTCTGCGGGGGCTTGACCACGTCGTGTCTTGCTCTTGATCTCATCCATCAATTTCTCAAAGACAAACGCAGAGTTTTGAAAAATAATGTTTTCTTGAGGTTGGAAACAAATGATACTGTTCTTTTCATCAATCGGTCGGATGTATTTACCCACAGTAGGATGGCGTCTATCAAAATACAAGGTCTGTTGTCCAATCTCCTTTTCTTCGCCCGTCGTTTGTGGGTCTTCTAAATCTAATTGTCCCAGGATCGCATAATTCGGTCGAGCCGTACGGTACAATTGAATCACCAAGGAGATAGCCACAGGTACATAGACACTGATATCAATACGTGCACACAAAGCAATAATATACGCTAAAGCAAACACCACTAATTCTCCTGGGTTGAGATCCCAAAACGTCTTCCATACCGTAGGGCCAAAGATCAAATCAGAGACAGAGTGAGCAATGATGGCAGAAAGTGCAGCATTGGGAATATACGTGAATGCAGGCGTAAACACATAGATGGAAAGAACCACAATAATACCCACAAAGAAACTTGTCATGGGTGTACGTGCGCCGGATTTAGACATCAGTCCGGTTCGAGAGAACGCGCCTGTGCCTGGATAAGCACAAAAGAAGGAACCGAATACATTGGCTAGTCCCGTGGCTAATGTCTCTTGACTCATATTCACTAAATTTTTTTTTTTAAGTGAGTTTAGGGTTGCTATTCATTTTTTTTTTTTTTTTTTTTTTTTTACCTTTGTAATCCGATATTTTTCCAAGACTGTTGGAGATAACACCATGTTCCATAATCATCAAGACAATAATACCTGGTAAATCACCCGTGAAGAAAGAAAGAATATCAGGCTTCAATTGGGGAACGCCCATATGACCAAAACCTGCAGGGACCACACCGATGATCGTAAAGGGGCTCTTTTCAAAGTGACCGAAATGGTTAATCATGTAACAGATCAAGGTTGCAAATACCAAGACAACAATACTTCGACTGGTATTGAAAAAGAAAATCAATCGGTTATGCTGAGGGTATCTTCTGATCAAATAGATTGAGAGGTACTTTACACCGTAGAGGTACGCTAACGCCGTCAGACCAAAGGCAGCGTCAATAGTCGACTTGTGCAAATGAATCAAGGTCTTTCCAAATACGAGATAGGGTACTTCGGAGGTGTTGATATTGGGTATACCAAAGATTTTGCTAAATTGGTTAATCACAATCGTCAGTCCACTACCGGCCATAAACCCGGAAATGGCGGGTTGACTAATGAAATGAAATACAGCACCCAGTCGAAGTAGTCCAATACCCAATACAATCAGTCCAGAGAAAAGAGAGAGATTAATGGCTGCATCCGCCATGGTCCATTCACCGGATTGAAATTGCGGAGAAGAAGTAAATCTTCCCATGACTTGTCCTACCATGAGAGACGTAATAGCGCTTACACCTAAATTGAGGTGATACAAAACAAGACAAAATGAGTATTCTGGAATTCATCCTATATGCTGTTTTATATTCCTTTTTTTTTTTTACCTATACTGACGTCTTTGGAGGTACCAAATAAAGGGTAAATAATCACACCCACAAAACTGGTGTATAAACCAAATACAGGAGGTAGGTTTGCAATTTTGGCTTTATATAGAATAATGTCAATGTCAAAACTAGTTCGAGATCTTTTCTTGTAAAAAAAAATTTAGACTTTTTTTTTTTTTACCGTAAGCTAAACTTTGAGGAATGACAAGTGTGCCGACGGTAATGGCAGCGGTGAGATCACCTAAAAACCAAACCAGATTATATTTCGGTAACCAATGGACAATGGGAAAGAGATCTTTAAAATAAATTTGAGCTTGGCCCGGCATGGCTTTTATCCCGTCTCTCACTTGGTCGATATACCGTGGTGGTGGATTATCCACATAAATTGTTGTCATGGAGATAAGGTTAGAATATATTAATAAAAAAAAAAAAAAAAAGAATAGTTCGAAAAAATAAAAAAGTTTTTAAATCAAAAAAGGTCTTGGTTTTTATAATGCTTTAATATCCAACCAATTTTTATAAACCCAGAAGTGGTTTATTCTACAATAATTTTTTTTGTTTTTTGCAGTCATTCCTTACAATGACCTGTCTGGTGTTACATTCATATCATTGATACAAACACTGTCAGTAAAAGAAAAAAATTTATTGCGTCCTGAGAAAAAAAGAAACGTCATGTAGATTCTGACATTTCAATTGGTTCCAGAATAGAGTTGGTAATAGAATTTTTTGCTTATTTGCCTCACATGCAGAACTTTCTTTTTCTATTGTAACTAGAGTTCAAAGGATACAAGAAAAGCCTATCTGGTGCTTGTGAATAAAATTAAAAAAAAAAAAAAAACTAGCCTAAAAATATAACAATACCAAAAGTTTTAAGACTCAGAAAGTCATTTTTTTATATCACTTGGTGTAAGTGATATCATATTTTATTTCCATTGAAACAGTTTATAAAAGAAATATGCATTACAAAACGTGGATGACGCTGACAAAATACTTTAAATGTGTCATTAATCTCTTTCTTTACCAGGTTAAGCATTTAGAAAAATACATGAAACATTTTTTATAAGCTGCATAATTTTTTTAGTGCAGAAACTAAAAAAAAAAAAGTCTAATTTTCCAAAATACTCTTGATATGATTTGGCCCTGTACCACAGCAACCTCCAACAAGAACACGGGGTCCATAGTCTTTCATGCATTGCGCCATCATACACCCAAACGCTTCCTCTGGTAACCTCGAGGTCGAATCCCATTGTCTTGCTACGGCATCCCACGATTCACCTCCATCCGGATAAGCAATCAAGGCTTGTCCTGTCTTCTTCTCGGTATGGTATCCATATACAATAGCCAGTAATGTCTGTACAAACTCGGGTTTCGTGCAATTCACACCCGTCGCGAATATCTCACTACTGTTTACTGCCTCTAATGCCTGCACAACACTTGTGCCATCTGCAATTTGGTCTCCAGATCTACACTGAAACGCTACTGCCACAGGTGGTAATTTTGTCTCTTTCACTACTTCTGCAATGGCCTGCGCCTCCAAATAACTGGGAATCGTCTCAAAGATAATCATATCCACTTTTGTATCACGAGTCGACAAAAAGATATCCAGTCGTTCTTTATGGAAACGCACTAAATCTTGGACAGATACATTACCGTAATCACCTGTGTATTCTGCTCCATTCGCTAACACGGCACCATAGCAACCCATCGAAAGAGCTACTAATTTATTTGAGTTGGGATGTGCCTGATCGTATTCATCACGTGCTTGACAAGCTAATGCAACACTCTTCTGCATGAATCCGATAGCTTGGTCCCTCGTATAACCTGCTTCAGCAAAACCTTGTAAAGAAGCTTGATAACTACAGGTCGTAGCTACTGTCGCCCCCGCTTCATAGTATGATCTATGCACGGACTAAAATAAAAAATGATGGGATTTTAGTTACAAAGGGAGAGGATATTCCTCCTTTTATTTACTTTAATGGCGTCAGGGTCATCCCGAATACATGTGGCAGACCAAAGTTTCCCTGTGATGTCATTGTTAGTTACGTCTGAGGAAATGACATAAGTTGGCAAAGTACCTGATAAGTCTTTTCCAAAAGATCTTTCCAGCTCGGTGGCAAATCCGCCGTCAAGAATTAAGGGAAATTGAAAGCTCATTTTTCAAAAAAAAAAAAAAAAAAAAAAAAAAAGAAGAAGCGGCAACAGATATATAAAGCAGAAAAAAAAAATTGCCCTCGCCTTTTATTAAAAAAAAAAAAAAAAAAAAAAAAAAGTAGATGAGATCCCCTTTTCCCTCCCTCGGTTGTTACTTGTTTTAATTTTATAAAAATGGCGACATTGCATTGCATTTGGATAAGCGACGCATCTATTTTGGATAGGCGACGACATTTAGCAACATTGGACAACATTTTTAAACAAGCGTGCATGCAGGCTTTTATTAATTGATAAATAGTTGATAACACAGTAGAAAGACAAATTAAAAAAAAAAAAGACAGGAGTGTAATTGGTATAATAATTAATTTTTTATTTTTAAAATATTTTTGAAACGGTTAAATGCTCTATTCAAAAAGAAAAGAAGTTAGTTTCAAAAGATACTTTTTTAATCATATGCTAAAATGACCATCAAGAGAATTAAGAGAGTTCACACTCAATTTCATCTTTTTTTTTTTGCAATTGAAAACTATAATCAGATAGTTATACACTTTGTCAGTCATGCGGAGCTCCGTGTTAGCATGGAATGTTTTTATTCATCAGATGAATTTTCAATTGCAATTTTAAAAAAAAAAGTGTTTCCCCCTCGCATTTCTCAAGAAATAAAGAAAAAAAAATGTGAAACTTACCAAAATAATGTAAAAATAAAAAAGAAATTTGATTTTTAAAAAAAAAAGTTTATTTATAAAAAATAATGCATCATCTATAAAAAATTAAAGGATTATTAGTAAACCTTGTAATGTATTCAATAAATCGAATAGAAAATAAAGAAAAAAAAAGAAAAAGTAATAAAAAGAGGATCTTTTTAAATTTTTTTTTTTTTTAAAAAAATTTTATCAGAAAAAAGGGTTGAGCTGCGTGTTTTATCGACAGTTATCATTTCCGACTGGGGCGGCAAAGCATTCATCAGGTTATTTTTTTTTAAAAAAAAGAAAAATAAAATAATAGAACCTCTACTTTTCCTTCTTTTTCTTTTTTTCCTTCCCATTCGATTCTTTTGTGATATTTACCTTTAAAAAACAATTGATAATGAAAAAAAAAAAAAGTAAAAAGAATTACCGCAAATCTTTTGTCATTTATACTTTTTTTTAAAAAATTCTTTTCCACCCTTGTTTAAAATTTAAGCAGTCCGTCCCAACAAAAAAAAAATTTATTGTCTCTATTCTCGGTGACAGCTATTTTTATAGGTTTTTTTTTTTTTTTGGGCTGAGTGTTGTTTTTACGAGAAGTAAACATGACGGAAAATCACTTACTTTGAACAAACCTGCAAAGTCATTCCAAATACAAACACCCGTGATTTTTCTCCTCCCCCAAAAAAAAAGATAAGAGTAACCAGCATCCTTTATTTTTCCTTTGTTTTAACACTAAAAAAAAACCAAACACACACACACACATATTCAACTTCCGTCATAGCAGTAAAACCAACCTTTCGCACTAATTTTTTTTTTTTTTTTTTTTAGTGTATCACGCATAATTCATACGCCACCCGCCTCTCCCGAGCCTTTGTATTAGACATGTGTGTGTGTACGGAAAAAAAAAAGTGGGATTTTTATATGTTGCAGGGTGGTGGGCCTTTTTTTTTTTTTTTTTTCCAAGCTAAAGAATTATTAGTGAAACATTAAAGTGGTTGATATGTTGTCATTATGTTACACATAGGGTACGTATTTCTTTTGCATTGGTGGTCCCATAAAAGTAATTGCTCATTGGTGTATTTGTTTGTGTAAGTTTATTTATTTTGGCAACTTTGATGGTTAGACATGAAAAAACCTTGTGATAAAAAAAAAAAAAATAATAACAATCGCACCATGTTTTGACAAGGCAAAGACAAACTCTGTTTTTTTTTGTAGATCCCCTTTTTTTAGAAAAAAAAAAAAAAAGTACACTATAAAGAGGGAGAATGGGTTATTTTTTTTTATTTTTTTATAACAAAAAAAAAAAAAAAGGGCTGTTGTTGTTTGGGTTGTGTGTATATGTATATATATAAATAAATAAGAAAGAAAAAAAAAAAGGGAAACTAGCAAAAAAAAAGAAATAGACAGAAAATACAAAAGATATAAAAAAGAGAGAAATAGAATAAACGATTCGTCCCCGCTAAAAAAAACCCCTTAATTTATTTCAACATAAGGGGTTCCATTCCGAGTTCCGGTCCATTTTGCGCATCGTCGTACATGGAGGAGGGTTGAGGTTGAACCATTCCGTTTCGAAACATTGGAACAATATTGTTGGTTACAGAAGAGTGGGTATTAGTCAATGATTGTTGTTGCTGATGCTGCTGCTGCTGGTGCTGCTGTTGTTGCTGTTGGTGCTGCTGCTGGTGCTGCTGCTGGTGTTGTTGTTGATGATGTTGCTGCTGTTGCTGTTGTTGTTGTTGTTGCTGCTGCTGCTGCTGTTGTTGAGGTCTTTGGATATAGTAGTTATTATATGTGTTGGGAGAAGATTGATATCCATTATTATTATTTGGAATCGAGGGTAATTTACTGTCATGGTGATAATCTGGATAATTGGACATACCCATAAACAGCTGTGTATTATTATTATTATTATTCACATTCGTGTCCGCTTCGGATTTCACAAGAGGATGGACTGGATTTAATAATTGGCCTATATGTGGGCTAGCCTGATGTTGTTGTTGTTGCTGTTGTTGCTGGCTGGACTCGTCATTTTTCATGCTAGCAGTAGTCGTATCGTCCACCCCGGGTATCATGTGTGGATGAACCACTTGTGGCATCATATCAAAACTACTGTTACGACCCCCATTATACCTCTGGATAGACCCGGACGAGCTAGACGACATACTATAATGTCGAGGTGGCTGCGAGAACGATTGTCGTACAGGTGATAACATGGGTGTATTGGGGGATGAAGTCATACTAGCGGGTGAAGGTAACGGAGGTGGGAAATGATGATGATGAGGATGTTGATGTGGCGCTTGATTGTTACTATGATACATATGGCTGTTGTTGCTACTAGCGGTCGTCGTTGTCGTCGTATGGTTTCCATAATAGTTGTTCATTTTACTACCATCGTCCATCTCCATGCGTTGCCCTAAAGAGGTTGGATACATCACACTTTGATTGACGACAGGCAAAGTGGCGTATTTATTGGATCCTAATGACATACTACGAAAGGGGTGAATGCGTCTATCGTCTAAAAAGAAAAAATGAGTATCCTTATACGTGGCTAAAAAAAAACAACATGAAATATTTTTTACCCGAATACAGATTATCTGTCAAAGTAGCGTCATTTTGATCAAAGGGAGGAGGTTCAACCATGGGAGGAATCCGAAAGTTTTGCTTGATGAGCAAATCAGGCGATATTTCGAGACTTGCTAATTCGGGCACGGAAGAAGGTGTGCGTAATTTACTGGAAATAATATCGTTGGGGAGATAATACGAGATCAAATGTTGAGCCACGCCATGAACAATAATAGACATGGTCTTTTTGATAAGTCCATCCTTACGGAAACGGTACGAATCCGATAGGCTACCCACCAATCGACGCTCACGGTTACGGTCGTTCGACATGGTACACGTCAATACACTTTGGTCCGCACTGTAACTGCGTTGTCGGTTATCCACGCCAGAAGAAGAAGCTGAACCGGCAGAAGAAATGGAAAGTTTCTTGTCACCAGGCACTCGTTTGTCTAATTCACGATAGATCAAAAAGTTACCAAGTATACGAGATGGACTCCATACAAGCCCATCCGTCCATCGTTTGATACCTATTTTAACCCTTTTATTTTTAGTTTCCCAATCTTTGGTCCCTCCCCGCCCATCTTTTTTTTTTTTTTCTTTTTTCCTTTTTTTTTTTTTTTTTTTTTTTTTTTTTTACCTGACTCTCGTTCATCGAAAACAAAAACTGAGCCTGATCGTATCATGCGTCGTTCCTTTTCTTGTAGTCTTCTAGATACTCTAGGAATTAACCCTCTTCTGCATCCTTCAAAAATAAGTAATACATCCTGTGTCGTTTCGATATAACCATGAAATGTTTCTGCCATCTTTCTATTTTTTTTTTTCCAAAGAGAAGAAATAAATAAAATAGAAAGAGGAAAATAAAAATAAAAAAAGGGGGGAGAAAAGAAAAAAGAAAAAGAAAATAAAGAAAAAAAAGAATTTATAACATGTTGGTTGCACACACACATTTCGGCTGTGTAAATAATTTCCCGCTTTTTCAATTGTTTCAGCGTCTTTTCTCTCTCTCTCTGTCTCTCTCTCTCTCTCTCTCTCTCTCTCTCTGGGCAGGGGGTGGTACTATGGCAACTGAGTTCAAATTACCATGACAAACCCAATGTCTGGTAAAACAAAAAAAAAGAGGGGTTGCATGATGAGTAAAAATCATATAAAAACTGTCACCTTCTTTTACTCATCATGTACCACCCAAATTGCTCAAATTCCCCCCGTCAACCCTTTTTTTTTTTTTTTCTGTGCGGGTCGCACAGACCCCTAATCACAGAAAATCAGAATTATTCCTGATACCATCTGATGAGCTTGGGGTTCATCCAAGAGAGAAAAAAGAGCATAAACATTTAATTTAATATCTTGGAAGCGTACAAACAAGACGTGCACGGGCAAAAAAAAAAAAAAAAAAAAAAAAAAAAATTGTGAGAGATGGGGGGGGGTAAATTTGCTTGTGTAACTTTTTTTTTTTTTTTCATTAAAGAGTGTTATTACAGTGTGGATTTTTTTATTTTATACAAATGTGAGGGGGGTAGAGTTGGGGTTGCTTGATATTTATTTACATTCCCATACCACCCATACCGGGCATACCCATGTTGGGCATACCACCAGGTCCGTCCTTTTGAGGAGCATCCACAATCATACACTCAGTTGTGGTCAAAAGAGAAGCAACACCAGAGGCATCCACAAGAGCAGTACGAACAACCTTGGTAGGATCAATAATACCACGTTCAATCATATCGACATATTCATTGGTAGCAGCATCATAACCAAAGTTCATATTACCAGACTTATCTTCCAAAATCTTGCCTGCAACCACAGATCCTTCACCACCAGCATTATCTACAATGGTTCTACAGGGACGTTGGATGGCTTGACGAATAATAGTAATACCCAATTGTTGATCAAAGTTGGCTCCCTTCAAGCTGTTCAAGGAATTGGCGGCCTTCAAAAGGGCAACACCTCCACCAGGGACAATGCCTTCTTCTACAGCAGCACGGGTAGCACAAAGAGCATCATCGAAACGATCCTTCTTCTCACCCACTTCGACCTCAGAGGATCCACCCACACGGATAACGGCAACACCACCAGAGAGCTTAGCAAGACGTTCTTGAAGCTTCTCCTTTTCATAATCGGAAGTGGAGGCATCTTCAATAGCACCACGGATTTGTTCACAACGTTGGGTAATGGCATCCTTGGATCCAGCACCGTTCAAAAAGACAGTATCTTCCTTGGTAATGGTAACAGAACCAGTGGTACCAAAGAGTTCAGGCTCAGCCTTATCCAACTTGATATCAAGTTCATCAGAGAACACAGTAGAATGAGTCAGGACACCAAGATCACCCAAGATGGACTTTCTGTTGTCACCGAAACCAGGAGCCTTGACAGCAGCTACTTGGATTTGACCACGGAGCTTGTTTAAGATACAGGCAGCAAGTGCCTCACCATCCAAATCCTCAGCAACAATCAAGAGAGGACGACGTTGGGTAGCAGAAGCCTCAAGGGCAGGCAAAATATCTTGCAATTGAGAAATCTTCTTTTCAGACAACAAAATCAAGGGCTTTTCAAATTCAACCTTTTGGGTCTTGGTGTCGGTGATGAAATAAGGGGAGATGAAACCACGGTCAAAGCGCATACCTTCAGTGACTTCTAATTCATCATCAATGGTCTTACCAGCCTTGACAGTAATCACACCTTCTTTACCAACACGTTCCATGGCTTGAGCAATCATGGCACCAACGTGCTTATCACCGTTAGCAGAGATAGTAGCAACCTATTTTATATAGTGTATCAGTCCTTTTATCTCTCTCTTCTATATGTCCATCCATTCTATTTATTTATTTATTTTACCTGAGCAATTTCGGCAGAGGTGGTGACAACGCGACTGTTGGTCTTCAAGAATTCAAGAACATGATCGACGGCGAGTTGAGTACCACGACGAAGATCCAAAGGATTACAACCGGCAGCAACATTCTTTACACCTTCGGTGAAAATAGCACGAGCTAAAACAGTAGCGGTGGTAGTACCATCACCAGCAATATCGTTTGTCTTGCTAGCAACATCTTGCACAAGTCTAATTGTTTTTTTTTTTACATCAATATAGAATTCTCACGGTTTTTTTTTTTTTCTGTTTTTTATTTTACCTGGCACCCAAGTTTTCAAACTTGTCTTCTAAAACAATGGACTTGGCAACAGTGACACCATCCTTGGTAATCTTGGGAGAACCATAAGGTTGCTCAATAAGCACGTTACGACCTTTGGGACCCAAAGTGACAGCCACGGCCTTAGCAAGAATATCGACACCGCGCAAAAGACCAGCGCGACCTTCGACACCAAATCGAATTTCCTTGTGGCTAGAATAAAGACGGGAAAGAATACCAGTACCACGACGAGGTGTTTGAAGAGCTTTAGCAGCAAGTCTATTCATTTTTTTGAGGGTAGGAAATAAAAAAGTTGAAGAAAAATAAAAAGAATTGTGGGCAAGAGGGGGCCTGAAATAAATTAAAAACCGGTTGAATCCACAGTCACAAACAAAATCTTTCCCCCCGTTCTAAACATTTCTCCGGCCGGAACTGACTTTCCACATCTTTCTTTTTTTTTTTTTACCGTGTGAAAAAAAAAAAAAGATCCAAACAGACAGCGTATCGATGTAATGAACATATTCTGCATGACTTCTGTGATAAATAATCTAGGGGTCATGTCTCCTATTCTACATATACTTGGTAAAATGCCAAATTTAATGGCAGATGGTACATGTGCATTGATTTATAATCTCCCCTGATTTTCCTTGCTTTTCTCACGCGTTGAAGTGTACAATCATATAAAGTGTGGGGAAAAAAAAGTAAGTCTTGTCGATCCCCTTATTTAGTCATGACCACAAACAAATAAAGATATTTCCATTTCTTAGGTTTCGCATATAAAATTAATACCTTGTTCGATTTTTTATATTTCCATTTATTAGGTTTCGCATAAAAAAAGGTTTCGACGTAAAAATTTGAGCCCATGGTTATTTTCAATTATATATATGAAATTTAAGCTTTCTTCAATTATTACCTTTCTTTTTTTATTCTTTCACTGTTCTTTACATCCTCCCCTTCATAAATGTCTATGCTTGATATCGTAGACTGTGTATCATCACCCTTCTTAAAGACCATCGCTGGACTTCAGAATACTGAATTGTGAGTTTCTTCTTTTTTTTTTTTTATCCTGCAGTGCATAGACCCTAATTTATTCCCTAATCTAGAATCACCTCACCCAGTCCTTACTCTAAATTAGATAGCTTTGATCAAAAGCAAGAGCTTGAAAAGGAGTTTTGTCGAGACTTTTCCTGTTGTGGACTGAATCTCGGTAATTTACATCAATTACTAGAACACTATGAGGAATATCATTTATTTCGTACCAACACCACAGAAGAGGATGAGCGTCGCTTTACTTGCTCACCACCATCCGAAGAAGAAATGAACCTGTCTCAACCCATGCAACTCGCTCAATTAGCAAACACCTCCACCAAGGAACATTTGACAAAATCAGATTTAAATATGCTCGAAAATGCTCAAAAGTATGCTTCAAAACGTTCCGTCCAGACTTTAGATTCCATCGTCGATGGCTTAAATACACCTAGTCTCAGTCCCAGTGAAAGCTCCGAACCCTTTTTTGATGAGGATCTATCGGATTCAGGTAGTTGGATACGAAGAGCCAATATGATTATTTCTTCTACCAACAGCAATGACGGTAATATTCTCTTTTTTTTTTAAGTAGACAGAGAGAAAATGCCCTTTTTTTTTCTTTTCTTTGAATTTTTAATCACACATATACACTCTCTCTCCCTCTTTCAACTAGATCTGTCAGATAAACCTTATCGGTGTCATATCGAAGATTGTGACAAGGCATATAAGAACGCGAACGGATTAAAATATCACCGCTTACACGGTCATTGTCCACCGACCGATAGCAACGACTTGTTGGATGCCAATAAACCTTACACTTGTTCCTTGGGCGTCTGTCGTAAACGTTATAAGAACCTGAACGGTTTAAAATATCATATTGAACATACTCACATGTCCAAACTCCATAATTTAAGTCCTGCTGATATTTGGATGAGAGACTGTAAAGGTCGAAAAAGGCGCTTTTCCTCATCCTCGTCGTCATCCGCTTTATCAACAGACTCTTTGTCATAAATAAACACATACACACACAATAAGGGTTCCGTTTTTTTTTTTTTTTTTTTTTTTTTTTTTCTCACACACATCGTGTATTGTACAAACAGGACAAAACTTTATTCGGTCACTGATTTGACATCGCCTTACCGCATCATTTAGGCTTTAATGACTCTGCACATAACTGATAATCTCTTGTCGCCATTCACGACGCCGGAGATTATTCAATTGATATCAAAAACCTCTTGGTCTTTGCATACATGTTTATGTCTTTTTTTTTTTCGGACCAGAGTTCTTCTTAAGATCTTACCATTTCAACTTAAGCTTGTCTCACAACAATAGGTGAATGAGAGTTGAACCCTGACAAAAATCCAGACTATTGCTTCGTGGATAAAATGCAACAAAAAAATAATTGAGAATGCTCCAAATAAGCTTGTGTTTTCTTTTAATTCACTCTTATTCCAGAAAGTTTCTGCTTATTGAATAATTTTTCTACGATCTTGAGCTTTGAGTTGGTATCCAAAGTATAGAGATGTAGATTCCTTTTCAGTGTAATATCTTTTATCACTACTGTTCTTTTTTTATTTCTTTTAAATGTATCAAAAGAATCCAAAATTATGTGCGAAAAAATAAAAAGGTGTAACTCATGAGATATAAAAACCAGCTGAAATGATTTAAATGCTTTAAAAAAATGAGAGTTATATACGCATGCAATAGGGTACTTATCCGTTCCCTTCAATATCATGATATATTTTCTATTGATGCATTTTCCTCCTACTTTAGCAGTATACCTATTTAATGATAATTTATGAAATTAGTGTATAGCACAATCGTTCAATGCAACCCAACATGTGGTATCCTATGGGACTTTTTTTTTTCTTGGAACGCTAAAAAATGTGTTGCTTGTGCTCCTTCGTATACATTTGGCACCCAAATTGAGAGCAGAAAAATCGACCCTGACACCAATCCTACTTCATGACTCAGCAAGTTATTGAAACTGAGGATAACTCGACGGAGAAAAATTCGATGATAGCGATATAAATAGCCGCCGTTTGAAAAAGTTAAAAGCATTGTGTCAAGGGTCTATTACTCAAGTGCTATGGTTCTAAATTTTTTGAGCATCAAGCTTCTAGCTTTTTAAGTCATGCTTCAAGTTCAAAGGAACTAGAGGTGTATGTTCTTAAACGCTGTTAATTTTCTGTTAATATATATACACACAATAAATCCTATGACTATTTAGCATCATTGCCAGATTGTCATTCATGTTAATGTACAACGATATATTCCACTGTACAGTCTAGATGCTAAATTTCGAAAGAAGCTGTCACCTTTAAAGAACATATAGACTATCATTTCACTCAAGTTGAACACGTCACTCAAGATAAAGAAACCAATGAATTTATATAACTTTGGTGACGCCAAGTAGCAACCGAGTCAAAAAAAAAAAAAAAAAAGGCTGCTTTTGGTTTATTTTTCTTCACATTACACAAATTTTAAACACTTTTTCACTAATTTTTGCATAAAACATGATGGTCCCTTTCTGGCTGCGAGTAATGGGGATTTAAAACAATTCAAACGGAGACCTTACGTAATAGCTCACCCAAAAAGGCAGGAGAGAGAATGTCATTATAGCTAATACTGTTGACACAAAGCACTCTTAAATGATGCAGCAATCCGGAGTTAATGCTTGACAACGGGATCAACAGGAATTGTATGGCAATAAGAAAATTTTTATTTTGATTGCAAAATAACGTTCGTGATTTAAAGAAAAAGTGGATAAAGAAAGACATGTCTAACTCATTGACAACGACTCAGAAGAAATATAGTTTCCCAGCTTTGCAAAGAAATACTATCAGTGAAAGCAAGAAATATTTAGCTTAACACTCAGAGGTACAAAATATAAGCTATAGAACGACAAATGATGCTTTATGACACCATAGGTGCAAACCTGCAAAATGCGGTTACGATTTGACGGAGATAATAATTTGCATTGATGAAAAACAAGATCAAATTGTGACGGCGCTTTATTTGTTTAAAATGTATTTTTTTTAATTTTTTTTTTTTTGATTTTTTTAAGCATACTTTTCTTGAATTTACTGTGCAATGATTCAACAACGAAAAAACGCAATGAACACCGAGCTTTCTGGTTTAAACCGAACAGCCGATAAAAACTACTGGGGTTTAGTAACTTCAGATCCAGGTAAACATATAACCTTTATGCTTGAGAAGGTCATGACATTCGATTAAAGGGTTCCACTTTTATGTTGTTTTTATCTTTCTTTTTTTTTAAAAAAAAAAGACGTCTTTAACGACATGCTTAAAGAATATGGTGTTAAAGACACTAAAGCAGAAGAATTGTTTTCACTTGACTTTGAGAACTTGGAGGATGAAGGGTACTTAAGATATCTTCCTTTTTTTTTTATTGCCACAACTAAACTTTTTTTTTTTTTCATAAAAAAAAAGTCCTGTCCATGGCTTGATTGTCATAACTGAGTTTACAGAAGAACCTTTAATTGAGGGTTATGACAAAGTCGATGAGGATGAGGATGATATCATCTTTAGTGCACAAGTATGTATCTTTGTTTTCTTCTAGAAAAAAAAAAAAAAAAAAAAAAAAAAAAAAAAAAAAAAAAAACCTGCACAAATTAACATTGTCATCAGGTAGTTACAAATGCTTGTGGCACATTGGCTCTTATCGGAGTCTTATTAAATGCAGATATATCAGAGAGAGGTGAAATTCTCAACAATTTCTTGGAATTCACAAGAGGATTCTCTCCTATTGTAATATATTAAAAAAAAAACTCTCATGATATAACGTGTATTAATTTTTTTTTTTTTTTTTAGAATCGCGGTCTTTGTTTGGGTAACTCTGATGAAATCAGACGCATTCATAATGCTTATGCCCCGTAAGTAATGCTTCGCATATACACATACTTAAATCAGTTAACTTATATATATGCATGTAGCGCTCATCAAATTGCTGATGAATTATTGACCAATAACACTGCCGCCACCGTTACTACTGCTGCTGCCGCCGATTCAGACGAAGAGGGTGACTCTATGAAATATGAAACTGATTATCATTATGTGACCTATATCTTCAAGAACGGATTCCTTTGGGAAATGAATGGTCTTGACAATCGACCTAAAAAAATTTGTCCATGTACGAAACAGGACTGGCTTACGAAGGCTGAGCCCAGCGTTCAAAGAAGAATGGCCGATAAGACGTAAATAATTGTTTAGTTTTTTATTTGCTCATTGTGATTGTATACTTACCCTCCTATATCATAGAAATGCCTCGATCATAGCCATCAAGCATGATCCCTTATCTTCCTTGGTTGCAGAGAACGCTTTGTTGAAGACCAATTTAACGAAATTCGACAAGGTCTTCAAATCAAAAGTCCCAATCAAGAAGGCAACATTGGTAAACTATGCAACGCAATTCAAGGCTGACACAAGTCCAGATGCAGCCAATCATGAGGCTATAAAAACCGTTTGGGACGATCTGGTCAATGGTAATACACCGGTCAAGCCAAGAGTGAACATGCTTCGAGAGAGACAAAGCCAACTTGAATCAAGAATCAAGATGGAGGAAGAAAATCGCTTGATTTCTAGCCAAAACATTTGCCGACAAAAGTTCGATTACTTCCCATTCTTAACATCGCTCATCAGTAAAGCTTACAAACGTAAATTGCTCGACGATGATGAATCTGAGGAGGAACTTGAAAAGTTACCCACCCCACCAAAAAAACGAAAAAACAATAAGAATCAGCCCATCAAAGCTTGAAAAAGATTCGTTTTTCTTACCACCTACTGATACCACTACTTATATTACCAATACCAATACCCATACCTTCACATCACAACCTAAATTTGATTGTAAAATCATCTTTGTTCTAAAAAAAAAAAAAAAAACCGTAGGTTGTAAACCTAAATTTGATTATAAAATCATTTTTGTTTTAAAAAAAAAAAAAAAAAAATCCGTAGGTTGTAATTTTCTAATAATAAAAAAAATAATGAAATAAGGATCGTAATAATGTGACGGATGTTTGTAAAGAGAGTGTAAGGGTGTTGGTTGATAGAGTGTAGAGTAAACACCAACCGATAAATCAAATCTTAAAAAAAAAAAGTTCAGACGAGTCAAAATTGGGTGTTCAATCATTTTAAGACGGGTCTTACTTGGATTAAATAACTAAAGCGACAACTTTGGTAGTAAGTCATTGTCTGTCGACTAAACAAAGTTGGTCAGTCTTCCTCAAATAGATCAGTATTTTTTTTTAAAAAAAGTCTAAAGTTGCAGACAGATCTTTATTTCACATTTTCCCTGATACAGTACCAGGCGTATTCTCTATTTTTCTGTGGCAAACAATATTTTTACACCTGATAAATGATTAAATAATATGTTATCAATATTTAGATTTTTAAATTAATGTCGCATACCGCATCCATGACATGTAATGGTCAGCGTTTCTCATCTTTGACATGGTCTCGGATTTACAAAAAGATGATGTTTTGTACTCGTCAATTAAATATAGTTTAAATCCGTTATTCTTTAACATAACACTTAAGCCTTCACTCCTGTTTGGGTCTTGATACCTGCCGTTTGGTGCGACCAATTTCTAAGCATCAGCGTTTAGTTGGACCCAAACTTATTATTCAGCTTCCTAACTAATTGAACATCATTTTTATCAAGGTAAAATTTGCTAGAAAACTTTAGCTTACGGGAACGCTTTTCTTAGGGACAGACAAATTTTCCTTAGGGACAACTGGGGTGCGCATGGTCGAAATGTCCGATTATGATACTTTAATAGACAACCAAAGGTCAATATAATATATCGTCTTGAACTATATAAAATTTATTACAACCAGCATATGTTAAACCAGTATGTGTGTGTTATGCTTACTTTCAGCTTCTCATTTGGCCCATAGCTTGAAAATTATGTTTAAGACTAGGATCAAACGAGCTCAAAGGCGAAAGGGTGTTGATAGAATTGTCAAAACAAGTGTAAATTGTTCGTAATTTTTACATTGTTCCTGATGGTATATTCTTGTTTCCAGGTCTAAAAGACAGCCAAATCACAGATATTACGTGCACTTTGGCCGTCCCTAAGAAAAGCATTTTTTTTTTAAAAAATTGAGTCATCTTAAAGACCACTCTCTGGAATCTCTCTTTTTTTTTTTTAATGGCTTGCTTCACCTGGTTTTATGGCTGATAATTCTCTTTTCGGATGACTGATTTGATGGCTTTTTTAGTAAACCCATTTCCTTTTAATTTCCTACAAATATTTTCTGCTTTTTTATCCTTTTTTTAACAACCTGTTTACGAAACTGCGTAATCTATTTTTGAAACGCGCCTTATGGTCATCAAAATACTCTTTCTGCACAGCCGCGGACTCGGTAGTGGGAACATGCGGATAAAATACACAACCATCGGCATGTAGTTTTTTATTTTATTTTTCTTCCTTTCCTATTTTCTTTTACAAGCATTGCCAATTAATACATCTGAATTAATAAAAATAGTAATCACTCCAGTAGATGAATTGTTGAAAAGAATATAATTACAACAAAAATTGTCTACGCATTACAGAGAAAGATACGACTAACTTACAAATCAGGTAAAGAACCAGCAGGATGATGATCAACCTTCTGATTATAGTCAGTTTAAGGCAAAATAAGCTTTAAAAGAAGAATATAACTTTTCTTTGCCCAATAAGAAGCAAATCCGTAGAAAACGGGTGATGTGCTTCTACAAAAAAGTGTTACAATTAACCACTGTAGAAGATATTTTAGCGTAATTAACACTTTAAACAATTTGCTATAAATTAATAAATTTGTTCATTTAGTTTTTCTCCCTTTCTTTTGCTTATAACTTTTTTAAGGCTGCCTTGAATTCTGCTTCGTGTTGTAAGTGCTGTTATTTAAGTAATAGATACCGTTAAATTATACAAACAAGGTAAGTATGACATACGAAATTTAGATTATTATCATGTCATTACGCTTTAAAGTACCAAGAATTTGTGTGTTCACATCTGTCATATGCTGAAGGCAATTATCACTTGGATATCCAATAAGATATTTCTAAAGAGTTGTATAGATGTCGAGCCGTCTATGAACTTGAACAGCAAGTTTGGGCTGTGAAAATTTTTCTATTAGGCTATATTTTTTTTTTTTTGGCTAATAAAATGATTTGGTCTATATATTGCTACATCTCATGGGACTCTCGAATTTTATCTGTATACATAGGCGGCTGTTTGGCTACTATGATGTTAACTGGGCCCGTTAACAGTAAGTGCAAGAAATATTACGTAGGTAAGTTTACCTTTCCAATTTGGAGATGATATGTACATAAATTGATTTTAAAGTAAGATACAAAATAAAAATTATATAAAATAAAAATGTTTTATTATTATATAATGTATTTCTTAATTGCACAACAGTATAAAGGTCCATCATCATCAATGATAATATAGTTTTAAGTGATGCAATAACGTAAGTACTACGTTTTGAGTGAAATGACGCTATATTGTGGTTAAAAGACGCAGCAGGTGGAACTTAGTAGCTACCGGAAGTAGTATAATTATCCAATATGCGGGAAATCCACAACATTAGGTGATATAAATACGCAATATGTGGTAAAACCCACAACATTATGTGGTATAATTTTAGAGTTTTATCACCTGAGGTGGTAAGTATGGTAAAAAACCGCAACCTTAGGTGGTATAAAATGGACGTTTTTATCACTTAAGGTTACGGGTTTTAACTATATGTTGTGGGTTTCTACCACATAGTCCGCCACTGTGGTAGGGGAAGTTGTATAATATAAAAATAATCAATTACTTCATTGCAGCAGAGTTGTTTTAGTCTATTTTTACTGTTACGGAACGCAAGCTTTATTTGTTTACTTTTTTTTTTTCATATAAATACCTGAGGAATTGAGCGCGAGTAAGGGCTCTTTATCTATTTCCTTACTTATAATAGTGCTCGATTTCTGCAGCGCCGTTAAGTCTAACATTTCAATTAATAGATCATTGAGGAGATCTTTTTATTTCCCCGCAACATTTACCTAAATAAAAATATACGTTTTATTTCAATACTTTACCGTACTATTTTATCAAATACCACACTTACTTTTGTTTTATTTTTGTTTTATTTATTTTACTTTACTCAAACACCACAAGACTTACAAGTATCTTTCTAAATCGAGAACGGCTTATTTTATTATCGGTCATTACAGAATTCGGATTTAAGAAATAGAGGGATCTAAGATGATATAGGTAAGCCTACCTGTATATATATAATTTTGACAGACATTTGAAATTATAAATGATTTTAGCATGGAATATGTCTGCATGTTGGTAATCGGTCATAACAATGAACTGCAAATAAATGATGTTAATGCTTTTATAAGCAACATGTGTTATAAACAAATTTAAAAAAACGGAATAAAACAATAAAAAGAAAACAGCGATCTATCTTATTCCAGCAAAATTCAAAAGAATGACTAAGGAGCATCATCAAAATCTGTTACGAGTATTTACATTATTCTTTGTTTACGAATCTTATAATTATTATGTAACCTGCTTATTTGTGGGAAAGCTTATTCTGTTAATTGAAGGTCAATTTTAGAATCTCTATAATGCGGCATCTTTGATTTTTAGTAGTCCTATCCTATAGTTCAGTGCTCAATCATTTTTAAAATGGCTTAATTTAGAAATCTCATTTCATTTTGTCTGAAAAAATAATTGCACATCAATCCGAAAATACCTTTTATTTGCATGAAAACTATTTTTAAGTTTAAAAGCTTTGTTACAATGCGGATTTCCAACAGCTATTTTTTTTTTGACTTCAAACCTAAAATTTATACTCAACCAAATTTATTTTCTATTAAGCTAACTTTTAGCATTGTGTTGCAACAGCTTATAACCTTTTCCTTTTCTATTTTAAATTCATTAGTTATTATATTATTAGTTATCTATTATCCGTTTGTTCAAGGATATCGTTACCGATTCTTGCGACAACATACAACTATATAAACCCATAAAAACTTTATACTTAAATAAACCATTCAATTTTTTATCTAATATATTAAACTTATAAACTCTTACCATATCTTGCCTGTCAATACTTATATCTAACATATAAACTGGCTTATTATATATCTGTCTCTCTAGAAAATTGAAGCCTAGTCTCTTTTCTTTTCTTTGTATCTTTATTTCAAATCTTTTAATTCTAGTTATCTTTACTGGTTCGTTACCATATATATCTATCAAGTATTTATATTAAACAACGTGGTGCTCACTTAAGAACTGAAATATATATCATTATTTATATTATTGCTCTATCTAACTCATAACCTCTGCCAATAAAACATCACAATCACTATCCAGATTGTGTCGTGATCGTTCTTAGTTATAAGTTAATTATGAATAGAAGATAAAAGATGCTTTATTATATTTTAGGATTTGTGATTAATTTATATTATTGAAAGTAGTACAAAAGATAGTACGACAATTGTATCAGCTTCTTGTTTTATAAAAAAAAGTAGAATTGGAACCAGCCCAAGAAAATTAATACCTAAAAATAACCTGACCAGAAACTCGGTAACATTTTCAGATTTCGAAAAAAATATGACATGAACCCATGGCGGGGGTCGAACCCGCAATCTTTAGTTTAGAAGACTAACGCGTTATCCAATTACGCTACACGGGCTTGCTATATTTTGATGCGTGCGCAGTTTGGTAATG